TGTTGTGGTAACGAAGGCAAAGACTTCTACTAGAAAAGCCTTGTTTGATGTGTATTTTGTAAATTCTTCACAATATGCAGATGCGTCACATTGCAAAGCTTTTGATGACAGTATAACTGAGCGGAAATTTGATAACAACGGTTGTATCTCAGGCATCTAAGTAGGTAAAAAGTTTGAGATCTTTATCACCTTCGAAGTTCTTATCATACTAAATCGTTTTCACTAATAGTTTACACGCGCAAACACAAAATACACAATATCGAACAACTTTACGAATCAAAATCTACATCAAATCATTACTTAAACGACATTACGAGACCAGTAATCCGCCAGTGGTCAAGCAAAAGTAAAATAATTTGTGCGTCAAAACTTTTGAAGCTTAGACAAAACTATTAAACTAAAATATTAAATGTCACCCTAATGCCCAATTTACATGATAGCAGGAAATGAACAGAGGGACTTGGAATTTCGACGCCAGTCAATCAGATTCAGTAAGTCAGTTTACTATAACTTTTGACACTGATAGTCTTTCTTGTGAATTGCAGTGATAATGAGTTCAGTACGAAGACGTAAAATGAAATTATTTATGAAGAAATCCTTTAAGAGTTTAACGTATTCATTTGTTTGTTTATAATAAGAACTCATAATGTTCTTACAACATTCATATTATTCATACAGCTGCATAATTTTACTCCCAGTTAATTTACGTGACACTTTCATGTAAAGCATTACTTATACACTCAATAAGAAATTGATAGCGACTGCCTGAATATCACAGTCATATACATGGAAAGAAAGAAAGAAAGAAAATAAACTTTATTGACACAGCAGTGCATGCACATTTACAAACGGTTAACAGTAGACTATATATATACATAAATACTGTGCCAAAACAGGCTTCCGCTCAGCATTTGTCATGACATGCTCGTAAGGAGCATGTTCAGACGCTGGTCTTCCACGGACACCTATTGTTGGCATTGCGCATCCATTCCAGGAGACACTTACTATTATATTATGTCTGTGCCAAATATGCAACGAGTCAATATCAGTAGCACTGAATGACTTCAGTGGCGTAATTGGGAAAACTGGGTGAGAAAATAAATGGACTGACTGGCAAGTACAAAATTAGCACTGGAGAAGATTAAATTTATAATCCGCAAAAGTCAGTAGCATGCCAGTGATTTATTAAGCTACTGTAATGCCACGTTACTGCCTTTATGTAAACTAGCCTTGTTTGCCATTTTCAGGAGTTTTGGCGGAAACTTGACCGCCGCACGGGCAAGTTACTATCTTGTTTGAAAAAGAGTTATCTGATTTGTAAAAGAGTATTGCAGTTTAGTGTATTTAATGTAAGCAAAAATTAATTCTACGATTAATTCGGAAACATTCACATGTGAACTATTAGTGAAAACGATATAAAAAGTGCCACAATGGTGATATGAATCAAAAGTTTTTTACCCGCTTTGGGTACCTTGGGATACTATCGTCGTCGTCTTTTGGATTAAACTATCATTGAAATCTCCTAAAAACTTCACAATGTTATGGTGCATCAGCATATTATTAAAAATAAAAATACATGATGTAAGACGAGGCTGTACAGTCTAAGATCTTTACCTGCCTGAAACGTCGAACACTAAAAACAATCATCTGTCACTGTCATAGTGTCAGTGTCACTGTCACTGCCCCGCCTAAGGGTATTAGTGTTCTGTGCAGTGTTGCCGATTTGTGGGGAATTCCCCAAACTGCGGGGAATCTCAAGTTGATTGGGGATTTATTGGGGACTGGCATTATGCGGGGAAAATGCGGGGATTTTAACATCTTCGTCGACATACTTTTTCGAGAATTCCAAATATTTTTTTTTTTAGTTTAGATACTTATATATAACGGATGACTCAATACTCTTCATTGCATCAAATTTAAATTTCTGCATCTTTATTCTTTCTCCAATCGTACAATTGTTATGTGTATCTTCTAATGTTTTAGGGTTAATACATTTATTTCTACAGATTTCGTGTTTATTCCAAATTAATTAAAAAAAAATACTTTGGTGACACCTAGTGGCTGCTGTGAATATAAGGTAATACAGCATTTTAATTGCCTTATATAGATTGTGGTTCAGCTTCTTTCAAAGAGTATAGTAACTATTCTATACAAGAGGTTTCTTTTCTTAATCTATGGAGGTTTCGCGTATTGTTGCTCCTGTTTTATCGTTTAAATAATTGTTTGAAGTGGGTTCTGATACGTAAAAGTGATGCGATTTTGTGTGTTAAATGTCCGCGCATGTAAAATATTAAAGAAAACGACGAAATAAGTGCTTTGATATTGATATAAACCTCAAGTTTTTTTGATCGCTTAGGTGCCTTATGAACTTAAGTAACTGTCGTCATCAATTGTCCACTAGGCTGAGCTGTCGTTAAAATCTCACATAAACTACGCAATGTGATGCATCATCATATCGTTAACAAAAAAATCTAAAAATGAAAGGAAGAGATCGCTTAAAAGACGAGCGTCCAATCCAAAAATCTTAATAATTTTTGATCTGTTCTCAAAAACTCAAATTAAATGAAAGCAAGAAATATCAAAAAGTATGCCAACTCTATGATTAGGGAATTCCCCTTCTTCAAGTTTAATCCTTCGAGCAAAATGATTGCATCAAACGTATGGAAAAAGTGCAATGGAACAAAGGTTAAAAAATAAATATTATTTAAATGGTTGAAACTTGTTTCATTATTTAAAATAATATCGAGGGGAATTTGTGGGGAATCAGCAGATTTTTGTCCCCCAATTTGGGGAACTTTCTTTGTATTTTTGGGGAATTACATACATTGGCATTGGCAACCATGGTTCTGTGGTCACTGCTGTCTTGCTCAAATCCTGTGCTCAATAGGGGTGTCCACTTTGAAAATACATCGATGTTTTTTTTCGATGTGATGCATCGAGAGTGTGCATCGATATATTTCGATGCATCGGTTAGAAACATCGATGTTTTTGTAACATCGAGTACTTTTTATGACTTTACATTATAAATCTGTAGTCAACTTCCTGACACCCCATGCAAACAACTGACAATTTTGAATGATATCTTACATCGGCACTGTCTTTGTCCGCACGCCTTTTGTGTGTTATGTTAAAAAAAAAAAAAAACACACACACACGTGTTTTTTTTTAACTTTTATGTACAAAAGAAAAATGGTACATATGGCGGACTTAATGCCTGCGGGGAAATCACTTGACGGACATGCCCGCGGGCATGTCTGTAGACATGCCTGCCGGACTTAGGTCTGTGCAGTTTGATAGTGTAGGACCGTCACAGCCGGTCTGGCAGACTTGCCTGTTGAACGTCCGCGCGATCTCATTTTGTCTGCGCGGGCACCGACATAAAGCAAACTAATGAGTCTATGTAGTGCATTGCGGCGACAGACATGCCCGCGGGCATGTCCGTCAAGTGCATTCCCCGCTTTAAGGTATTCTCTCCCAGTCTATACTATTTATATTTACCAGTATCCAGTATGTACTATTTATATTTGTGTGTTGATGTGTATATATGTATGCATGTATATGTCTGTATGTATTTATTTTATATATTAGTAAAATTTATATATATCTTAGTTATTTATTTTTTATTTTGTTTTTATTCTATACAGCTACACCTACGTCAAATTCTCACCTGGTAGAGAATGCATTAAGTCCGCCCTTTGTATTCCTTTATAATATAAAGGAATACAAACTAAATAAATGTATTTTTTTAATGATTATGAGCTGATAAAGAGTTGGATGAGGATGAGTTCTTACATTCTTTAACTAACGTTAAACCATTTTATTTTTGACCGCCGTGTAGTGGCGGTGTAAAAGAATCCGCTGTCCCATATCATCCCGTGGGTGGATATGTTTTACAAACTGAAGCAATTGTTGGGCAGCAGCATCTTCCTGACAGCTCAAAATAATAATAAAAAACCGCGATTGCAAACCCGCCTGCCAAGTGTGGCAACTATGGCGAATATACCCTAATAGCCAATAATTGGGTAAGTACTATTTATATTTGTATGTTGATGTGTATGTATGTATGTATGTATATGTCTGTATATATTTATTTATTTTATATATTAGTAAAATTTATATATATCTTAGTTATTTATTTTTTATTTTGGTTTTATTCTATACTGCTACACCTACCTCAAATTCTCACCTCGTAGAGAATGCATTAAGTCCGCTCTTTGTATTCCTTTATATTAAGGAATGCAATAAAAAATAAATAAATTATTATTTATTATCATTGACCTACTAGTAAATGGCCGGCGGGTCTAGAACAAAATTCACGAAACATCTGTCCCGAGTCAACCTATTACTCGTATAAACGTAATTTAGCAGCCTTTCAACTTCAACCAGAAGCTGTTTTCATCTTATGCAGCTTCTAGCGAAAATTATCAGTATGATTTTTTGTTTTTACAATTAATGTGAATTTAATTTAAATACTACGTATCTCGTATCTAAACAAAATATTACTTTTAAATTATTAAATATTAATAGTCCTTATCGAAAATATATATAAATATAAATAGTTTTGTGATACAGTACGGTATTTTGGAGTGTATTATCGGTTGACAAAACGAAGACTGGTGCGCAATTGTAACTCGTCGTCCTTTTGAATCGGACACTCGGACAACCAGCTAATCTTAATTTCTTGATTCCGCTAAGGGAATGACAGCTGCTAACTAGCACCACCAACAGGTTTAAATATTATAACTTCTAAATCAGAGCATGTTTTAGTTTTTCTGATTTAGAAATTGTATTACAATTTTAATAGTGATAGATAAATATACCTTTTTACAATTGACTGGTTATCATTGGTTCGATGTTTTATGAAAATACATCGATATATCGAGTATATCAATAACTTTCCAAAACATCGGATCAATTCGATGCATCGTATTGTAAACATCGAGTGAATTCGATGCATCGATGTATATCGAATATCCCTAGTGCTCAAATCGCAAACCCACGTTGTTTTGAACTGTAGTGTCGAATGTCGATATAACAAGAATTTACCTAAAACTTTGGTAAAAATACATAGCTGTTATCTTATTGCAAAACAAATAAATTAATAATGGCTGTATGTACATTTTTATTCATTGATAATTTTATGATATTCGCATTTCATCACCATGAAGGTAAAAAAATAAATATTTCTATTACAGAAAAAAGGCAAAGTGAAGATAAGTAAAATTAAAAGAAACAATCAGACTACAAATAAAATGAAGAAACAGGGTCAATTACGCCTTCAGAGACATAGGAACAAAGTTCAGAAGCAAAAGCAGCCAGTGCAGGCTCAGCAACCAACATATAGCAGTGACAGTGAATCAGCATCTGGAGACGAATGGGCCGATATGCTGGACGAAGAAGAACAGAAGTACATAATGGCACGACTGGCAAAACAACCTCATCTACTGTCTAATGTGCCTGAAGAAGAGAAGAATGATACTAAGTTAGATTTTTTTTAATTATTTTATTACATATATTACTAACAATTATTATACCTGACCATGAATGGTTAAATAACGGTTAGATAAAATATTTTATTAATATTAAAGATGTAACCATATACACTGTTTAAAAAGATATTGTTTGCTTACTACTAACATTTTTCATACCTACATAATTATTTTAAAACCCACAGAAAACCTAAAAAGCGCAAAAGAATAAGTATGAACCAAACTGCAGCAGATATGGATCTAAGCAGTGATAGTGGAGCTGATACTGAAACTGATAACAGTGATGTGGAAGAGAAATATGAGATGGAGATGGCAGAGCGGCCTGTGAAACGACTTCGTCCATTATTACCTATCAAAACTAAAGATGGGTTTTTGGAAAGAGCAGAAGAGTGTGAAGGTAAAGTATTTCTTTAGTATAGTAAGAATAATTATATTTGAAAATTCCTGAACAGTATGTGATATGGGTCGAAATATAAATGATGGGTTAAATGTTAAAAAAAAAAATTACACAATGCCTTATCTTAGTTATATCCTAATATCCTGTATTGTCCATTTGTTTCTTTCAATTTCTCCTAAATACTTGTCCAATTGATCTACCCTGGGGAGTGATTCCATATGGTAGGGTTTTATTTACTTTTTTCACTATATTTTATATAAGTTTATTGAATATATTATATTTTATTTTTTATTGAATATATATTTTATTTTAATAGATCTTATTTTTTATGTATATGTAAATATATCCCAATATACTATGGTAATTCCCAGGAACGAAGTGATTGCTACCAACAGATTTTTATATTTAATTGTATGTACTATTTACTTCATGGTACATTGTTTTTTGCTGGTTTTTTAAAACCGTAGTAAAAGTAGAAAATGACTCAATAAGTATTAGTTACATAATTTATGTTGAGTGAATATTCTTATTTATTACAATGATAGAATTGTTACTAGTTCAATAAATTTCATTGTACAAAGTAGCCAATGGACACTTGTAACCCTTTTTAAAGAGAAAATGCATCTGTTGTTGGATGCATTTTTAACTTTAAGTACTAAGAATGCTTCACAGCCTGTAAATTTTTAACCCCCGATAAAAAAGACAGGTGTTATATGTTTAACATATGTCTGTCTGTGACATTGTAGCTCCCAAATGGATGAATTGATTTAGATTTAGTTATTTTTGTTTGAAAGGTGACTTAATCGAGAGTGGTCTTAGCTATGATTCAAGAAAATATTTTCAGCCATTTGAAGATCACCCGCTCGTTTTGTTTTGGAAGTTTTTTAAATTATGAATTTGAGTTTATGTCAGTCTTATTCTCTAACTCTTTAACAGCAGTGGTATACTCACTTTTTTATTTTTTCCTTTAGATACGGATTCAGATCAGGAACAAACAAATGAAGCTCCAGCATCTGAGAGCAAAGATGAAGTACTTCAGGATGCTGACTCAGATTCGGGGATGGAGGGAACAGGGGAAGAAGGTGAAGCATCTGAGGATGTTGTTACAACTGTGGAACTGTTAGCAGCAAGAAGAGATAAGCTAAGACATGAGAAGTTAAGAATTGGAGCACTTTGTTCATCATTGCTCGAAAACCCAGAGAAAAAGGTATTTTATTCCACTGCAGCTATTTATGGACCTATAGTTCATTTGACAGGTGTGTTTTAATCGACAGTTTCCTTAGTAATGTTTCAAGTAAAATCTGTTCAGCTGCTTGAAGATCATCAGCTCTTTTAGTTTCGGTGGTTTTTAATTTTTAATTTATTTTATTACTATTTTTGGAGATGATTTTGTAACTGGCAGTCAATTTGTACGAGTGAACATGACATACTATTTTTTATATAATTAGGTGACAATCAAGTACACAGTTCACCTGCTGGTAAGTGGATGCCGTGGCCCAGTCATCTACACCTATCTTCAATGAAGAATCAAAATGCAAATGTGGTGTAGCCCCTGAGGATTAAGATGGAACCCCTTGTTTTCAGTTAACAGGCTCTCTAGTTCTCTATTCTTACTATATGCTACCATTTATGTTGATATTCTGAGTGTGCGTTCTTTTCCTGGTTGTGCCAACCCATTTTGCCTACAACTATAATACAACTGCAGCATGACTACCATGTAAACACTAAATAATTATATATAATTATATATATATAGCCAGCAAGTCACTTAAGTAAGAAATTTGTTCAGCCTTAATTAATAATCTTCATTGTCATGGTTACCTTGTCACAACAATTATTGACATTGTTTTTTTTATAGGATAAGGTGACAAATGTACACAGTCCACCTGATGATAAGTAGCTACTGTGACCCATAGGCATCTACATTTATCCTCGATAAAAAAATCAAAATGCAGGTGTGTTGTCATCCGTGAGGACTGAGATGGATTGCCTCTTTTCCCAGTAAAATTGGTCTCCGGTTCTCTACACTCACCATATGAAACACAGCAGTGTCAAGCTGCCATTTTACGTTGGTATTCTATGAGAGCATGGTCCTTCCCCAGTCGAGCCGACCCATTCGTGCTGCAACTATATTGTAGATACTATATTAGTAGTATCTTACATTGTAGATACTACTAATATAGTATCTACATTGTAAGTTGGAATTAACAATCAAGATGGAATGCCTCATGCTCTGTAATTATCTTGACTCTCCTTTCCTTTGATCCAGAACAAAGCATACACAAGCTGGGCACTAGCTAGGCTGGGCTGTATTATACCTGTTACAATAAGATCTTACAACAAATCTTAATCATTATGAGCTAAAAGCACTCACAAATCGCATCTCAGCTCTGAGTTTGTTAAAATTTGTAGTTATATCCAGTATTTATGTGCAATATAAATTTTCCAGTTAAAGAACCTGTTCCCGATACTGTACCTGATGGAAGAGCACCTCAAGGACGGCACCCCGAACCTGGTATCGGTGAGAAAGCTGGCTGCTCTGTCCGCCGCAGAGGTATTTCGTGATATACTGCCAGACTACGCTATTCGCCACCAGGACTACTCCGACGTGAAATGTAAATATTCACCTTCATTACTCCTTCATAAGATAAGGATGACAAATGAGTACACAGTGTATCTCTTAGTTGTCTAAGAGATAAATAAGATTTTTTGTGTTAGAGCCATGCTGCAGCTATATTAGTCGTATAGTAGTAGCACAAATGGGTTGGCTCGACTGGGGAAAAACTACGGTCTCACAGCACACTAGCGTAAAATAGCAGCTTAATGCTGTTGTGTTTTTTATGGTAAGTGTAGAGAACTGGCGACCCTTTTTGTTGGAAATGAGGCACTCCATCATAGTCATCACGGGTGACAATGCATTTGCATTCTGATTTTTATTGAGGATAAATGGGGAATCTATAAGTACATATAAAAAAATTTAAGAGTCTATCTGTAATGTCAAAATAACTTACTTTATCGAGCTCAGGGAAATATTTGCATGTCATTATGAATGCTGTATTACTTTTTGTAATATTTTTGTCAGTCCATCTGTCTGTGTATTAGTTAAAAATGATTAATAAATCAAAAATAATAAATAATAAAAAGCAACATATACATAAATTTTATGCACATTAAAAACAGGCCATGGTGTTGTAATCACCTGGTATGGTAATTCATAGTGTTACCCTATTATTATCGTAGATTTCTTAGGTTTTTAAATGTGATAACCAAAAAAAGTAGTCTTCAACCGTTCTCCCCTCCCCTTTCAAAATGACGCCACTGACTTATGAACTTTTGTTCATAACTTTTGGTCTTTCCAAAAAGGTTCGCCATCGTGAACCTAGGGCTACTAATTGACCTAGGGCGCAATTCAATTTAAAAATCCTACGGTTGAAAAAAGAAGACTGTTTAATGTTTATCTTTATTGTACAGTGAAAAAGGACACTTTGGCGCTATACAAGTATGAGAAAGAGCTCTTGGAGTTCTACAAGAGATATCTGCAACGGTTGGAGAAAGCCGCTTTCGTTTTAAGACGAAAGAAAGGTGATAACAGGTACATTATCTAGCTTAAAAATATAGTTCTAATATCACAATTCAAATCAATCAAGTTTCAATTTGAAAATTGAGCAATAATTGAACTTGTTTGTGAACTTACTACATTTTTGTAGAGTCTAGTCGCTGATACAGAGTCTTCACTTACCTTTTCACACATTCATAAAACTTTAGGTCGATTTAATTTTAGCAAAATCTTGAGCTATACATGTTATTTACATACACGTACATATGTAATTTTAAACACTATATACACTATATATTATACCAGCTGGCCAGGCAGACGTTATTCTGCCCTTTCGACGGATGACCACTTGTCCTTCAAAAAATGCTTAAACTCTTAAATAAAAAATATTAAGAGTCACTTATCGGGATAAAAACTATCCTATCTCTCAAGTTGCATCAAACTGCACACTGAAAAATTTCAATGAAATCAGTTCAGAAGTTTAGGGAGTTCATCGCAGACAAACAATGTGACTCGTAATTTTTATATATAAAGATTATTATATTGCTTATTATATGTCACTATAAAATTTGACATTTCATTTTATTTAATATTTATTTTTATCTCTTAAGTCGAAATATAATAACAATATTGTTACGATTAAATATATGCACAGTGTAAACAACACTATATTATATCTGGATTTATATATTACGCATTTAGTAGTTCTGGGATAGAAACAAAGAATAGTTAGTATACTTGTAATATCGTATATGTCTATGTCAATGAATACTTTAAGTGAAATAAATGTACTGTGGATACAGCACATGCATGAGAATATAAAATTGAACAATTCTCGCAATGTTTTCAAATCCAAAATACTGATTTTCCGATTACTGCGCTAAATATGAGAAACATATATTATAATGTTGATGATCTAATCCTTAACTTAAATTATTTTCATTTTAATTTTGATATTATGGTACTTACCGAGTGTAGACTAAACTAAGAAACCAATCCCCCAAATTAATAATTATGCATCTTTTTTAACCACTAACCATCTTAATCAATGTGATTGAGTAGTTGTGTATTAGATATGAGCGCTGAAGGCTAATTACACGGCGGCGGCGTCGCGGCGTGGCTGGCCATAGGCCTTAGATATTGTTTTATCAGGAAGAGATTTCTTCAAAAAACTTAAGGTGACACTAGTCGACATTATTTCCATAGAAATTTCGGAGGGGTTTTACTCCGCTGTTTGACAGTGTACATCCAAAATTAAACATGATATCGTTTTGTCTCATTATTAAATTTGTCTGTACGGAAACAGAATAGTAAAATAAAATGTTACTAAAAAGTTACGAGCTACCAAAGATTCGTTTTTATTGCCAATTTTAACACAACTTTGGGCGTAAATTAGTAATAAAAGAAGTGTAAAATTTCCAAAACAAAGTCGGTACCGACACAGGTAAATTATCGAAGAACATGCCCGCGGCGTAGCTCGCGAATATAGGTTTTCCTTAAAGAATTTGACGTTTAGGGTAAGAAAATATTAACCGATTTATATCATTACTTTATGAATAAGTGGTAACAAAATAAATCAATATTCTCAAAGTTCTAAGTCATTTATGATAGAGCTTCTGTGTAAACGACGATAGAAGTAGACTTAGCCGGGGCGTACAGATAAAGGTTACGGGGACTACTAACGCGAGAAAAAGCAATATAGAGCTGGCCATGTGCAAAACAATCAGTACTGACGCGTAAAGTTTGACCTTGCGCTTTATTTACGATCGTCGCATAACACACGCTGAGTGGGAAACACACTTAAAATAGGGATGTTAGATGATCATCGATGTTAAAAATTAAAACTTCGATGTTTTAACATCGATGTTGACATATGTCAAACATCGAAACATCGACGTCAATGAACCCATAATCGATAATTGGGAACTTGCAAACAATGCGAACTCGCGAAATCAATATCAACTAAATCTTGCATCTGCTCTGAAGATTAAAAATTTTGAATAATTCAGAATTTCTGAACGCATCGTTAATCTAAAAAAATGTCAGTATGGTGAGTCAAACTTAATTGTCAAGTGTCTCCTGTAATGTCACAATGGTCACTGATTCGCTTTATTTTGTAGTGTCGTTGTCGGTTGTCGCATAATAACTATTCTACGTAAATTGATATTCAAGTTAATTGTTACTTTTTCCTTGCTGTGTATACCCACATAATTTTAAAACAATGTGTAACTATCTACACATATACAAAAACCATCGATAATGGTCAACATCGATGTTTTGAGTGGCCTAAACATCGAACATCGATGTTGAGCTAGCGATGCCAACATCGATGTTATTATCCCTATCTTAAAACTGAAGCCTGAGCCGTGGTAGCTCAGATGGTTAGCGCTCGCTGTAAGCTTCACAGTACTCGAGCAACCCGGGTTCGATCCCCGCCGGCACCAATGAAATTGTCAATTGCAATTTTAAGTGCTGATTTACCACGTGCTCGGCGGTGAAGGAAAAAATCGTGAGGAAACCTGCATTTTTGAGAAATAAAAAATAATATTTCGATGACATGTGAAGTTCGCCAACACGTATTGGGGCAGCGCGGTGGACATTTCCTTGCCCTAAAACCCTCTCAGAAATGAGAGGAGGCCTGTGCCCAGCAGTGGGACGTAAATAGGCTGCAACTTAACTTTACTTAAAACTGAAAAAAAAGTTATTTGGTATTAGAGTGATTCTGGCTATAAAACAATATCACCATCATGACATTTATTGCAATTTCGCTACTTTTAGTTTTGGTCGAGTTTTGTTGAATAATTAAATATTTCAATACCTCTGTATATATACCTTACAGGCTTGCAGCTTCTTCAGGCTCATGGACATAAATTATTACAGTGAGTCTCAATACGATTCACCTGCGAAAAATCTTAACATCGCAATTCAGAAAAGGTTGTAATTTGTACAACGCCATCTATTACGTTCTTTGTGAGAAAACATCCTTTTTTTAATTTAAGGAAAACATATTTTTACTGTGTTTTAAGTACTATAATAGAACGATACGAAATATATTATAATAGCACGTTTTTTTTACACACGAATCTTTTTATTACTATTTTTGGGATTTTGTCGCGCCATTAAACAAATTCGAACCTACATTTCAAAATAATAATCATGACTTTCGATAGAATTAACCAATTTCAATAAAACAAAGATTAAATGAACTTGATAATACGCTTTATGATTTTCTTAAGGATTTCATTGAAAAAAAAAAAGATGTTTACTCAAAACGTCATGCGTCCATAAACAAACAGACAGACCGTCAGATATTACAATTCTAAAAATTATAAAAATGTACTTATTTAATGATTTACAGTCCCAATAATGATTTTAGTCGCAAATTAATATACTATACAATATTCAGAAACAGACATAACATGTTATTACCATTTTTATTATATGTATAGACTTAAGAGAGATGGCGCTGTTAACATCAATTCTAAAAATAAGAGATTAATTCACACGATTGATACAATAAAAAACATAAAAGAACTTATAAATCAGTGCCTGCATAGTAAGCAAAAAAGAAAGTTTGATCCTCGCCGAAAAATGAAATTGTTAATAGCTCTTAAAATTTGATTTACCACATAGAGTACTCGGCGGTAAAAAAATAAAAAATAAATGAGATTGTCAACACGCAGTAGGGCAGCGTGTCATTAATATAAAGGTTAGAAGCAAATATGAAACTCAACTACAGGAATAAATTTTAACCTGCCTTTTTGTATCACATTTATGCCACACCACCATCTATCGAAGAAATGGGTTAACTATTGTGCTTCAGATTTAGTTAATAAGGTTAATATATTTTTGTATAATATATTTAATACGTTCTTTAATACTTTTATTTACTGCGTTTTAGATATACATAATTATATCATTATTTTACATAATTTAACTATGATTTATGATATGATATTAGTTTAAAATGCACTTGATGACTCAAACAAAGCCACCGTTGAGCAAATTCGTACCTATACTTCCCTACCCATACTTCAGAATATTTATCATAACTTTTGATGGAATGAACTGATTTTAATGAAATAAAGACTAAATGTAACCCGAAGATACACTTTATAATTTCCTTAACAATTCTTATGATATAAATTAGTACTTTATACGTGATACGTTAACAAACAAACAGACAGACAGACAGACAGACAGACAGACAGAAAATTATAAAAATGGTAGAAATGTATTTAATTACTTATTTTTAGTACCCCTCAATCACTTTTATTACAAAAATATAAAATGTACAGACATCTGCTATTTACAGTTTTATTATATGTATAGATTGATTAATGCAGTGGTTTTTTCATAAAACCCCTTCTTCCAAAGGCCTTTTCGTATTTTTTTACGCGCGCATGTTACTATGAATTATCATGCATCTCACTGAATAATGTCTCCCCCGGTGCGGTGCGGGAGGACGACGCTTACACACACATGCACAGGCGGTGACGCGCGCTTATAAGTATTCGAGTTTTATTCGAAACGAAAAGTTTTGCTATTTTGTAATTTGGACGCCAAAGACAAAAGACGGCATGGAAATTGATATAATTGAAAGAGATGATGCGTTTTGGACGACAGACAATATTTTAAAATTTTCGTCTGTAATATAATATAATTATAAAAGTAAAAAAAGTAAAGTCTATATTCGATTACTATATAAAATTGCAACAATTTCATTGGTGCCGACGGGGATCGAACCCGGGTTGCTCGCGTAATGTGATACTTACAGCGAGCGCTAACCATCTGAGCTACCACGGCTCTCAATGCAAGTGTTATAAATAAATAAAGAATTACAAAACAGTTTAATTATTTATTAGACGACTTTTGCGGCGGATAAACAAAGTATATTATGTGGGATTTTCATAGGTACCTACTGTTATTACCTAGATACCTACAATCAACAATACAACAAAATGTCACAAAACCTCGCCGCGTCGTGGCCACAAAATTGTAAACTTTAGGTAGGTACCTACGTCGGTACTGAGAAAACAATCTTGATGGGTCACTTGTCTTGATAAAAACCTGTGTTTACGTTTAGTGATATTGAGTATAATATAAAAAAATAAGAAGCCAGGTAAGTAAGTATTTTTGAAAACAATTTATAGGTAGGCAGACCAATTACGATTATTATCTAAATATTATAAATGCGAAAGTTTGGATATTTGGATGGACGGATGAATGGATGTATGTTACTCAATCACGCCAGAACGGCTGAAGGGATCTGGATGTTATTTTGCTCAGAGATAGGCTATAGTCCGTAATTTTTTTTTTCAAAAAAACGTTACCCCACACTAGGATTTTCTCCTGTATCGTGGAGGCAGTTTACAAACATCCAGACCCGGAACAATTATTTGTAGACCATACAAATACTTGTTCGATTGATTCGAACCCGCGGCTCCCAGTACAACAATTCATTGCTAAGCCACTGCGCCACGGAGCTGCCAAATATCATATATGATACCGTTTATTCAGGTATTTCGTTGCCGTGGGATAATTATCGAGTTACACACGTTCGAAGCCGAACTCTTGAGTGATTGCTGCATGACCACTCGGGGAAAACTAAACATAATAAAATAAGCAATCTATATTAGGTATATAGAGCCACAGACGTATACCTAATAATTTCGTGGATTCACCCGCGTCATCACGTGTCCGAGATGCGTGGCATGACATGACACCTAGTTCAAGCATTTTATAATTGCAATCAAATATTTTATTTGATTGTAATGTATGGAAAAATTGTCATGATTAATGGAGTACTTTTATTTTATCTGTCGGCATATTATGCGCGGTTTTTTCCAGTTTTAAAGAAAAACGTACACGATTCATGAAAAGTGTGTAGGCAAGAAATGATTCTTGATAAATTTGCTATCAACCTCTGATACTTATTAATTAATTAAATTTAAACTTTCAAAATACCATAGCAACGTGAAATGAAAGAGTTCAGAAATAAAGATGTAACTAATCATTGCTACGCTCACCCGGGAGATAGATAAAAGTACTCAATTAATTTTGAATTTATTTTAGCTACTAGCTGTACCCCGCGACTTCGTCCGCGTTTAGTTTAGGGCGTTAATATCAATTAATATTGTTGCAAAGACACCTAATAATTTTTCTAAAATTTAAGCAGGCTAAGTTACTTCTTATAACATGAGCTATCTACTAGTGAAAGTCCCGCCCAAGTCGGTCCAGCCGTTTTGGAAATTAACCGCAACAAACAGACTGACAGACATACAAAAATGTTAAAAATTGTGTTAATGTTATAAGTACCGTATACAGTTTCATACGCAATTAGTAAAAAGCTGTTATTTTGACATTACAAACAGACACTTCAATTTTATTTATTTGTGTATATATAGATAACGATTGAACTAACGGCTAACCTAACCTCGCTCATAGAAGCTTTCAATACTGGCTTCTCAGTTCGCACCGGGCTAGGGGTTATGCGTTGTTTGCGCGTCAAGCCAAGTAGGTATTGAATTATTTTAATTTTACATTATCTCTTAAACTATGTACTATATAAACATGGTATAAAGAACGAAGTTTATCTTCATAAAATTGTCTTGATAATGAAGTAACTTTGGTTCGTAAGGTGCCTAATAAATTTTCATTTTTTTTTGTCACAAAATGCCTAATTGTGGCTTATATATAAGAAATAGACATATGGTATCGCGGACTTTTTTTAGACGGAGTAAAGATCTATATTTTTCTAGAACATTGTATTTACGTATCCCGAACCATAACAGCGCTTTTTCTTCTGACTTCCTTAACAAATATAGGCTAGCTGAGATATATAGCCTAATGCTGTATAGCCTATACTATTCAACATGAATCTGGCTATACTTAATATCCAAAAAAAGATTTTTCAAATCGGACTGGTAGTTCCAGAGATTAGCACGTTTAAACAAACAAAAACCCTCTTCTGCTTTATTATATTAGTATAGATGTTGCATCGTGTTCGTGTAACTTCGTTTTTATTCTAACGGTTCGGAACACCGTACGAACAAGACATGCGTGAATACTAGTGTCGATATGCTCATCACTGATACTATCTCTGTCGGGCACGATGCCAGGTGAGACAGCGTGCTTTTTGGCCGCGCCCACCAGCGAGTTCGAGCCCGCGACTTGTGCCACCTTAAAGAAAGCCATATTGTTGATACCAAAAGCAGCTTATATAGCCCTGGGGAGCCCCAGCCACAGATTAGTTAATAGTTTACTAAACAGATACATCACTCCCATACAAAAGCGAAAATACCTACGCTATAATAGCCTACAAAATCTTAATAATAATATCTACTGTTCGCAGCGAGAGGAAAATGTACCATAAATACGCGCTTAAAGAGTTGAGATTGTGTTGACCTATGATGATTATTGTAATAAAACGAATCTTGCGAAATTACCATATTTTTTATTTTTATAAAATGATTTATACATTTTTTCCTTCAATTTGAATTCTCGGTTATTATATTTTATCGTTGAAAATGGTTGTCACTCAATTTATAAATTACAGCACTGTTATGCTTTGTTTCGATGTAATCTTATAGTTAAGAAAAAAAAGACAATTTTTCATTTGTTTTTTGACTCTGACACCTACCCACTGCACTATAATTACGTGGTTTCGGCATTTCGACGAGTAAGCGCGGGAAACGTGTGCGGTGCAAGCGCTCAGGCGGGCGTGCGTCGGTTGTATCGTGGGCGATACGCAAAACGGTAGGCATATAACGCAGGGTCTTGAGCGAGTGACGGAGGCCTGCCCCAGCCCAGTGATGGGAACAGTATTCCATGTGCGGCCGAACCTGCGCCTTGTAAAGTTCCAGGCGGTGTGCCGGCATGAACCGCTCTGCTGAGCACGCAAAGCGTTTTAGAGGCCAATTTGGGCTTCGTTTCCAAGTGATCACGAAACTTGCACGTCACTCGTTATGTCAAGCCTTGAAGAGTGCCTTACAGAAAGTCACGTGGCAGGGGCCGCCTTAGCCTTGTTGCTCAGCTTGCCCCGATCAGTTATTGTCTTGAGTAGAATTTAACCCCCCCCCCCCCACCCTCAAAATACGTGGGGCAGCCTGACCATCCAGGAGTGATAAGTCCCTCCTCAAGAGTGGAGTAGCTTGATCGTGGATGCTCTGCAAGGGATGCTCCATTACCGGGGTGCTTGTACCCTCCTGTAGTATTACATTTAATTCCGTTACCACCCCGGCTTGAGGCGGCCCATACGTGCAACAGTCGAAGTTGCTGCCATTGATAACACCACACAACAATACATGTTCACTCGGTGAAATATTCGAGTCGACTGAGTGAGCGACGAGCGTGGCGAGGCGACAAGGCGAACTAATACGATCGGGCCGCGCGTGTGAGCGGGAAAGGAAGTTGCTCGTGGTCGCGACGACGCGCCGCGTTCTTCCCGCGGCGGCGACGCGCCGACATGAACTCACGGCGACGGCGGCTCATATCTATTGTGTATATGAGAAATAGTCCTAATATTTATTTGAGCGTAGAGGAGGTAAAACTCAAGGATGCGCGATGTTTACTAATTAAAATTTATAATATAGTCATAATAAATTGTTAACTAATGAAATGTTAGATACTTAAATAATCACATCTAACAGAAAGCTGGAGGATTCAACCAAAAGTCTGGCCCTGGTTGCTCTCCGGTGTATGTGCATGCTTCTGTCTTCCCGGCCACATTTTAACTTCGCGCCAAACATCGCGCAAAGTGTGATCCCGTTCCTCGACTGTCGCGAAGCGGAGGCTCGGGCAACTGTAGCTGCATGCTGCTCGGAAGTATTCGCTGAAGACAACAAGGGTGACATCACACTTAAGGTAAATTTAATTTTCGTATAAATATAATACTTAAAACTATAGTCCATTCACGTTCAGAATACAGTATAGGATCAGTGCTACTCCAGGGTAAAGGTGTATTCACAGTGGAGTAGAAATTTAAATAATGTATATTTTAAAAGATTAATCTACACTAATCTACACTTAATATTATAAAGAGGAAAGATTTGTTTGTTTGTTTGTTTGAATTGAATAGGCTCCGAAACTACTGGACCGATTTGAAAAATTCTTTCACTATTAGAATCCTACATTATCTCTGATGAACATAGGCTATATAATATTTTTTTTAAAGTTAGGGATCCGTGTGAAAACTTCGTTAGTCGCAGCGTACGCTGCGGAAACTATTCATAATAGAGCAAAGTAATGTAATTCAGTTTTATAGAGGATATCTATATTTACAAAAAAGCCTGCGATACCATATGTTTAACTATTACAGTTGTTTAGGCCAAACAATTAACATTTGAAATTTGCATTCAACACTCTTGTCCGCCCGCTGACTTTGTAAAGGTCACCGTCGCCCCACTCCCGTGTGCGTTGCTCGGCAGAGGGCGCGGGCGCAGAACGCGAGTGCGAAGTCAGTAGCTTGCCAGCAGCGGCGCGGTCGATTAACGTATTTTGTGGTGACCGCTGCAGCGGTTTCGCGCGACCGGTTTTGGTTTTGTGGTCTAGATTTTGAGTATTTGTGCGCGTTTAATTCGCTATTGAATTTGGGTTTCGTTTAGACCGCCTCGAATTAGTTTGTCTAAGTTGTACGTTTCGTGACAAGAGGCTTGTATTGAATTTGACTGATTAAAGTAATTTCGGTTGTAAATAATTACGTCAATTGTATAGTGATTGCATGTTGAAGTGCATTTTGCAATATTTAACTTGCTTGTGTGACGTGGTCTTGCGCGCACGCGGAGTTGACGTACGGTCTGGAGTTTGAGGCTTGCATTCCATTTCGAGGGCGTGGCCCGGTTAAGGCTTTAACAAGCCTGAATGACCTTGACGAAACGGCGATCGCAGAGATTTTAGTCGACGTCCACACCGTCTAGCAACTACGTTCTGTATTACTTATAAAAGTGCAAAGATTAATAGACTGCAGAGATGACAATTATATAAGTTACATACTGCCGGTTATGCTTGCGCATCACTGAGAATTATGTCGCGGTTACGCATCTTCACTTACATTGTGATGTAGCTTTGTCCGGTAAGCGTCACGAGCAATCAAGTTTCAAGTACGTAAGAGTTTTTTTATTATATATGTTAAATCATATTTATTTTTGTCGTATTAGTAGATCTGGGTCAAAGCATTCGCTGTAAATTTTTCCCGGGTTTGATCTCCTACAGCACGAATGTATTTGCAATTTTCAATTTTTTTTGTAATTGCAATTTTCGTCAACACGCATTGGGGCAGCGCGGCGAGCATTTCCTTGCCCTAAAACCCTCTCAGAAATAAAAAGAGTCCTGTGCCCAGTAGAGGGACTTGTATAGCCTATTACTTTACTTTGTAGCAATATTCATATTCATTTCAGATACAGAAGGGTACCATATGCTGACAAAAATATCATGTGGAGGCGACGAAAACGTAAAACATCTTTGTACCTAGATAAAACGTTCGAGAGATTGTCAGTCATGTCATACGCCATATTTTCTATAGAGCGTAGAACATTGCAGATAGGTCAAAACAAAAAATAATACAAAATATTATGGGAGTTATTTATTAACAATATATACATTTATAGATATTTATAATAAAAATAATGAACAAGCTGCAAGATTCAACTAATAATGTTTCTTGTAAACACAATTGTAAAATTCCTGTTTTAATTTTTGCCAATGGTTAATTGATGAAACGTAGTCAAGATCACTTCATATAAAATATATTTAATTAAAATTGACACATCACCTATTTGGCCTTCTACTTACAACTCGGCGGAAATTTGAAAAGAAGATTTTGTCTGTTCTTAATTATCTTGTGTACACCATTTTTCACACAAGTATTGTTTACAACTGGCGTGGTTTCGAAAAGCGTGATTAAGTGTCGCCGGTATATAATCAATTAAATACTGAACTTTTTGAAATTTATTTTTTTGTTTATTTTTGTTATATCTTCTTAAAAACTGACGTCATCTCACTATTTTATTATTTGTTTTTTTTGTAACGCATAAGGATAAGTTAGACTAAGTTAGATTAACTTGGATAAGTTTGTAATTGTTTTAATTTTATCGCAAAATTTCCGCAATAAATTATTACCTTTTCAGTGATTCTCTCCTCTTAGTTTCGGCGTGGCTGTAGGATGTTATACTGAGTGACCGTCAGTTACTAAGCGGCCATAAATCATTATATGTATGTATAGACATACATATATACATTTTTTGATTTTAATATTTGTTTTTTGAATTTTGATTGATTTTTTCAAACCTGGTAAAATTATTTTTTTCCATAACAATTGATGGGCCTGAGTATAATGCCAGTCGTGCTCTTTGGCTGAAGTTATTTTTTATTTTATGCTCATTTGCAGACAAAACAATATTGATTGCGCATCTGTAAAACAAAATTTTACCTCTTCTCCTTCTAATAATAGCTCCTGCACCTAACACGGCGGAATAGTTATTATTATCTATAAGACCATTTGCAGAAACAGTTTTTGTTAACAGTTATGAGTGTAACATTTTTATCAGCTGCTTTGTTTATAGTGACTTGAGCAACACTTTGCCGGTTTTTGTACAGAAAATGATGCTGGCTTTGCAAATATGGATGGCCGCTACCATTGAATATAATACCCGCTATGTTACATTTATTTACATAGAAACTTTAATTATCATTTGCATAAAATTCTAAATAGCAGTTTTTACACAAGAAAATAAACTTTTAGATCAGTCCATCTTGTTTTTCACTAATTAAGTGAAAAGTAAAACAAACTAATAGGTCCGTGATTTAAAATTTCTTGCAACTTTTTATAGAAAAGCATGACCTTATCATAATATAAAAGTCAATCATTTAGCCATGTGATAAAACTTTTAAGTGTGCCAGTCAAACATTATATTGGATATATTCGAGTCATTATATTGGAAATAGTCTTTTTAATATTTTGTAGTACAATTGATAAACTTCAGTATGATTGACCGTGTATATGACTTTTATAAGTCTATGTTATTTTTGATGAAAATTATTATTGCAGATAAAAGCCCTTTCACATTTATTTTAGTCTCGAATTAAATTAATCAAAATGAAAATAAGAACTTTGACTCTTTATAAGTGATCTTTAAATGTAAAACACTGACTTGAAATTATATAATTATCGGCATTTTTTTAATTCATTGAACTTTTTTTAAGATTGTGTTGAAACTCTACTGGAAAAAATTACAAATACATATATTATAGTTCTTGATGAAAATAAATTATGCGCGTTACATCGCATCCCATCAAGAATTTCTAATTAATTCTTGGTGTAAAGCTAAGACGTGATAATAACTGTAAACAATAGAATAACAAAATAATGAAAACATTTGTAAATACTTGCTTTATAACCTAATAAATATTATTTGACCGTAATAAAATAAAACAAGGTAGTCCTCGGCATGAAAGTAAAAATAAATATTTTCGATTAGTTTTGCAATATCAGCAACAGCCGGATCAGCGCGCGATTCTGATCCATCTAAAGATGCTAAATTTCAGCAAGCACTGTCAAATTCAATAGGAGTGACAGAAAAAACGGTTCTTGATATAGAAGGGTAAATAAATTATTTAACCTATGAAGTAAAAACACTTTATTTAAAAATCAAAATAGCTTTAATAACATGAGACACATAATTGTACGAGTGCTTACGAAACACAGCAGGGTTAAACTGCTATTTTACATGGTATTCTGTTAGAGCCACGCTCTAACAGAATACCATGTAAACTGCTACTACTAATATAGCTGCAACATGGCTCTACCACGTAAGAAAAAATTGACGGTGAAAATTTAAGTATTTTCTTAAGCAACTTTGCAATTATTTTCTATTGAGTGAAGTTTTGTGGAATCGTGTTTTGCAAACCGCCACCTGAAATACGTACAATTTTTTTCCTTAAGGACGTGAAATTACAAAACGATCCCCATGCATATCAACGTGGCTCTATTCAGCATCTTTATATGGACATACCTCGGGATTCAGAGATTTTAAAAGTTTTCATGCGTAGATAATGGAAGATATAATATTATATTATTACTGTCCCGTCTGAGGCCACGTTTATACTTGAATACATATTCTCATCATATTTTAATGGTTGGTTAGAAAAATTATATCTAAATGCAAACTTTCACAGGTTAATTTTTTTTTACTATTTTTATTTTTACCCAGCAAGTAGTAAAGCAACTGCAAGCACATCGGTAAGTGATTATGTAGCCTAAGATGGTGAATTGCACTGACGTAACAAAAACCTATTCACTCTTGCCTAATAGTGCTAGGTAAATATTATTTGTGACCTATTTGTGTGTGAGCGTGTGTGTGCGCGTGCGCGTGGGTGTGCGTGTGCGCGTGGGTGTGCGTGTGCGCGCGTGTGAGCGTGCGCGTGTGTGTGTGTGTGTGAAGAAAAGCGTATGAGAATAGGTAAAGAGGAATAAAGGTTGAGTGCTACTTCGCTTACCTGTACGAGGTTGCCATTCGAGAACCTTTCTTCCTATTTTTTATTTTCCAAGTTATATAGCCAGCCCATTGCCATTTCACTTTAATATTCCGTTGGGCTATGTCAGTTACTCTGGTTCTACTGCGAATATCTTCATTTGTAACTTTATCACGTAGAGAAACCCTTCTCCAATTTAAAATTTTTACATTTTTAGGTGATAGTTTTTCTAACATTAAAAAAAAACCATAAACCCAAGAATGTCTTTATATAGTTAATTTGATAACAGTGTACCTAAATGTAAGTATCTGTATCTACATACTCATAAAAACAGCGTTTTATTGTAATACATAATTATAAAATTCAGTATCAACTAATTAATAAAAATATGTAACAATAAATAACATAGGTATTAAAAACTATCGAAATCTAAGTAACGAGAGCATGTTCGTCGTTCCACATCTAAATTATATAAAAATGCATTTTTCAATTTCACTAATCAACGTCGCCGCGAAAATTTCGTCTTCTTTGGACACTTTAAAAATTAATTTATTTAGAAAATAATATTTACAGTTATCAGTGTACAGATATTAACTAAATTAAGTATTTCTAGTCATAAAAATATTTATAATTGAGTATAAACTTTAAAAAAAACTAATATATATTTGAACGAAGTCGCTCCAACACCGACGCGCAGTCCACCCTCAACGATGTCCGAAAACGGACTGTGACGGACTGCGACAGGGCGACGGAGCATGCACGCTCGCGTAAATATATTCAATTTCAGGGAAAAATGATATATTCTCTTATAAAACGGGGAATAAAAATAACTCTCAATTAAAAATATTAATATTTTTAAGACCTTTTTTTAGTGTAAGAACTATTTAAAGGCTTGTGCCGTTTTGGAGAAATTTTGCAAAATATGACAAAGATAGGTATTCTTTGGGGATTTTGTTTCTAATTAAGGCCTTAATTGTTTTTGGAAGTCATTGTTTAATTGTACCGTCGCGTTAAGAGCCTTTGTGTGTTGACTCTGTAGTTAGTATGCGTGTCAGCTAGGCTGATTTAGAATTCTTATTGCGGCGTAGTATTCAATATCGTACGAAGGAATTTAGTTTGTCGTTTGGGAACGCTGAACTTTGAGACTCGAGAAGAGACCGCGTTCGTACGTGTGGTTATAATTTTGTTGCTAAGTGAAAATGAATATTGAACTTTGAACGACTGTTCGTTACTTGTGTCGGGTGTCACGTGTTTGATTTCGATGAACGTTGAATTGGTTGACTTTGAAGTTAATTAAATGTACAATGGAGTTGATAGACTGAAATAGTGAAATGAAGAAAGAAGTTGTCAATTGGTGACGTCCGCTGGAGTGATGCCACGTTGTGGGGCGGCATCGGACCGGGTCGCTGCCCAATCGCCTCAGTTGGGTCAGGTCACATATATAAACACTACTAGACACCACTCACATGCACCTACACCTACCTACCGCCTGACCGAGCCTTGGGGCAGTCTTAGCTTCGGAACCAGGTACGTACTGTTTAATTACCTAGCCTTATATATATTGTGTAGAATGATAAGTCTTCATAGGCCGTTGGGCCCCGTCCTCTGCTGTCCGTCGATAGGACTACTGATGGGCCCTAGTCCAGTCTATCTTTGTTGGGGCAGCTCTGGGCGTGTACAACAGTTATGTCACAATAACAACTTTTTCATGTTAAAATATGAAATAATAACGCCGGTGCAAATTAGGCCACATTATCCGTATCAGTACCTGTACCATGCTCCACCAATTACGTTAACCATGTAATTTTAGTAACATATTTCACTTTTTAAATCTTTGTTAATTCAGCAACCGTCCGTCGTGTTGTCTTAAGTTCGCATGTCGCGAGGCTCAGACGCGTGATATACGCGGGTGAAACCGCGAGGCACAGCTAGTGTACTTATAAACATTGTAAATTACTCTTATTTCTCCACTATAAATTATCGGTCCACTTTTATCAACCGACTTCAAAAAGGAGAAGCTTCCCAATTCGTCGGAATCTTTTTTTATGTATGTTCACCGATTACTCAAAGACGCCTGAACTGATTTAGAATTTTTTTATTTTATTTGAAAGCTGGTGCTTCTCATGTCTCATATAAACGATAATGATCAAATTTGTAGGTTTTTGAGTTATCCTTAATAATTTCTATTGAAGTTGGTTGTATAAAATTTATAATTTTACTACTTCTTCTAATATAGGGTAGATAAGATATTTACTTTATTAATTTAATGTAGGTAACATACAAAGTACACAACCATTTCGTATGAAGGTCTCAACTGGTCATTGTGAACTTGACTTTCTAATTGTTTACGACCTGATTGGTTAAGGAATGTGGCCAGGCCAGCGGACAACTATGATGGACTATATTCTTAATACGACTACAGTAAATTATTAATAAGAACTAAAAATCCACAAAAAATATCTATTATTACCTAATCAAGTGACACGTTACTCGGAACAAGCAGGTGTTTTATTACGCTTTTTAGGAGACGTATTAGTATTACTCTCATAAAATAAAATGTAGGACATATGGAATTAAGATAAATCTAAGGACACCCCGCACTTTAAAATTCGTTAAGATATTTAGACTACAGTAGGACCGTAAGAAACAGCTAGGCATTGCTTTTCATAATATAAACATATGTACATACATGCGTACGTGCGTGCTTGCATAAGTGCAGGCGTATGTGTACTTAGTTAACATTTTAATAAACGCTCTAAGTTGTTCGTGTCTGTAGTAAAATAATAGTAACGGAGAATAATAGTTAAAATAATAAACCGTTTTTTTTTTTTAAGTAGCAATATAAAATGATTTTCCAGAAAATATAGGCTGGATTAATTAGTATTTTCTTGATATACGGCTGCTCATATTATTATCGTATAAGTGCGATATGGTTATGGTAGAGGCAATGTAAGAACACAAAATTTGCTAGACCTTGACGTGAGATTAAAGCTTCGCGTTATGAGGCGTGCAATAAACAAAAAATCAAACTAAAAATTCGCCACCAAATATTAAACTGACAAAGATGCCAAACCGAATAGAATCGTTTCCTTTATTTATTTAACACCAACAAGACATACACTAACAAAGGCATAATATTTTTACAAGAAATCATAAATGCTAAGTGTTGACTTAATTACAGGTGTTACACTCATTTCATAAAAGGTAGATATGTAATTAATTAAATTGAATACAAAAATTAATAGATCAATAAATGAAATCAGAATTTAATATTATATAATAGTTACACTTTCACTTTCTATGTCACTGTGAGATTTAACACTTTCACTGTCCGTTTTTTCAGACAATTAATAGTAAGACAATAGCAGTGAACTATATGTAGTACACGGGACAGTAAATGGGTTAACCTATTTCATTGTTAAATATGTTTTCTTTCATTATTGGCAACAAACCTAATGTTACAATCAATTTATTGTTTTCAGATTGTGAGACTAATAAGTCAACTAGTAAAGAAGCGAGGAGAGAGACTACACCCGTCGGCCCTAGACTGCCTGCTCACTCTCAAGATACGTGATGTGGACCTGGATGCCGAGGCAGACCTCAAGCACAAGAAGCGGCAAGAAGAGAAGCACAAGAAGAGGATCGTCAACTTGTCCAAGAAGGAAAAGAAGGTTAGAATATATTAGAGGCACCTAAGGACCTAATTTCGTATTAATAGCTAAACAACCTTGCTACGTGCGTTTGTGTTACATACATTTATTTTTATAGCTGTCTATACTGTTAACGATTAGAAAGTCGTCTTGACTAACCCAAGTGGGCGCCTTTCATTCAATGCGCTTGCCGGTAAAAATCTAACGGTTCACTAGCGTAGTAGTTAATCATTTGTCTCCATCATTTGTTTTTGAATAATATTGTATGGCTTACAAATTGTACATTATGTCAGAATGTTTGTCTATGTGCAATATTTGTATCTAAAACGCTTCCGTCATAATCAGCCCGTAGCGGTCCACTGCTGGACATTGGCCTTACTCATTGCCGGGAGTATTTGCTTACCTCAATCATCACACTTGGTAGGCGAATTAATAATCGAATTTTGACGCTGCTACCCAACACCAGTGGTGTTACGCCTACGACGGAAAGAGACGGTGAATTGTTTTATGCCTGTCTTATTTAATGCCTCCATGTGGTACATGAGAAATCCCGAATATGGTGTTATAATGTTTCAAAGATATAGTCATATATCAGTTGAGAAACCTAGAGGTTTTAGTAGAAAAGAACTCTGACACCTAGTTTATTTCAAACTTAATAGAACCTGTGCAAGTGTAAACTAATATCTACCTTACAGCGAGTAAAGAAGCTTAAAGAAGTGGAACGGGAGCTTCTAGAAACAGAAGCGCGGGAGAGCGAGGAGGCCCGCAAGAAGCAGCTGACGGAAGTGACCAAGACGGTGTTCCACATCTACTTCCGCATCCTCAAGAACGCGCCCAGGTCGCAACTGCTGGAGGCTGTCCTCAACGGGTTGGCCAAGTTAGTGATTGTTGTATGTTTTATACAGTGCCAGCAGTACCTTGTTTATTATACTTGTCTCTTTGACATTACTTTCTTGATATCGCTACCTTTTATATATCACTATTTTTTACCAATGAAATGAGACGTGTAGTCGCGGTTAAGAGTATCCACTACCCCATATCTTCCAGTGGGTGTCGTAAGAGGCTACAACCCTCCACCTCCTTCGATTCTCGGGCGCTGTACTTGCACGTGGCTCTTTCCCGCGCGCACTTTCTTGTGTTAATGGGAGACTTCAATGCAAAACTAGGCACAAAAGAGAACGGTGAGCTGAAGGTAGGGAAATTTGTAATAGGTCAACGGAATCCAAGGTGTCAGCAGCTGACCGACTTCATGGAGAAAGAGGGACTCTTTATGATGAACTCTTTCTTCCAGAAGCGGCCCCGCAGGAGGTGGACCTGGTCGAGCCTCGACGGTTCGACAAAAAATGAGATTGACTTCATTTTGACGACCAGACGACAACTGTTCAGTGATGTCTCCGTGATCGCGAGGGTGAAAACTGGTAGCAATCACCGAATGGTTAGAGGCACACTGAACCTAAAAGAACGATGAAGTCAAAGCTGCAGTCTGCAACTGAACAGACATCTCCAAATGCATGCGGTGGGACTTACGCAACTTCAATACAGCTTGTATTGAAGAAGCGATCGAGCGAAACCAAAGCTCCAAAGTGTTTGCCAGAGATCTGTCTGCCAGAAAGAGCCAATAGTCAAAGCTGAAGACTGAGTGTGGCAGCATCGTTTCCGGGACACCTGAGATTTTGAGTGAGATTGAGAGGTTCTATGGGCAGCTGTACACGTCATCGGTGGAGCCATACACAAGTGTGAGTAACGATCCAAGAGCGAGTCTTATTCGACACTATTCTGAAGATATCCCGGACGTCTGTCTGAGCGAGATTAGAATGGCTCTCCAGCACTTTAAAAACGGCAAGTCCCCGGGCGAGGATGGAATTACAGCGGAGCTTCTGAAAGCGGCTGGAAAACCGGTACTTGGAAGTCCTTCAGAATCTCTTTAATTCCGTCCTCCATGGTGGCACTACACCGGAGGCGTGGAGCAGAAGTGCGGTTGTCTTGTTCTTCAAGAAAGGCGACAACGCTCTCTTGAAGAACTACACACCGATTTCCCTTCTGAGCCGCGTCTACGTGCTGTTTTCGAGATTATCTTTATGAATCGCCTCGCATGATGACTCGACGACTTCCAGCCTCCCGAACAAGGCGGTTTCCGAAAAGGCTTTAGCACCATAGACCACATATATACCCTTCGGCAAATTGTACAGAAGTCCGAGGACTACATGTTGGGATCTTAGTTGTTTATAAATAATAAAACTGCAGATCGGGTGAAAATGCGTGTGCTCCGTGTAATAATTCTCTTGTACAGTAATGACATTAGTAACATTGACAGATAAAATTAGACAATTAATATTTTTGGAATAGCTTCTGGGCTTTTTTCCCATACAGATAAAAACTTAATGTTGTGTTGCCAACATATTGGCGGGGCAACTGGAAGATTAAGATGATAGGTACTTATTATTAAAGTATACAAACATTGAAACACCCTATTAATTCACATAGACAATATAGGTAATAAAGATATTAGTATTAACAAAAGGACAAGAAACAAAAATGTTATCTTATTGACATTAATCAAATTAACAAACTAATTGAAGTAATTAAGTACTAAACAATGTAACGGATAGGTACAGCATTTGTTTTGTTTATAAGACAAAAACGTTATCATTATTATTATTAAACTAAATGAACTTAAACTAATTATATTAAGTACATAATAAACAATGTAGTGTAATAAGACAAAAACATTATCATTATTATTATTAAACTAAATGAACTTAAACTAATTATATTAATTACATAATAAACAATGTAGTGTAAAGGTACAACCTTTTTTTTTTTGTTTATAAGATTATCATTATTAGCCAGCACCACTGCATTCCAGCGGTAGAACACAAACTTTCATTACAGCTCTTTTATGTGTGTGGCCGTTAGCAGTTTTGACTTCAACTACTCTCACTTTTCCATCTTTACCAGGGTAGGTATTTATGACTCTGGCTAGGGGCCAGTATAGTGGTGACAAATTGTCATCCCTTAGGATCACCAATGCCTTTACATTAGGTTGAATGTCTTGCCACTTAGGGCGAGATTGTAACAAATTTAAATAGTGCTTACTCCAAACCTTCCAGAACGACATTTTTATTTCATTACAAGTTTTCCAAAATTGAGATTGTTTTATTATGTTTACATTGGGCTCAGGATAAGTATTTAAAGCAGTTCCTATTAAGAAATGACCTGGAGTAATACAAGTATAATCATTTGGATCATTGGATAATGGCATGAGAGGTCTGCTGTTTAAACTAGACTCAATTTGGCATATGACTGTATACAGTTCTTCATAAGTAAGAATGGACTTTAGTAACACTCTCTTTAAGTGGTACTTTACACTTTTGACGCCGGCTTCTGCCAATCCAGCGAAGACTGGTGAATAGCAAGGTAAAAAATGAAAATTAATCCTCTTTTGAGCTAAATATTGACACACCCGTCTTTGGTGAACTGGCGAGTTGTGAAAGTTATGTAGTTCATTTAATTGGTTCTTTGCGCACTTGAAGGTTGAAGCGTTGTCGCTATATATGTCTGTGGGCAATCCGCGTCGCGATATAAATCTATTTAGGCAGGCTATAAAGGTTTCTGTTTTTAAATCAGTGGCTAGCTCCAAGTGGATAGCTTTTGTTACAAAGCACACAAACAGGCAAATATAACCTTTTGAGATTATAGGTTTTCTGATCCTGGCTATTTTCAGTGGTATCGGACCAGCGTAATCTAAACCTACCTTTTGGAAGGGGCGACATACATTGACCCTATCTGGCGGCAAAGAACCCATTAACTGTTTTGCTGATTCAGCTTTTAATCTAAAACAAACAGTACACTTATGTAACACTTTTTTAACTTGTCTGAGACCGTTCACTATCCAGAATCTTTGGTTTATCGATGACAGAACAAGCTTTGAACCCGCATGGAGGTTTTTAAAATGTTCACTTACAATAATTAAATTAGTGATGCGGGAGTCCTTAGGTAAGACAATGGGATGTTTCTGTGCATAGGGAATGGAGGCATTTTGTAATCGGCCGCCCACGCGAACCAACCCCCCATCATCGATAAACGGACATAATGGCTTTAAATTACCTTTAACAATTGTTTTCTTACATTTTAAGGCATGAATATCTTCTGACAAATATTTTTCTTGTTCATATTTTAGAATCATTGACAATGACAGATCAAGTTCAAGATTTTGACTTTGCATTCTGAACGAAACGTAAGATGTAAGCTAAAACTCTCGTCATTTTATTGATATCGGAAAAATTTTCAAGAAAATCGAGACATAACGATTGCTCACCAGAAGTAGTACAAAGCATTGCACTTAAGCATGCAGAGTCGACGCTAACCTCTGGTAAATCCTGTGGCAAAATTAAATTTAATTGTGGCTTGTACTCACGTGAATGCAGAAACGCAGGCCCTTTCCACCACAGGTCATGATCAGCTAGCTCTTGGCATGACTCCTCGGCTAAGACAATCGGCGGGGTTCTCGTTCGAACTAACGTATGACCATGTGTACTCTTGTGTAAGTTGTAAGATAACCTTAACGCGATTCGCTATATAAGCTTTAAGTGTATTAATGTTAGTTTTGAGCCAAGCTAATACTATTTGTGAGTCAGAATAAATTATAATATCCTGTATTTGCATTTTAACAGTTAATGTGATGAACTCTGCTGACAAGCTTTGCCAGCAACAGAGCTGCATTAAGTTCTAGTCGAGGAACTGATAAACTCTTATTAATAGGATTTATTCGTGATTTTGAACAAAGCAAGGATGTTTTGACATTACCCATTGAATCCATGACTCTTAGATATACACAACAGCCATAACCAGTTTTGCTAGATGCATCAGCAAACCCTATAATTTGTGTAAAGCTTATGTCATGCACACTTATGTGTCGCGGTATACGCATTGGTTGCATTGTAAGCAAGCTGTTATAAAACTTGTGCCAAAGCTGTAGCAGTTCACAATTTGGCACCGAATCCCAGTCCAATTTTTCTTGCCACAAGCATTGCATTAAAGCCTTTGCGCTTACCACGATAGGTCCAGCAAGACCTAGTGGGTCGTAGAATCCACTTATGAAGCTAAGAATTTCACGCTTAGATTGAGGCATGCTATTAACAGTTTTTGGGCTTGATATGATAAATGAATCTAACTTAATATTGTAATTCATACCTAGTGTTTTTAAAGAAGTATTATTTTTCTCTAGATCAGTCACATCAAAATGTTGTTGATCTTTTTGTATTTCTTTTAACAAGTCTGGTGAATTTGAAACCCATTTGTGTAATTGAAAACTTCCTAAGCTTAACAAACTGCATAATTGTTCCTTTGCTGCTGACAATCCAACCAACGTCTTTTCTGAATAAAGAATGTCATCGACATATGTGGAATTATTTAAAATAGAAGCAGCTATAGGGTACTCATTGTGGTGTTGTTCAGCCAACATTTTCAAACATCGAGTTGCCAAATAGGATGAGCTTTTTAAGCCATAAGTGACTGTGTTTAATTGAATACATTTAACACTTTCGTCTGGAGAGTCTCTCCATAGAATATTTTGTAATGACCTGTGCTTGGGATGTATATTTATATTTCTAAACATATTTTTGATGTCTGTTATAAAAAAATATTCATCAACTCTGAATAGTATTAAGACATCTACCAGCTCCTTTTGTACTACAGGACCATTAAGTAATAAATCATTCAAAGATGTTTTTGTACTTGTTTTCATAGACCCATCAAATACAACCCTGCATTTTGTTGTCTTTTTATCTAGCCTAAGTACAGGGTGGTGTGGTAAAAAGCACACTGGGTCAGTGGATAGGTTATATTGACTTATATCAATTAATGTACCATGTTTTTGCTTTAAATATTCATGAATGAACTCCTTGTATAGCATAAAAAGATTAGAATCTTTTTTAAATCTATGTTCTAAGTTATGAAATCTTTTTAAAGCTAAATATAATGAATCTCCTAAAGCTTGATTGATTGAATCTAATGGTAACTTTAGTGGCAAGATTACTTGTATTTTATTTTTTTTTGTATCTTGCTCGACATTGTCACAAAATATCTTTTCGCACAAGTCATTTTCAGAATGTGCTTCTGGGAAGGTCTCTGGAACACTTTCACACTTCCAAAACTTAACAATAGAATTATTTAAATCAGAGTCACATTTTTTGCAAAATAAAGTAATGACTGGTTCGGTGTGTTGTGTAGGTGTGTTACCTGCAATTACATAACCAAGTCTTGTATTTAGTAATGGAGCCTTAGGTGTGACACTGCCATCAGGTGCCTCCGAGCTGGATAGAAGAGCTTGAAGCTCAGGCTCAGGCGGCAGCAAGATAGAGTAAGCAGCTTCTTGTTCCTACAGTCTCCGCAGCAGCACCTGTGTCTGGATTCGTTTTCTTCACAGCTGCAACGTGAGCCACCTTTGAAGTTGGCTGGGATCGCTCCGGTGGCCGCTCTGCATTCTCGAGTGCAAGTGCACGCTTATCTAGAAAATTAATAAGGTGCGCAACCGTAGGATCTCGTACTCGAGCCAATTGGAATTCCCTACTGCACAATAAGTCTAACTTTCTAGTCAGAATGCAAAGTACTATTGGATCCCATTGATCAACTGAGTGACCTAGGTTTTTTAAGGCAGCTAATTGTTGCTTAACAATAGATACAAAGTTTCTTAAATTACTCGCTGTTGATTTACATATAGGTACAATATCTAACAAAATGTGTATATGTTCATTTGTAATTTTATATTTGTTGTCGTATCTATCAACTAGAATTTTCCTGGCCTCATGGTAACTCTCAGTAGACAATGTGAGATTTTTGACCAAATCATGAGGTTCCTCTCGCAGAAAACTACGTAAATAGAAAAACTTTTGCACATCATCTAAATTTTGATTGTTATGTATGAGTGAATCGAAGAGTTGTATGAATGGCTTGAACTCGGAGTACTTACCAGAGTACGTTGGTACATTTATGGTAGGTAACTTTGTATTGAAACTTTTTGTAACACACTCGTTTTTACAACCTTTTTCACAATTTATTGTTTCCAATAATTCTCTGATGACGGTGAGCGTTTTGCTGTACTGCTCTTCTACATCATCGCCATCATCGAGGTCGGGATCTATGGCGCAAATCTCCAAAGTATAGTCTTCGTACTTTTTGAATGTGTCGCGAAGACGCTCTTCCTTTCTTCCTTTAGGACTAACGCCTGTTTAGAGAACTCCTTGTAATCCTCTTCGTTTTTGAACATGTTTTCAATTTTAGTTAGAGTACCTTTGATGGACGCTCGTTTCCTGACGAGCGTTCTAATTTGTTCGCCATCCATTGTTGAAAACTTGTTTCGCACACTGTAAAATTGCTGTTACAACAATATAATTCGGTTGTAACTGAAATTATCTGACTGCACAAGCACGAAGCAACAGGTTTTTTCTGTAAAACTGAATTATGCTCGTTCGGAGGCGGCGCGCCGGCGAGGCCACGTGGTGACGCGTGCTTCTCGAACTCGATGGACTCGCCCGTCGCTGATTGACTCTTCTGAGTGTCGTGATGTGACGCGAGCCAATCAGATGCGTCCTCCTGGCGCGGCGACGAAGCACTCTCGGTGTCACCGACAGTTGCTTTTTTTTTTATGCTTGAACCAAACTTTTTCAGAACACTCAAACGCAGCGCTCGAACTTTCTGGAGCGTTTTGGACTCGCCCTTGAAATTCTAATGTGGACTTGCCCGTTTCTTTTTCGCTACGACCGGGGCGTGGCGTGGGTATCTTCTGGAAGTTGTATGATCCAAAGCTTCACACGAAGTCACCGTTCTTTCGCTGGATAGACTATATTGTTATTGCTCGAAGGACCATTTGTAGGGATCTTAGTTGTTTATAAATAATAAAACTGCAGATCGGGTGAAAATGCGTGTGCTCCGTGTAATAATTCTCTTGTACAGTAATGACATTAGTAACATTGACAGATAAAATTAGACAATTAATATTTTTGGAATAGCTTCTGGGCTTTTTTCCCATACAGATAAAAACTTAATGTTGTGTTGCCAACACTACAATTTGCCACTATGATTTGATTCCATCGAAATTTGTGCGGTGCTGCAGTCCCTTCAGCAGTGCCAAGTTGACTGTAGGTATATTGAAGTGCTGAAGTGAAGTGTTTGTACAGTAGGGCTACGATGGTTATCCGAGTACAGAACCAGAGTACGAAACCTATCCAACTGCAGAAGTGTAAGACAGGTTGACGTTATATCCTCGAAAGTCTTTACCGGTGCATTGGAAGACGTTTTCAAGCTTCTGGACTGGAAAGGATACGGTATTAACATCAACGGCGAGTACATCACTCACCTTCGATTTGCCGACGATATAGTCCTTATGGCAGAATCGCTGGTGGATCTAAGCACTATGCTCAATGACCTCAATAGTGCCTTCCAACGGATAGGTCTTAAGATGAACATGGACAAAACAAAGATCATGTATAACGTACATGTCATACCTATGCCGGTAATTGTTGGGAGCATTAAGCTTGAAGTTGTTGACGATTATATTTACCTGGGACAAATAGACCGACTAAGTAAGTCCAACTTCGACCGAGAGGTTAATCGACGGATTCAAGTCGGCTGGGCAGCGTTTTGGGAAATTACGGCACATCTTCTCGTCAGGTACACCTCAAAACTTGAAAACGAGACTGATCAACCAGTGCGTGTTGCCAGTGATGACCTATGAAACTGAGACGTGGTTCTTCACTGTTGGTCGGAAGAGGAAGTTCAAGATCGCTCAGCGAGCTATGGAGAGGGCTATGCTTGGAGTTTCTTTGCATGATAAACTTGAAATGAGGATATCCGCAATAGAACCAGACGGACCGACATAGCCCAACGGATTAGTAAGCTGAAGTGGCAATGGGTCGACCATATAGCTCGAAGAACCGACAATCGATGGGGAAGAAAGGTTCTCGAGTGGCAGCCTCGTACCGGTAGACGAAGTGTAGGGCGACCTCCCACTAGATGGAGTGATTACCTGGTAAGACATGCAGGAAGTCAATGGATGCAGGTGGCTCAGGACCGTGCTTTATGGTATTTTTTGGGAGAGGCCTATGTTCAGCAGTGGACTTATGAAGGGCTGTAAATCTTGGCTGCCGACATGGGCACAGACCGTCATTGCTTGTAATCAATTCATTTATTCCTTTTGGCGGTCAGATTCACGCACGTGATCAACGTGGAGTACTACTCGGAGCTGGTGGGGCTGCTGTCGCGGCTGTGCGGGGAGGAGGGGGCGAGCTCGCGGCTGCGCCTGCAGTGCGCGCGCACCGCGCTGGCCGTGCTGGCGTCCGCCGGCGACGCGCTCAGCTTCGACCCCGCGTACTTCCACGCCTTCATCTACACGAACTCACTCGCCGTGCACGCGGGTACGTACCCTGGCGTCCGCCGGCGACGCGCTCAGCTTCGACCCCGCGTACTTCCACGCCTTCATCTACACGAACTCACTCGCCGTGCACGCGGGTACGTACCCTGGCGTCCGCCGGCGACGCGCTCAGCTTCGACCCCGCGTACTTCCACGCCTTCATCTACACGAACTCACTCGCCGTGCACGCGGGTACGTACCCTGGCGTCCGCCGGCGACGCGCTCAGCTTCGACCCCGCGTACTTCCACGCCTTCATCTACACGAACTCACTCGCCGTGCACGCGGGTACGTACCCTGGCGTCCGCCGGCGACGCGCTCAGCTTCGACCCCGCGTACTTCCACGCCTTCATCTACACGAACTCACTCGCCGTGCACGCGGGTACGTACCCTGGCGTCCGCCGGCGACGCGCTCAGCTTCGACCCCGCGTACTTCCACGCCTTCATCTACACGAACTCACTCGCCTTGCACGCGGGTACGTACCCTGGCGTCCGCCGGCGACGCGCTCAGCTTCGACCCCGCGTACTTCCACGCCTTCATCTACACGAACTCACTCGCCGTGCACGCGGGTACGTACCCTGGCGTCCGCCGGCGACGCGCTCAGCTTCGACCCCGCGTACTTCCACGCCTTCATCTACACGAACTCACTCGCCGTGCACGCGGGTACGTACCCTGGCGTCCGCCGGCGACGCGCTCAGCTTCGACCCCGCGTACTTCCACGCCTTCATCTACACGAACTCACTCGCCGTGCACGCGGGTACGTACCCTGGCGTCCGCCGGCGACGCGCTCAGCTTCGACCCCGCGTACTTCCACGCCTTCATCTACACGAACTCACTCGCCGTGCACGCGGGTACGTACCCTGGCGTCCGCCGGCGACGCGCTCAGCTTCGACCCCGCGTACTTCCACGCCTTCATCTACACGAACTCACTCGCCGTGCACGCGGGTACGTACCCTGGCGTCCGCCGGCGACGCGCTCAGCTTCGACCCCGCGTACTTCCACGCCTTCATCTACGCGAACTCACTCGCCGTGCACGCGGGTACGTACCCTGGCGTCCGCCGGCGACGCGCTCAGCTTCGACCCCGCGTACTTCCACGCCTTCATCTACACGAACTCACTCGCCGTGCACGCGGGTACGTACCCTGGCGTCCGCCGGCGACGCGCTCAGCTTCGACCCCGCGTACTTCCACGCCTTCATCTACGCGAACTCACTCGCCGTGCACGCGGGTACGTACCCTGGCGTCCGCCGGCGACGCGCTCAGCTTCGACCCCGCGTACTTCCACGCCTTCATCTACGCGAACTCACTCGCCGTGCACGCGGGTACGTACCCTGGCGTCCGCCGGCGACGCGCTCAGCTTCGACCCCGCGTACTTCCACGCCTTCATCTACGCGAACTCACTCGCCGTGCACGCGGGTACGTACCCTGGCGTCCGCCGGCGACGCGCTCAGCTTCGACCCCGCGTACTTCCACGCCTTCATCTACGCGAACTCACTCGCCGTGCACGCGGGTACGTACCCTGGCGTCCGCCGGCGACGCGCTCAGCTTCGACCCCGCGTACTTCCACGCCTTCATCTACGCGAACTCACTTGCCGTGCACGTGGGTACCTACCGCCACACCGACCATACAGTGCTCATTACTTGCACAGTATTTAGAGGTAAATCTCGGTTTTGTGGTTAAAGTCCATGATGTCATTTTATTGCTTTGATTGCATAAACATGTAATCAATGATCATTATGTTTGAGATATCACTTCATATTTTTAGGTATTTTTTTGACAATGAACGTTGCATAAGAATCTGAGTAATGTTTGTTCTTCGTTGGTTATTTCTACACGAATTACAAAATCTTCGAAGACCCTCTTCATATAATGAACTGCCAATCGACATGGAAGAAAGATTCTCGAGTGGCAGTATTGTACTATCAGACAAAGTGTAGGGTGTCTCTCCACTAGAGCGAGTGACGACCTGCTAAAACATGCAAGAAGTCGATGGATGTTGGTGGCTCAGGACTGTGCCAGGCCTCCGTCACTCGCTCAAAACCCTGCGTTATATGCCTATCGTTCTGTGTATCGCCCACGATACAACCGACATTGGGCTGCCGCACTCCCGTCTCAGCGCTTGCACCGCGCACGTTTCCCGCGCTTACTCGTCGAAATGCCGAAACCACGTAATTATTGTCCAGTGGATGGGTGTCAGTCAAAAAACAAATGTAAAATTGTCATTTTTTTCTTAATTATAAGATTACATCGAAACAACAGCATAACAGTGCTGTGATTTATAATTTGTGTAACAACCTGGACCCAAATTATATAATAAGTCTTAAATAATTTTGACAACGCCATTATGAATCGGCCTGGCAGCAGCGTGTTACAAATTTTACAAACCATTGATTTTCCTCCTGTTTTCCTCATGACTTTATTTATTAAAATTATTTACGCGATTTAGGATATTTTTAACGATAGGATTTAATAACCGAGAATTCAAAGAAGTAAAGAAATGTATTAATTATTTTATAAAACTGAAACATCAAATATGTTGAAACGACAAATACAAAATATGGTTATTTCGCAAGGTTAGTTTTATGACAATAATCATCATAGGTACAACCCTAGCGCATTCGTGGGATGATGCGCTTGCACGCGAGTCGCACGGCGGTCAACACAATCTCGACCCTTTAAGCGCGTACTTATGGTACATTTTCTTCTCGCTGCGAACAGCAGATATTATTATTAAGATTTTGTAGGGTATAATAGCGTAGGTATTTTCGCTTTTGTATGGGAGTGATGTATCTGTTTTGTAAGTAATCTGTGACCGTGTTGTGTGACGTTCCTTGGGAGAGGCCTATATTTAGCAGACGATTTATCAAGAGTTGTAATAATGACGATGATGATGATGAATGATTCCAGGCGCAACTTCGGAGGACGCCAAGATAATCATAGAGGCGGTGACGCAGATCTGTTCGCGAGCTCGGCGCGTGTCTGGCGAGGTGCTGCAGGCGTTCGCCAAGCGGCTGGCCACGCTCGCCACGCAGCTGCCGCACAACGCCGCACTCGCCTGCTTGCAGCTGCTGCACAACCTGCTGCAGGTGTGTATGCCCATTAGTTTTGTTTACGTAGTAGAGCAACACAAAAATATGACCGTCCCACATTTGGTAAACGGTGCATACACTGTTCAAAGATGAATCATTTTGCACGAGTTTGTGGTGTATTTTATTCAGAAAAATAGAACGAACAGGTAATAAACTTGTTCAAGAGTCGTATTGACTGGAACATAAATTTAATAATTAATCATACACAAATATGTTTTAAAATTAATACCGAGGCGGATTTGATTTGACGGCTCCGTGGCGCAGTGGCTTAGCAATGAGTTACCGCGGGTTCGAATCCCACACGAAACAAGTATTTGTACGGCCTGCAAGTATTTGTTCCGGGTCTGGATGTTTGTCCTTGTGCAGTTTATGTTTGTAAACTGCCTCCACGATACAGGAGAAAATCTTAGTGTGAGGGTAACGTTGTTTAAAAAAAAAAAGATAAGAAAGAATGTATTGCCTGTAATTTTTATCTATAGGGATTACAAAACAAGATTTATTGAAAAGCAGTACAAACGTTAATGGTTACTCGGGTGGGTTATATATACTTTCTTGGTAGAAATCTACGGGTTAGTCATAAAAACAATTTGTACATTTTGGAATTTATTTTTCTTGAAGTAGACTCTATAGTCTATTCCTATATATACACTCTCTTGGTATAAATCTACGGGTTAGTTATAAAAACAATTTGTACATTTTGAAATTTATTTTTGTTGAAGTAGACTCTATTGTCTATTCCTATATTAGGCAAGTACACGTGTATATAATTGGATATAGTGAGGACGTGTCATGTCTGTGCAAGAGAATAATAATAACCAACAGTTATTTATTGAAGATTACGAGGACGTATTTAAGGGCTTCGCGTTTTTACCGGGTAAATACGCTTAAAGTAGAATAGTGTACCCGTAGGAAAGTTACCAATCGCAATTAGGGAAGAGTTTAAAAGAAAATTGAATGAAATGGACTCACAGCAAATCGTTTCTAGGCCCATCTGACTGGGTCAATAGCATAACAATATTAAATGTAACTAATTCAAATCAAATCTAATATAATGGTGGGGACGATCTCGAACATGTTCAAAACACTGCAGACTTCCCGGAACGTCGGTGCTTCAAGTCAGCTATATGTTCTATATTCTTACACGCGGGAAGTCTGCAGTGTGTGAACATGTTCAAGATCGTCCCCACCATTATATTAGAATCTTAAATTGAACAAAAGCAAATGCCGGTTTGGTTTGTAGGAAATAAAATATTTAGGTCATAAAATTACTGAACAACGATTATATCCCGTCGATTCTCATATATCAGCAATACTTAATATGCCAAAACCTCAAAATAAAAAGAATATAGAAAGATTATTAGGTCTCGTAATTTATGTAGGTACGTTTGTTCCAAAATTATCAAATAAAACAGTCTTATTTAGAGAACTTTTACAAAAAGACACCGATTGGCATTGGGATTAAAATCATGAAAAATGTAAAGAAATGTAAAAGAACTGAAAACTTGTCTATTCAGCACTCCTGTATTACGGTATTATGACTTAAAATTTTCTGTGACTATATCGGTGGATGCAAGTAAAAGTGGTTTAGGCGCGTGCATTAACCAGAATGGTTTACCCGTGTACTGAACAAAGATACGCAGAAATAGAAAAAGATTTGAATGCTTGTGTATTTGCTTGCGAGAGATTTCACGCTTATATTTATGGTAGAACAGATGTTACAATAGAATCGGATTATACACCTTTGGTTAGCATTATTAGAAAGCCCATTGTCAACTCACCAGCACGCTTGCAACTAATGTTGTTAATATTACAGCGTTACGTTATCACGTGCGTACGACGTCTCACGAGTCACCGACGATACATTTATGCAACTGCAAAAGTACACGGAAACTGATAATGAGTTGATAAAATTAAAAATGTACGTGTACGTGAGCCCTTCAGGCTGGCCAAGTGTCAAAGGAGAAGTGGGCGATATAATTAAACCGTATTGGCATTATACAGACAATTTATCGTTTGCCCATGCGTTGGTTTGGAAAAATGCGTCTAAATGTGTAGGGTTGGGCAAGTGAAAAAAATGTATCGATTTATGTTGTATCAATATTTTTAAACAGTATCGATATATATTGCGTGATAAATATCGATATAACGTCATCATTTGCATGTTGTACTAGGATAGGGCCCAAAAGACAGTTGGACAACGAAAAAATGCTCTTGTTCCTTCATGTTTTTCCATTAATATAACATTTTAAAATATATCGAAACTGACACGAATTCGATACTCTAAAATAAATATCGATATATCGCGATTAAAATAATATTTTTATGAGATAATATCGGTATTTCGATATATCTATGTTTTCATTCAAGCATATTAATGTGTATATTTAAAAAGTGTTAATTTATACATGGTAGAGCCATGCTGCAGCTATATTAGTAGTGTAGATGTAGTACGAATAGGTCGGCTCGACCGGGGAAGGACCACGCTCTCACAGAATACCAGCGTAAAATAGCAGCTTAATGCTGCTCTGTTTCGTATGGTGAGTGTAGAGAACCGGAGACCCTTTTCACTTGGAAAGAGGCATTCCATCACTCACGGGTGACAATGCATCTGCATTTTGATTTTTTATTGAGGATAGATGTAGATGTCTATAGGTCATAGCAACCACTTACCATCAGGTGGACTGCTTGTTTGTCACCCTATCCTATAAATAATGCAAGAATTATATATATAGAGTTAATTTTAACATAAATTACTTCAAGATGAGGCGATACGGTTAAATGGTACTCTGGTGCCCATTTCAAAAATAAGGGTGATATGCTTGATTGTAGTAACTATCGAGAAATAAAGCTCATGCCACACACCGTAAAGTTTGGGAAAGAGTGATTATAGGACGACTGGAGGAAGGAGAGTGAAGTAACACAATGCCAGGACATGGTTTAGTAGATGCAATATTTGCAATTACCCAGATTTGCGTAAAATGTAGACGTGTACACAAAAATCTTCCATGGTGTTTGTTGACCTGGAAAAAGCATTGGATAGGGTACCCCGGAAGGTTCCTCGGTGGGCGTTGAAACAGAAAGGGTTTCAGGGAAGAATGTTTCGCTTACCCAGACGACGTATAACAGAGCCAGTACGTATGTTTGGTCTGTAGCTGGAACAAGCGACAAGTTCACTGTCAATAACTTGGGATTTGGCTAGAAAGAAGACGAGTTTTTCTGTATCATTGTCATTCATCATTCTGTATCAATGAACCGAGGTACCGAAACTCAGAATGGATTGCTAAAGATACACTAAGGGAATTCGAGAGAAATTTAAGGGAAATCCAAAGTCACAGAACACTAATTTCTGCTGCCATTTTGCCCATCTACTCTGGACCTCAAGTGTATTTTACCCAAAAAGAACAATAACGTCGGCGAACAGCATGCACCAAAGTCCGTATAAGTATGTCCGATGTCAGTGCATCCATTACCAGTAGGAACAAATAGGGCCACACCAACGCGACAGTGAACTTGTCGTTGTTCCAGCTACAGACCAAACATACGTACTGGCTCTGCTATACATCGTGTGAGTAAGTGAAAGACACCTACCTTAAACTTTTTCTGTTTCAACGCCCACCAAGGAACCTTCCGAGGTACCCTATTCAATATTTTTTCCATTGGTCGATTTTTGGGTCATCCTTAGTTCAATGGGTATACCAAAGTAACTTTGTAACGACGTTCAGTTTATCTATACAAATAAATAAAATTAGAGTGTCTGTTTATAATGTCAAATGAACAGTTTTCCACTAAATGCATATGAAACTACGGTATTTATAACAAAAACACAATTTTTGTCTGTCTGTCTGTTTGTTCCGGTTAATCTCCGAAACTGCTGGACCGATTTTGATGGGACTTTCACTGGCAGACAGCTGATATTATAAGGAGTATCTTTTATTTTAGAAAAGGAATTAGGGTTCCGCGGAAAAAATTAAAAACCTAAATTACACGCGGGCGCAGTCGCGGGTAACAGCTAGTTTAAAATAAAATTGTTTATTATGTTTAAAAAGGTTTAAATATATCTAAGTTTGAAGACCTTAACATTTGCTACTTATTTCAAAAAATCATATTTATGCAGGACCTTGGATTTTGTTTTTATTTTATGTTTTATAATTTGTAAGTTATGTAGTAAAATCACTCGTTCTTGTGATAAGTTGTTTGAATAAATTGAATAGAACACAAAAGAATAGTTTTGTAGTCATTATGTGGGCGCAACAACCTACTGTTCTGTGATCCGAGAGAAAAGCCAAGGGTCAAGTTAAATAAATTCACGAAAGTAAAAACTCGCAATCTATCCAAAAAAAACAGTTACAATGCCAAATGCGCATGCCGCATGATAAGTTAAAACTCAAAGTTACCAAGTTAAATCTCCTTCGGAATATGCAATGATCCATGACCATACAGCCTATTCAGTTGTGTAGGATAATATTGAAATGTTTTTTTTTTCTTAGTTAATAACATAGCCTATTCAATCGTTTTCTAAATATATTCTTTTATTCAATATTAATTACTACAGTTTCGCGTCAATGATTCAATATTATGATTTTTATTGATAATCAAAGCCAATTTATTAGAAAAATAGCCTACATTATCTATTGCCATAGACAAAATACAGAAAAATATTTAAAACGTTTCGTTTTGCTAAAGCAAAAACATTAGCTTTCATTTTTCAGTTTAAAAAAATGTTTTTATGATTGTACCAAGTATAACAGAAATAAAAATCATTTATTTATGCTTATAATTTATCGTTTTATTACCTACATATTTTTGTTTAATTGTTACGAACGATGTTGAGCACCCAATGGTGACCTATTATTAAAGAGGCACTACTTTAAATCACCGGACGCCATTTGGAGGTGAAGCAAAGGTCATTTTGGTAAAAGAAATGCCCACCCTTATTTTTAATATACCTCTAAATAGCAATATTATGTTTATAAATGAACAATCTTGGAACAGTTTACAAATCAGCATTTTCCTTACATACTGAATTGTTGTGCATGTCGTAAGAGGTGATTATGGGATATGCAAATCTTTCAATTAACAGCGGTGTAACAATGTTCTTATCTTTAGAGAGACAGTTTATATACATGAATTTCACAAGGACAAACATCTAGACTCAGAACAAATATTTGTAGGCCATATAAATAGTTATTCCGTACGGGATTTGAACCCGCGGCCCTTAGCGCTCCAACACATAGCTAAGCCACAGCGCTATGGATCTGTCTAACAATAGTTACCGTTATAACCTACCAAAATCCACTGATAAACATAGGCCTCTCCTAGAGATTGCCTCATAGGGGGGATATTTGCCATAGGTGTTGCGCTTGACGAGGGGATTGGCAACCCCAGTTATTTATTTTTAGTCGTTATCTATCTATCGACATTCACGGCATGATATGGGGTAGTGGATATTCTTACACCATTACTGCAAGGTAAGAACGGTTGAAGAAGAAGAATTAAAGATTTCCTGTATGTGTGAACAGAGCAGTACCGCGGTGCAGTCGCTGTTGGACGCGGAGGAGGCGAGTGCTGCGGGACGCTATGATGCGACGCTGCCCTCCCCCGAGCATTGCTGCGCGCGCGGCGCCGCGCTGCACGAGCTGTGCGCGCTGCGCCGCCACCACCAGCCCGCGCTGCGCGCCGCCGCCGCCGCGCTGCTGGCGCGCAATGCTCCGCTGCATAACAGGTATGGTTTTAACACTGGTAGAGCCACGCAGCATCTTCTGCTATAGCACGAATGGGCCGGCTCGTACCAGGGAAGTACCATGACCTCACAGAAAACCAGCGTAAAGTAGAAGCTTTACTTTTGCCTTTCACTTGGTTAGTGCATTTGGCCGGAGGCCGCCCCCCTCATCTCTAAATCATGGTAGCGGAATTTAAAAAGAAACGACAACCCCAAGAATTACCTTAACTGCCAACTCATGCGCTACCTTGAGGAGCACCAGCTGATTAGTGACCGCCAGTACGGTTTCCGTCGAAGTCGCTCAGCTGGTTATCTTCTTATTTACCTAACACAGAGATGGACGTAGACAATCGGTTCTGGCACAAAGCTTTTCTTTCGAAACTTCCTTCCTACGGGCTTCCCAAGAAAATGAGCAATTGAATCACTAGTTTTCTAGCTGATCGTAGCATCAAGGTCATTGTAGACGGTACATGCTCCGATTACAAGCCTATTAACGTTGGTGGCTGCGTGCTGTCACCAACGCTGTTTCTTCTGCATATCAATGATATGTTGCAAACCAGTAACATTCATTGCTATGCGGACGACAGCACTGGTGATGCATTATACACCGGCCGTGCCAATATTTCTCGGGAAAACGTCGCCGAGTACCGGAACAAACTTGTGTCAGAAGTCGAGACTTTGTTGAACAAAGTCTCAGACTGGGGTCGACTAAATCTAGTCCAGTTCAATCCCCAAAAGACACAAGTTTGCGCGTTTATCGCTAAAAAGAACCCCTTTGTCGTATCTCCTCAGTTTCAAGGCACTCCCCTTGTTGCCTCAGCCAGTATAGGAATCCTCGGTGTCGACATATCGAGTGACGTGCAGTTTCGTAGTCACTTGGAAGAGAAGGCCAAATTGGCCTCTAAAAAGCTTGGCGTGCTCAGCAGAGCGGGACAGTATTTCATGCCGGTACAACGCCTACAATTTTACAATACGCATTTTTGGCCACACATGGAATACTGTTCCCATCTCTGAGCTGGGGCTCCCCATTGCCAGCTCCTTCCATTTTATCGCATCCAGCGTAGAGCGATTCGAGTATCGGTGACCGAGCTCTTTCTCGTCCATTTGATTCACTGGCACTGAGTAGGCAGGTTGCATCCCTTTGCATTTTCTATCGCATCTACAACGAGAAATGCTCTGAGGATGTTCTGATTAATTCCGCCGCCAAATTTCACGAACGCACAACGCGTCAAATTTTACGATACCTTCCGTACCATCTGGATGATTGGCCATCCATTACTCTGCGATTTAGAATTTTTCTTCCTCGCGCAACTTTTTTGTGGAATCGAATACCACCAGCAATTTTTCCGGACCGATACGACCTACTCCTATTTGAAAGGCTTGGCAACGCATCTGCTATTCCCCTGGTGTTGCCATCAGGTGAGCCGTATGCTCGTTTGCCCCCTCTCGTATAAAAAAAAACACGCACTGTGTGCAGTATCGGGGAAAAACGCTATGGCCACTCCCTTCCGATCCGCCGGTGGTCTGTGTTGCTCTATGTCACGCCCTCCCTCAATTGCGTGACGGGGATAGTTCATCCCCTACCTTCTCTTGACATTAGATATAATACGTAAGAAGGAAGGTATAAAACAAATATAATCAAGTAACAAGAATAATTAATATTATAGAATTAATTTATTTTTCTGTGCAGGACACCAATACAAATCTACGAAGAGTACGACGGCTCGCAGATGGCGTTCAAACCAGCAATCCCACCTCCCAAACGGAACGAGCAGAGCAACAAGCGACCACAACACGCCCACGTGTGGGCACAGGCTGACTTCAAGAAACATTGTGAATCTGTCGATAATAGTGTCCAGTTAATTTTCAGCGAGAATGTAAGATGATTATTTATTAAAATAAAACCACAGAATATTTTAAGTATGTTTTATTTTATTTGAACATATTATCCAATATAATAATATTACAACATATCGCTATTATACCAGTGATTCTACCAGTGATTTTTTGAAAAAACAATATGGTGTGTTGAGTAAATGGTATGGATTTTTCCATATGATCATTCCATATGCCATATGTGCAGTGGCAACGCTTTGGCACGTTAATTACTAATCATAAATCAATGCTTGCATCCGACAAAATGACTATAATGCGCGTGTCTGATGCGCGCATGATAACAACCAATGCGACTGAATTTCTTATAAGACATTTGTCATAAGACACAAAAAAATTTCTTATAATGTGCAAAAGGGCTGGGAGTGTACGTCTCGCTGGACACGCGTTGAGAATGGCGCCAGTTTTCTTGAAATATCAATGAATCGGTATATATAGTATTGGCTCTTTTTTATATAGATCAAGGGTGACAAATGAGCACAGTCCACCTGATGGTAAGTAGACACTGTCGCCCATGGACGCCCATATTTATCGATAAAACAACTAATTAATTAATAATTACAACCATAATATAGTCCTCAAAAGCTGCAGCATGGCTCTACCACGTAAAAATGGGAGGAATCTGGAGGTATTCGTGGTTAACTACGACATTGGGACGTCAAACACCTCACTCGTTCCGTGTGAGATTCGAACCCGCGGCACCCAGCGCAACTTAGCAACAAATTGCTAAGCCACCGTGCCACGGAGCCGTCAAAGAAAGAACAAAATGAAAGATGAAAATAAATCTAGAGCTGTGGCTTCTATACTCCGAGGTGGTTTGGCCTACAAAAATATATTAAAATTGCATACTTCACACATAAAAGCAGTCACGGCTTTTTAGTCTATGATAAATCTTTGAATTATATTAAAAGAGCGGCAAAATAAATGTGCTACGCTGCCAGCTATTGTTTGTTTACATAATATATACCTATTGTTACCTACAAAATGTTTACCAGCCACACAACACACCAGTGTTAATAACTATTTGGGTTTTATATGCCTACTTACCTGTTCATGAAATAGGAGCGCTTGGCTAAGTGGTCGAGTGCGTATTCAAGTCAAGGTCAGCGCTCATAATTTATACATAACTCTCGTGGCACGACCTATACTTACAACTTTACCTACTTATCTTGGTATGTGTAAAGTATCGTGACATACCTTTAGCATTGCTAATAGATGCGTACATAAAGGAATGCAAGGATACGTAAAGTAGGACCAAATGTTTGCAACCACTGACGAACTACGTAACCAACAAAATTTCTTCACGTTTCACTAGGTACTAAATAATAGTACGAGTTGATTTATACTCATTACATTCGAAGTTTAAGCAAGTTTTTTCGTCCTTGTAAACAGTACAGTTTATCTAAAAAAATACAAAACTTCATAGGCGTGAGTTCTCATACGCACCATGCTACAGCGCAAAGACTATAATCAATGGTAAAGCTGATAACTTACATTTGGAACTTTATTCCACGCATTTCTGATTTAAAAAAATCATTTTTTTCAAAAAAAAATACTGCACAACCATAAAAATATCGCCTTTTGGCAGATTATCTGATTGTCCTTTTTCAAAGCCCGCTACCATTTCCTTTTTTTGCACTACAAACCGTGACTATACATGTAAAAACAAATATAATCATATAATATGAAGGTAAACGACCGCATACTTCCAAGCGCGCGGTTAGTACTGAACTTAGGTAAGTACCTAATCTCGAATTGAGACGTCATATCACAGTGAAAGAGTGAGAATTTTTTTTTTAAAAATTAGCGAATCTTCAAAACGTTATAACTTTGGTATTTCTGCACCAATTTGGATGAAACAAAAACTATTGTTATTTTCATAAACATAGCTTTAAAGCTATATATGTTTAAAACTATATTTATTGTCAAATTATCACATGTTGGTGTGACCCATTGACGTCATTATTTACTTTGATGCTAAGCAAAAAGGTACACAAAAGGTAAGGTAGCTTTTCTTGTGTATGAGTATGGATGAAGTCTTGTATGCCATACCATCCCTGTTGTACACCAGTTTCATAAACTATTTTTTTCCTTATGTGATATTAAATATTTTCTGAACATAACATAGTTTACTTCCTCTCTTTTACATTACTTGAGCACTTATATTATTTTACAGGTTGAATAATGTCTTGGTTTAACAGAGGAAAGAAGTTAGTAAGCATGGCGATAAAAGACTCAGCAAGAAGACCGTTATCCATTGGAACTTAATCAGTGGGCACATTCAACACGACTGGTTCCCCATTCTTTGAGAATTGATTCACTTTAGTCTCGACCATACTCGATGGATATTAAGTTTAAGGAATATCTGTTAAGTGATTCTGAATCAATTGATAAAATTTCAGCAACTCCAAAAGATGCGTGGGATCGAATATTCAAACTTGATATTTCGCGCTACACGAAAGTGAAGATACACCTCAAATTGACTTAACTGATAATGAACAAAATTCTGTGAATATTTTTAGTTATGAAGAAATGGTACCATCTGTAAACGATGTATTTGATTTTAATGAATTAAGTGCTAAAGATAAACGCTATGTACCACCAGTGAACATGCCCCAAAATAACTCCAAATCCGAATAAAGCAACAATCGATTTATTACTTACTTACCCACTGTACGTCTTTCAGAATCTGTCGAAGAGCACCATCACATGGAATTAGCCGATAAAGATTTAACTCCAATTATTCTTTGAAAGATAAAAATTATGCGCCGCCAGTAAACTTAGCGTTAAATAGCTTCGAATCCGAAGAAGTACACAATCTGTCTATTAGCTACTCTTCCGTCTACAGTATGTCTTTCAGAATCAATAAAGGAACGCCATTATTTGGAATCAAGCGGTGAAGATTTCGACTCTGACCATTCCGTAAAAGATAAAGACTACGTCAGCGGAGATGCCGCAAATCAGTTATGATTCCGAAGAAAACGATAATCAGTCTATTTCATACTTTAAGTCGCCTACTATTCAGCATGTTAAAAAAATTGATAAACAAGTATCTGATTTAGCAGAAGATGAAGAAGTGTTTTTTAAATGGTTTGATTTCGCAAAAAACGTATAAAAAAACGATCACAACCAAAAATCTAGAAACCAAACCGTTCAGAAATGCAAATAAAAAAATAGATACATTGTTATCATTATTTAAAAAAGCTATTAATAAAACTCTATACCAAAAGCAAGAAAATCGACCATTTTTACAAGGTGTAACGACGATACGTGGGGATGTAGGGGACAAGAAAAGTAACTGTGTATATCATTGTTGAACAAGAAACGACTACTGGTCCAGAAGATAATATAATAAATATAGACTACGACCAGACAGAAAAACTATTTGAACGTATTGTTTGAATATATATTACACACCACATGCCCACACACACTCGCACACACACACACGCACGCACGCACGCACGCACCCACGCACGCACGCACGCACTTTCGCACTTTCGCACGCACGCACGCTCGCACGCACGCACGCACGCACGCTCGCACGCACGCACGCACGCACGCTCGCACGCACGCACGCACGCTCGCACGCACGCACGCACGCACGCTCGCACGCACGCACGCTCGCACGCACGCACGCACGCTCGCACGCACGCACGCACGCACGCTCGCACGCACGCACGCACGCACGCTCGCACGCACGCACGCTCGCACGCACGCACGCACGCTCGCACGCACGCACGCACGCACGCTCGCACGCACGCACGCACGCACGCACGCACGCACGCACGCACGCGCGCACGAGCACGCACGCGCACACGCACAGATTTGTGGCATCATGGCAAATCACAGCAAACTGTCTGTGGCTTCGAGCCTTCTGTCTGTATTACAAATTCTGTCTGTTGTGTTCCGTCTGTTCTATATAGATCTGTTCTGTACAGGTATGTTTTGTGCAGGTCTGTTCTGTGCGAATCTGTGTTGTACTATACAGGTCTGTTATGTACAAGTCTGTTATGTGCAGGTCTGTTATGTGCAGGTTATTTATGTGCAGGTCTGTTATGTGCAGGTCTGTTATGTGCAGGTCTATTATGTGCAGGTCTATTATGTGCAGGTCTGTTCTGTGCAAGTCTGTTCTGTGCAAGTCTGTTCTGTTCAGGTCTGTTCTATGCAAATCTGTTCTGTGCGGGTCTGTTCTTTGCAGGTATGTTCTGCAGCAGTTTCTATCTGTTACACATCCGTTTCTGCCTTTTGAGTGTATGCTCGAGTGTATTATTACCTTACTTTCATAAACGACATGATTTCTTACTGCCACTGTAATCAAGCCGTTGTTGCTCCAGGGCTGAACACTCACCGTAGAATTCACGGTGCGTGAGCGGCTCAATCAATCTGAATCGCATATGCTGATCTGCTACGTGCTCTTTGATAAAAGAGCGGCGGTGGGGCGTGTGTGAGCGGTGGCCTTATTTATGCTGTATTTAATAAAATACAACACAATTCTGACTGCTCCTTAAGTGCTTCTGCCTGTGCTTTTTTGCTTCTTTCACTTGGTTCAGTGACTGCAATATAACTTATATAAGGCACACAAATGGATGCATCGGCCATACAGAAAAGATACAACTGTCGGTCACAGTTTTCTAGTTACTAAGTTTTGGCGGCTGCAACGTCTACCTACCTAATTGTCGATGCTCTCTTTTGTTTGCCGCTCATCTTACGTACTTAGCTTTCTTCGTAAATGACTGACTAAGAGCTAGCTAATTAAAGCTAACATTGGTACATAACGACTTTAATAGATTTTGCTTATGTGCTTCCACAAAGGCCTGTTTTTTTAAGATTCAAGGCGGCAAAATTAATACAAGGCTACTACTATGTTCAATATACCCTCTATTTGATAGGCTGTAACGATAACGGTCTTGATGATCGTTACAAGATTCGTAGTCTAAAAGATATTAAGGTGAAAGCGCCATAATTGAATCCCTTTAAATTAGTTTTTCTTGAAATAGACATACAATGAGTTTATACGAACTTAGAGGGTTGTATTGATGATTATAATTCTGTAAATACATACTCGTTACGGTCGCGAATCATGTTTTGTTAAACATACAACCTGACATTGACCTGCAAATTGCAAAAAACATAAGAAAATTTAAATTTCGCGGGCCACCCTGGCGCTTTCACCTTAAAGAGATTCGTAGCTGAGTCATTGCGGCCGTACAAAAGTTCTGTCAATTATGAAACAGATACTGCTGATAGTGATAAAAGAAGTGGTGGATACGCCAGATCAGATTTGATCTGTTATAAAGTTGATCTGTCATAAACTATTGGCACATGAGTAAATAAACGGAACGGAGGCAAAGCTTCCTTAGAACGTGAAAAATTGTTATCTACTTTGGTAGGGTTGTCACAATAGGTGAAGACAAATTAAACAAAACAATACCTATCATATTATTGCGTTGTCACTGAAGTTACGGTATACAAAATTTCAACTCAATCAGACATCGGGAAGTGGTTCAAAACTCACTTGCAATATGTGAACTTACCCACATACCTACTACATACCAACCCACCCACATACCTACAAATGTTTAGTAAAAGCTTGTAATATCCATAAAAAGGTAAAAACACAGTGTATTACTCTCTTCTTATTAAAAAAAAGGATCATACAATGAAATAAAGGTACTTGAAAAAGTAATAATCAAATATATACCTAGTACTCTTTGGGATAGTTAAAGTATGATATATTTTTATTTTTTCTAGTATTATTCTTAGACACAGTACAATAAACAACCATTATTAATAATACCACATTTTTATATTAAAATATTCAAACTTGCAACTAACAAAACAAACAATGTGCGTCGCACTGACCCTGAGATTGTTGTCAACTGGTTGTGCCAACTTAACCTGTTTTTCCAGTCTCGCCAGTCGCCACGTACGCGACAAGCGACCGCTGGTCACGCAAACATGCCCCGCGTGCTTGAAGTAGTGCAACCGATTCGCGCGATTGTATGAAGCTTTATCTCTGTTCAGTTTATTTAGTCATGTGCTGTTGGCAATCGATGTACATCAGTCATTTCAGCTGTAGCAAATATTCTGAACGTTATCTAATGCCTCTAGGTAAATACCTTATGGTATTCACTATGCAGGATGGCCGATGTTACAGAGTCGCTGCCGAAAACACCCGAGTAAGGCCGAACGTGCCGGTGCCGCCCCATCGCGGCGGGATATCGCAGTCACTTCATTTCGTGTCGAGCGTCAGCGCGTGCAACTTGTCTCATTAATATTAAGTTAAATATTGCTTTGAGTAATTATTGAAGCATAAAGTAACCGTTTATTTTACATATTATTACTCTATACGAGTATATAAAAATCATCATTCCTCAGCTGATCAGACAAGGGGATAAACCGTACGCTGAAAGCATGCCTAAAATGCAGCGTGCCAGATCCTGTCAAAGGTTTTCGAGACATCAAGGGAAACTGCAATAGCATTCCAATTTTTCTCTAAAGCTTCGCACCCATATGTGTGTGGCATACGTTGGAAGGTCTCGTGTCGAACGATTATGGCAGAATCCATATTTTTGGTCGCTGGGGAAGTCGTTATGTTCTAGGTATGCCATAAGGTGTGCATTCAAAGGTATCTGAGATTGTCTTATAATGGCAGTGCAGCACGGCTGCCTTTTTTGGGACAGGCTGCACATTGGCCAGCTTCCAAGATTTGGACACTATTCCAGTCCTTAGCGAGAGGCAACACAAGTGTGTCAACACTTGAGACAACTCGGGTGTACAAGCCATCAAAACTACAGCTGGTATACCATTTGGCCCACTAGCTTTATTTACATCTAGACCCCGCAAGGTTTTAAGAAACTCTGTTAATGATGTGGAGCTCCGGCACTTCCGCAGTGAGGTGACTGTGGTGGAAAAAGAAATATATGTCGAACTGTTATTACTTTATCCAAACGGGACAAAATCTTCGGTCTCTTCTTCGAAACTTACCCATAATAACATATACTTTCTCTTAAGTTTGTAGAGTATTATTTACAGGACGGGTACTGTATAAATGTTGTACTGTACTACAGAAACATCTGGGGTCCAAATCATTTTGGTAGACATTTTAATAAAATAATACAATACCATGCTACTTATGAGTAATAAATAAAAGTGTTAAATATTAATAAGAAATATATTTACATTTTACATTCAAAATCACACAAAAATATTATTATTGTTAGATTAACAAAGAGAGGAAGGTTCTAAATTCAAAGTTTCTCTGCACGAACCAGATTAACTAACTGTTTAGTAGGCATGTGTAACTTTTTACGCAACCGACTCACTGATCCGAATCACTGAAGTGATTCAAAAGATTAGTTTAGTAACAACGTTTCAAATGCATCATTTGGATCTGAAACATTACTTTGCTCTGTGCTCATTTCGCGCGACGTGTCGCTCGCGAGGCGTCTGAGCCGCGAGCGAGAGAGACAGACTGAGACGCAGATTAACTTATTTATTGACTCGCGAGTGGCGAGTGAGCGGGCGAAATAATTATAAACTATACAAATCATAAAGAGATAACAAATGAGACGTGTATCACTCAAATCGCTGTCGTTATTCATACACGTAAAAATGGCCACTAAGGCGCTTACGCATCAAATACTATACGGTCGTTTTTTGCTTGTAATGTTTGCATTCACAAGTTGTCATTTTACGTTAATGCGGTACTTGTCAAGTTGTTTATGTTCATTAGCGCCCGTTTACGAAAACATACTGAGTTCTGTTTAGGATTTCTTTGCGTAGTGATTATTGTGACTTACTTTCTTCCTTTTCATCATAAAGTTAGAGTTATGAGACTTTACGAGAGAATTCTGTGTACATAGACATTGTTGTTTTGTGTAATTGGACATTTTTGTAAATAATGAATTGACATAATGACATTTTTGTTAAAGTTTGAAGGAGGATCGCTTTTATATACAATCTTATTACGGTACACAATAAATAATCTAAGTACTTATATTATTTAGCATTGTTGCCACATAACATTTCACTGACTCAGTCAGTAATAAACGCCCGAGACGCAACTTAATGTAATCGGAACATTCTGTATTTTATATCTTTTGAGTCGATGATCCAAATGAGTCAAATGAAACATATCAGTGTTTCGGAACATTTCAGTGATCGAGATGCAAATGTTCCAATCGCAAAAATCATACACTTCGCCCACCCCCAATGTTTAGTAGTGGACTTCGGTGGCTAGTGGTTTCGGTGCAGCCTACCAAAAGTCCACTGCTAAATATATGCTCCCCCCCCCCCATAGTTTTAGTTGTTAATAGGAAGAAGCTAATGCCCATCTCTCTGTTTCCGTCAGTCCCTTGTTGGTGGGTTGAAATTATGGAATTAAAAATAAATGACTTCACAGGTATTAGAAAAGATTATATCATCATTGGTTTAGTTTCTCGTTCCAAATGCGAATGGTGTCTCGAACAATGGCTATTCGTTTCTCTTTGGCTTCTTCAAGGACGTGTTTAACTTCCTGTTTTTGCAACTCTACGTATTCTCGCATCGAGGTCAACTTACCGCTCCAACTAAAATCATAGAAAAAAACCATTAAATGTTTTCAGTTGGCCAGTGCCAGTGAACATATAATATTGAGATTTCTTATATTTACGCGAATACTACACATTGAATCAAATTTATTTTTCATATCTTATCACGTTTTATGTTAAATTATTTTGACACCTAGTAAGTATGCATGTAAATAATTACGTTAGATCCTGCTTCTCCCACAATTCCACTTCACTCTCAAACTTGGCATGATGTTCCTGTTCACTCTGCAGTTCCTCCAGTTTCTTACTGATCTCCAACTGCTTACAACTCCAGGCCGCAGCTTCAGAACTTTCTTTACTAAGTTCGGTATCATGTTGCTGTTGTTCACGCTCCAACAAGGACTTAAGCTCTGCTATCTTCGATTGTGCTTCCTCCTGTAATTTGAAATACTTTACATTTAGCTGCAAGGTCACGCAGGAATCTATTATCTTATTTTAATCCACCTTCCTTTAGGGAATAGAAATGCACGTAGGATTTTACGCCCCGGCGGATTAAGTGGCAGTATAATTATAATTATTCCGTATGTGTTAGATGTAAAATCCTTATTGCGGTGATAGGGGAAGAATATGAAAGGTGCGACAATGTCCATTAAACATTTATTGTCCTTTTAACCTACGTAACCTTAGTAATTTCTAATTTTATTAATGTGGAAGAGAGGTTAGTGAAATACATCTATTTTTGACAGATGATAGAGCACTACCCTCCGATGTTTTTAGGTGTGTGTGGTGTCGGTACTATGATAAAACAATATAACAGGAATATTAAATGATATCATCACTCAACGTGGACTCCATATAAGGAGTAGAAATAACATCTATTTGGTTCAGTAATATCATATTATATTTATAGAAGAAGATACCATTCATGTGGCTCTACCTGGAACCACGTAACACAAACCCTGCCCCCTACCTATGTACCTACGTCACAACCACTATATATAAGTCTCCTCCAACCCAATAAAGAGAGAATTATTAAACTGCATCACTGAGTTTAAATTACTGCTTGTCCAGACATTACATGTGTAATAATACATAGACATTGACAAGCACAAGGAAAACCTAAAATGTATGTGTAAAATTGAATGTGCACGTGTATATGTGTATTTAAGGGTTTCAAATCAATCTCCGTGGAGCAGTGGCTTAGCAATAAATTGCTGCGCTGGGGGGCGCGGGTTCGAATCCCACACGGAACAAGTATTTGTATGGCCTACAAATAATTGTTCCGGGTCTGGATGTTTGTACATGTGAAATTTGTGTATGTAAACTGTCTCCACGATACAGGAGAAAATCCTAGTGGGGGTAACGTTTTTAAAAAAAAACAACTGAACAAAATGAGAAAGAACAATGCCATCAAAAATATAACTTGTAAAAAAAACAAGTCTCGCAACTCAGTTCTTCTATCGTAAAAAGTTGTGAGATCCATGTAATACCAAGTCGGTTGATTTATTCAGTCCCGTTGACCATTCTACAAGTTACCTTTAAACATAATTATATCTAGGTACCTATCTCTACACTGATTCATTCACTGCAAATGTAACTTTGTAATCCTATACATTTATATAGGATTACAAAGTTATTTATGCAGTTAGTGTATCTAGAAAACTGGACCAAAATTACATTGTATTCTAAATTTGAAGCTTCTACGTCTGCTAGAAGTGCCTTAGAGTTTTGATAATCGGTCAGTCAGTGAGTGACAAAATTAAGAAACTTTGCATAGTTATATTTCTTAAACTACTGGTTCAAATTGAATGAAACTTGAAAAATACCGTGTTTATTACAATGCCTGCTTGGTTACTAAAATCTAGGCTTCTAGTTTTATCCACAACGAAGTTCGAAAATCGCGTGTGCGTGTGCATGTGTGTGTGTGTGTGTACGTGTTTGCATGTGTACGTGTGCGTGGGTACGCACCAGGCGGCGGGCGCGCTGTCTCCGGCGCGCGGCTCGCTCTGCAGCGCGGTGCGTGTGTGTGTGCATGTGTGTGTGTGTACGTGTTTGCATGTGTACGTGTGCGTGTGTACGCACCAGGCGGCGGGCGCGCTGTCTCCGGCGCGCGGCTCGCTCTGCAGCGCGGTGCGTGTGTGTGTGCATGTGTGTGTGTGTACGTGTTTGCATGTGTACGTGTGCGTGGGTACGCACCAGGCGGCGGGCGCGCTGTCTCCGGCGCGCGGCTCGCTCTGCAGCGCGGTGCGTGTGTGTGTGCATGTGTGTGTGTGTACGTGTTTGCATGTGTACGTGTGCGTGTGTACGCACCAGGCGGCGGGCGCGCTGTCTCCGGCGCGCGGCTCGCTCTGCAGCGCGGTGCGTGTGTGTGTGCATGTGTGTGTGTGTGTGTGTACGTGTTTGCATGTGTACGTGTGCGTGTGTACGCACCAGGCGGCGGGCGCGCTGTCTCCGGCGCGCGGCTCGCTCTGCAGCGCGGTGCGTGTGTGTGTGCATGTGTGTGTGTGTGTGTGTACGTGTTTGCATGTGTACGTGTGCGTGTGTACGCACCAGGCGGCGGGCGCGCTGTCTCCGGCGCGCGGCTCGCTCTGCAGCGCGGTGCGTGTGTGTGTGCATGTGTGTGTGTGTACGTGTTTGCATGTGTACGTGTGCGTGTGTACGCACCAGGCGGCGGGCGCGCTGTCTCCGGCGCGCGGCTCGCTCTGCAGCGCGGTGCGTGTGTGTGTGCATGTGTGTGTGTGTACGTGTTTGCATGTGTACGTGTGCGTGGGTACGCACCAGGCGGCGGGCGCGCTGTCTCCGGCGCGCGGCTCGCTCTGCAGCGCGGTGCGTGTGTGTGTGCATGTGTGTGTGTGTACGTGTTTGCATGTGTACGTGTGCGTGTGTACGCACCAGGCGGCGGGCGCGCTGTCTCCGGCGCGCGGCTCGCTCTGCAGCGCGGTGCGTGTGTGTGTGCATGTGTGTGTGTGTGTGTGTACGTGTTTGCATGTGTACGTGTGCGTGTGTACGCACCAGGCGGCGGGCGCGCTGTCTCCGGCGCGCGGCTCGCTCTGCAGCGCGGTGCGTGTGTGTGTGCATGTGTGTGTGTGTGTGTGTACGTGTTTGCATGTGTACGTGTGCGTGTGTACGCACCAGGCGGCGGGCGCGCTGTCTCCGGCGCGCGGCTCGCTCTGCAGCGCGGTGCGTGTGTGTGTGCATGTGTGTGTGTGTGTGTGTACGTGTTTGCATGTGTACGTGTGCGTGTGTACGCACCAGGCGGCGGGCGCGCTGTCTCCGGCGCGCGGCTCGCTCTGCAGCGCGGTGCGTGTGTGTGTGCATGTGTGTGTGTGTGTGTGTACGTGTTTGCATGTGTACGTGTGCGTGGGTACGCACCAGGCGGCGGGCGCGCTGTCTCCGGCGCGCGGCTCGCTCTGCAGCGCGGTGCGTGTGTGTGTGCATGTGTGTGTGTGTACGTGTTTGCATGTGTACGTGTGCGTGGGTACGCACCAGGCGGCGGGCGCGCTGTCTCCGGCGCGCGGCTCGCTCTGCAGCGCGGTGCGTGTGTGTGTGCATGTGTGTGTGTGTACGTGTTTGCATGTGTACGTGTGCGTGTGTACGCACCAGGCGGCGGGCGCGCTGTCTCCGGCGCGCGGCTCGCTCTGCAGCGCGGTGCGTGTGTGTGTGCATGTGTGTGTGTGTGTGTGTACGTGTTTGCATGTGTACGTGTGCGTGGGTACGCACCAGGCGGCGGGCGCGCTGTCTCCGGCGCGCGGCTCGCTCTGCAGCGCGGTGCGTGTGTGTGTGCATGTGTGTGTGTGTGTGTGTACGTGTTTGCATGTGTACGTGTGCGTGGGTACGCACCAGGCGGCGGGCGCGCTGTCTCCGGCGCGCGGCTCGCTCTGCAGCGCGGTGCGTGTGTGTGTGCATGTGTGTGTGTGTGTGTGTACGTGTTTGCATGTGTACGTGTGCGTGTGTACGCACCAGGCGGCGGGCGCGCTGTCTCCGGCGCGCGGCTCGCTCTGCAGCGCGGTGCGTGTGTGTGTGCATGTGTGTGTGTGTGTGTGTATGTGTTTGCATGTGTACGTGTGCGTGGGTACGCACCAGGCGGCGGGCGCGCTGTCTCCGGCGCGCGGCTCGCTCTGCAGCGCGGTGCGTGTGTGTGTGCATGTGTGTGTGTGTGTGTACGTGTTTGCATGTGTACGTGTGCGTGTGTACGCACCAGGCGGCGGGCGCGCTGTCTCCGGCGCGCGGCTCGCTCTGCAGCGCGGTGCGTGTGTGTGTGCATGTGTGTGTGTGTGTGTGTACGTGTTTGCATGTGTACGTGTGCGTGTGTACGCACCAGGCGGCGGGCGCGCTGTCTCCGGCGCGCGGCTCGCTCTGCAGCGCGGTGCGTGTGTGTGTGCATGTGTGTGTGTGTGTGTGTACGTGTGCGTGTGTACGTGTGCGTGTGTACGCACCAGGCGGCGGGCGCGCTGTCTCCGGCGCGCGGCTCGCTCTGCAGCGCGGTGCGTGTGTGTGTGCATGTGTGTGTGTGTGTGTGTATGTGTTTGCATGTGTACGTGTGCGTGGGTACGCACCAGGCGGCGGGCGCGCTGTCTCCGGCGCGCGGCTCGCTCTGCAGCGCGGTGCGTGTGTGTGTGCATGTGTGTGTGTGTGTGTACGTGTTTGCATGTGTACGTGTGCGTGTGTACGCACCAGGCGGCGGGCGCGCTGTCTCCGGCGCGCGGCTCGCTCTGCAGCGCGGTGCGTGTGTGTGTGCATGTGTGTGTGTGTGTGTGTACGTGTTTGCATGTGTACGTGTGCGTGTGTACGCACCAGGCGGCGGGCGCGCTGTCTCCGGCGCGCGGCTCGCTCTGCAGCGCGGTGCGTGTGTGTGTGCATGTGTGTGTGTGTGTGTGTACGTGTGCGTGTGTACGTGTGCGTGTGTACGCACCAGGCGGCGGGCGCGCTGTCTCCGGCGCGCGGCTCGCTCTGCAGCGCGGTGCGTGTGTGTGTGCATGTGTGTGTGTGTGTGTGTACGTGTTTGCATGTGTACGTGTGCGTGGGTACGCACCAGGCGGCGGGCGCGCTGTCTCCGGCGCGCGGCTCGCTCTGCAGCGCGGTGCGTGTGTGTGTGCATGTGTGTGTGTGCGTGTGTACGTGTGCGTGTGTACGTGTGCGTGTGTACGCACCAGGCGGCGGGCGCGCTGTCTCCGGCGCGCGGCTCGCTCTGCAGCGCGGTGCGTGTGTGTGTGCATGTGTGTGTGTGTGTGTGTACGTGTTTGCATGTGTACGTGTGCGTGTGTACGCACCAGGCGGCGGGCGCGCTGTCTCCGGCGCGCGGCTCGCTCTGCAGCGCGGTGCGTGTGTGTGTGCATGTGTGTGTGTGTGTGTGTACGTGTTTGCATGTGTACGTGTGCGTGGGTACGCACCAGGCGGCGGGCGCGCTGTCTCCGGCGCGCGGCTCGCTCTGCAGCGCGGTGCGTGTGTGTGTGCATGTGTGTGTGTGTGTGTGTACGTGTTTGCATGTGTACGTGTGCGTGTGTACGCACCAGGCGGCGGGCGCGCTGTCTCCGGCGCGCGGCTCGCTCTGCAGCGCGGTGCGTGTGTGTGTGCATGTGTGTGTGTGTGTGTGTACGTGTTTGCATGTGTACGTGTGCGTGGGTACGCACCAGGCGGCGGGCGCGCTGTCTCCGGCGCGCGGCTCGCTCTGCAGCGCGGTGCGTGTGTGTGTGCATGTGTGTGTGTGTGTGTGTACGTGTTTGCATGTGTACGTGTGCGTGTGTACGCACCAGGCGGCGGGCGCGCTGTCTCCGGCGCGCGGCTCGCTCTGCAGCGCGGTGCGTGTGTGTGTGCATGTGTGTGTGTGTGTGTGTACGTGTTTGCATGTGTACGTGTGCGTGGGTACGCACCAGGCGGCGGGCGCGCTGTCTCCGGCGCGCGGCTCGCTCTGCAGCGCGGTGCGCGCGGGCTCGTGCGAGTGCGTCCACTCGGTCGCGCAGAAGGGTCAAACAAGCAGCTACATTTTTGGAGCACTCTGCGCCCATCAGCTCCCTGATGGAAATCAACAGAAACTCTTTATAGAATAAGTGTGACATTCGAGCACATAGTCTACCAAATGATAAGTAGATGATGTGGCCCATAGATATCTACATTTGTCCCCGATTAAATTAATGACGGCTCCGTGGCGTAGTGGCTTAGCAATGAGTATCAGCGTTAGGGACCGCAGGTTCGATTCCCATACGGAACAAGTATTTGTATGGCCTACAAATAATTGTGTTTGTCCCTGTGAAATTTATGTATGTAAACTGCCCCCACGATACAGGAGAAAATCCTAGTGTGGAGGTAACTTGGCAAAATTCCACGGCTGCCTCGGCAGCGACGACCATCCGCGCGTCTACGCGTGCCTCTATAGGTCCCATAGCGGTAATGTTGAAACAGACCGACTTATCGACCACGTCCAAATGGCTAAAGATTCCTTGCCTTGCTACTACAACAGGTCCCATCCGCAGAGATCGTGATCCTTGGCTATTTTAACGCCCACCACGCCGAATGGCAATGCCGATCGTGCGGGGAGATCTGTTCATGATTTTGCCTTGGCTATGGTCTGGTCTATACTGGTTACTACGCCTACGCGGGTTCCAGATGTGGAGGATCATGCACCTTCCCTGTTGGCCCTCTGCTGACTAATCTAATCTAATCCGGACAGATATCAGGTCTCCGTCGACGCCCCTCTTGGCTCCTCGGACCATTGTCTAGTTCGAAGTGTGGTGCCACTCAAGCTGAAATCGCGCTTGCTTTCTGCAGGCTGCCGCCGTGTTTCTCACTATAGGTCGGCCGATTGGGATGGGATACGGTCTTTTTTTTGGGGCGGGTTTGCTTCTCGCCGAACTAACTAGTTCGCCGTCCTTCGGGAACCCGTGCATTCTGGTCTCTCGCCAAGGCTGTCCAAGGGAACTTCTGTCAGTCATCTCTTCCATCTCTGCACAGGGAGGACGATTTACTGGCCCATGCCGCAAAGGAGAAAGCCGATCTGTTAGGCTCTTTCTTTGCGTCCAACTCTACTCTCGATGAAGGGGAAACACACCGCCGACCATCCCGCGGTGTGATTGCTCCATGCCGGATGTGCGGTTCTCACAGCACTCGGTTCGCAAATCACTCCTCTCCCTGGATGTAAACAAGTCGAGTGGGCCTGATGGAGTCCCCCCAATTGTGCTGAGGACGTGTGCTCCGGAGTTGGCACCGGTTCTAACGCGTCTTTTTCGGTACTCCTACTCCCTAGGCGTACTCCCGAAATCATGGAAGACAGCTTTTGTCCACCCGAACCCTAAAAAGGCGACCGCTCAGACCTGTCCAACTACAAGCCTATCGCCAAAATAATGGAATCCATCATAAACTGCCAGCTCATGCAGTACCTTGAGGATCAGCAGCTGATTAGTGACCGCCAAAACGATTTCCGTCGAGGTCGCTCAGCTAGTGATCTTCTAGGTTACCTAACTCATAGATGGGCGGAGGCAGTGGGGTCCAGGGGAGGCGTTGGCCGTTAGTTTGGACACAGCGAAGGTTTTCGATCGGGTTTGGCACAAAAACCTTTTGAAGCTGCCTTCCTATGGGCTTCCCGAGAAATTGTGCAATTGGATCACCAGTTTTCTTGCAGATCGGAACATCAAGGTCGTAGTAGACGGTGCATGCTCAGATTACAAGCCCATTAACGCTGGTGTTCCACAAGGCTGCGTGCTATCACCAACGCTGTTTCTTCCGCATATCAGTGATATGTTGCAAACGAGTAACATTAATTGCTATGCGGACTGATGCTTTATACACCGGCCGTGCCAATATTTCTCGGGAAAACGTCGCCGAGTACCGGAACAAACTTGCGTCTGAAGTCGAGACTTTGTTGAACAAAGTCTCAGACTGGGGGCGTCTAAATCTAGTCCAGTTCAATCTCGAGAAGACACAAGTTTGCGCGTTTACCACTATAAAGAACCCGTTTGTCGTATCTCCTCAGTTTCAAGGCACTCACCTTGTTGCCTCAGCCAGTATCGGAATCCTCGCCGTCGAAATACTGTGTGACGCGCAGTTTCGTGGTTACTTGGAAGAGAAGGACAGTATTTCATGCCGGCACACCGCTTGCAACTTTACAAGGCGCAGGTTCGGCCTCACATGGGATACTATTCCCATCTGTGGGCAGGCGCTCCCCAGTGCCAGCTCCTTCCACTTGACCGCATCCGGCGCAGAACGGTTCGAATCGTCGACGACCGATTATCGCATCTATCACGGGGAGTGCTGTGAGGAATTGTTCAGACTAATTCGAGCCGCTTAATTTCACCATCGCACATCGCGACAAAACTTGCGATACTATCTATACATTCTGGATGATTGGCGTTCCACCACTGTGTGATTTAGAAGAAGTTTTCTCGCTCGCACAACTTCCTTGTGGAATCGATTACCACCAGCGATTTTTTCAGACCGATACTACTTAGGGACCTTCAAGAAAAGAGCCTACTCCTTTTTAAAAGGCCGGCAACGCATCTGCGATTCCCTTGGTGTGTTGCAATTGTTCATGGGCGGCGGTAGTCACTTACCACCAGGTGAGCCACATGCTCGTTTGCCCCCTCTCCTATAAAAAAAAACTTTCATCAATTTTATATCTGAGCGTGGCGGTCACGCGAGTTCAGTGCTTTTTTCCTCATCCCAAAAGTGCGTACGTGCCTAAATTCAAAATAATATAATGACTCGGATTACAATTAAGACTTACTTTTCATCAATGGCATATGCCGACAGCTCCGGGAACTGAGCAGCGAGGTGTACGATTTCTTTATTATATTCCAAGCAGCTGTCCAGGGTTTTCTTCTGCCACAGTGCAAGGTCAGTTTCTTTGCTCAAAACCATCTGTGTCAAAAAATATTTGTCTCTAATACTTCAATGTAGTCACAGTGAGTTTCCATCGGAGTCTTATATAAGAATAGTATAGTCTGTTCGCTTAGATAAAGGTCGCCTTTGTGTCGCGCCGCCTTGGCACGTGCCGTATAATGTCAAAGGCGCCGTCGCGACACCCACAGGAGAATTTGGCATTTTAAAACGAAGCGCCATAATTAAAGGTTCTTTGGTACTGGTGTTTATTATTTATATTGGTAACCAAAAGAGTAAAATAGTATTCTATTTTGTTCTTAGAGTAGAAAAACATTTACTTGACAAACACAGTAAAAATATTTAAATAAAAGCATAATAACAAGGGCGCCTCCGGGTGTACCGACACTATCTTAGTGAACAGACTATACATATTTATTAACTACGTTCAATATCTAACGAAAGCAGGATTATACTGGGTGGTATGCTGCTTTTCTGCATTGACTAAGATAATACCATTTTCTTAATAGAATAGAATAGTATAATTCTTATTTAATATAGACTATTACATAGTATTTATAAGTCTTTATTTTTATTTACCACTGGTTCGAAAAATACCTCTGTCCTGGAAAGAACCAGCAAGAAAACACAGCGGGACTTTTTTTTAAACATATTTCACTTTACAATAATTTTGTTTGTACAAATTTTAAATGAGTTTTAATAGAACCGGCACAGTGGCGATCACCTCATTTTCAGGGGTTCTTTTTCATTTATATATTCTTTAATATTATAATAAGCTTTTTTGTACAATCTTTCTTTAATAAAACATTTAAACTTGTTTCTTGATAAATTTTGTACATTTTCTGGGATTTTGTTGTAAAAGCGTTAACTATTTTGGTTCCGAGTAGCTGCATCTGGTTTGAAGGTTAATACAAATTGTATGACTGGTACTGGCTGTGCGGCATTTTTTGTATGACTGGTACTGGCTGTGAGGCATTTTGTTTCCAGGCACAGTCTAAGAAGAACCTACAGTCATTCATCGCGTTTAATGACGTCAGTAAAGCCGACATCGTCTAGACTTTTGTCGTGACGAATAAAATTGCTAGGGTTTTCACAACGAAAGAGTAATAAAAAAATAATAAATTGAATTTTTTAATTCTACATGTAAACAAATTAGATAACTTATTGAATAAAACTACTTTTACGGATTCTATCGTGTTGAATTAAATTATTTTTATTAAATTCCCGACGTTTCGGGTGCTTTACAAGATATTTTCGATTTTATTTTTTTCTAAATATTTGACAAATTTTATAAGGAGGAAGTTAAGTTGTTAAGAAAATGTAAGGATTAATGTTTATTTCTGTAATATTATAACATTTATATTAATAGAATTTAATAAATAAAACTATGGATATTCTTTAGTGGAAAAATTAATAAATGTTTGAGTTTAAAATGTGCAAAAAAATTAATAACAAGTAAACCACTGAGCTAAGACATTGTTTGGTGTATTAATTCAATACTCTACAAATTGATAAACGTTTAATAAACTAACTTCTCAATTAAATCACATTGTGTAACAAAAAACTTGACCTCAGCCGCAAGTAGCGGCATCTGGTGAGCGGAAGACTATTAGCCCTCATACCGCTGGATATAAAGGTCACCTTGGCGATCTGGTCGGCGAGCGCGCGCTTGGAGTCGAGCACGCGCAGCTCGTAGTCCAGCTCGTCCAGCAGGCGCGTGCGCTCGCTCACAGACAGAGGCTGCTGCGCCACCTCCTCCTGCAGCCGCCGGTTCTCCGCCCTGCAACCGACCCCACGTGCCAAGGATCACTAAGCTGCAGTGCCAATGGCCCGCCCTTATAGCCCATACAACTCCTACTGACAACCGATGTACAACAAAGCTTTTTGAATGGGTAACTCAAGTGTTAGGAATGACGACCTAGTAAGAGATGGAAGTGGATCAGGATCGTGCTTTATGCTTTGTCGCATTTGGGGGAAATCTATGTTCAGCAGTGAATTTATAATTACCTGTAATGTTAAAAATGTTGGAAAACACTCAAACAGTAACAAATATATATTATAAACTTTGGTACAATATCAAAAAAGATTTACTGGCCGGCAAGCCTGAAAAATACATCGACGATAGGAAAATTACCTTGAGAAACAATTTCGAGACAATAAAGACCGCCTTTGTTGAAAATAAACCAACATGGCAACTACATATTTTCATCTGGATTATAGATATATCGCAGTAGAGTCTCTCATACAGGTATAATTGATAGAATTTACTCAAAAATTCCTATCTTAAAAGCCAAGTATGATAAGATGATCCTTAAACAATTTGTATTCAATAAGAAGTATTCTTCTTCTTCTTCTACCTAGCGTTATCCCGGTTGCTCATCCCGCCCAGCGCGGGAGAACCCAGGGTCCGCTTTCCGACACTTCCTCCTCCACTTTGCCCGGTCTTCGGCGTCCCTCACAACTAGCCCATTGGCGCGCATGTCATCCTGCACGACATCAAGCCAGCGTTTCTTGGGCCGTCCTCTACTCCTGGCACCAGGTAAGGTCATGTCCAGGCATTTGTTTCCCACGTAGCTTGCTGGTCGTCGTAAGACGTGGCCGTACCAGCGGAGGCGACTTTCCTGCAGCTTGTCAGCAATGTCACGGACATGGAGGCTGCCGCGGATGTATGTATTCCGTACACGGTCTTTCCGTGTGACGCCACACATCCACCGCAGCATGTTCATCTCCGTGACATGCAACAACCGCCGGTGTCGCTCCAGCACCGGCCACGCCTCACTGCCGTACGTAAGGACAGGCCTTATGATGGTCTTATAGACCTGTCCCTTCAGCTTGACCGGCATTTTGGGGTCACAAATGACACCCGTCACCTCGCGCCATTTCGCCCAAGCCGCTGATATACGGGCCTTGATGTCGCGATCGATCTCACCGGACGCATCAAGCACAGATCCGAGGTACCTGAAGTTGTCCGTGCGCTCGACGGTGTCGTCGCCTATACGGAGAGACGTCAGATCTGTGCTGTTGCAGGCCATATACTCCGTCTTCGCCACGTTTAGCTTCAGCCCGCCGTTCTCAAGCGCCTCCCTCCATGCGTGCACGCGTCTGGTGAGCCGTCCTTTGTCCCTATCTACCAGTGCGATATCATCAGCGTACATAAGCAGCCAAGGCTGCGGTAGTTTCTGTACGCTGGCTGACAGTACGTCTAATATCACACTGAAGAGATAGGGGCTTAAGACGGAGCCCTGATGCACGCCTATGGTTATGGGGAAGGGGGTGGTATCACCAACAGCGGTCCTGACTATTGAATCGGAGTTGCGGTACATGTCACGTACGATTTCCACGTAGGTCTCTGGTACCAACTTCGACCGCAACGCCCACCAGATCATCTCCCTAGGAACACAGTCAAAGGCCTTCTGCAGGTCTAGGAATAAAAAATGCAGAGGCATATTCTTTTCCCTGTGCTTCTCCATGAGGATCCTTAGGGCGAATATAGGGTCCATGGTACCGCGTCCTGGTTGGAAACCGTACTGGAAGTCCGACACTGTACACTCCTGTCGGATCCTGGCGTCAATAATGCGCTCGAAGAGCTTCATGGTGTGTGACATCACCTTTATACCGCGGTAATTACCGCAATCCTGAACGGACCCTTTACCCTTGTGGACCGGCGTTATTATACTAAGCCGCCACTGATCGGGCATTATTCGGTCGCTCAGGATTCTATTATAAAGGTTAGTAAGAATGCACACACCACGAGCCCCCAGCGCTTTCCACGCTTCAATTGGCACCTCGTCCGGTCCGACAGCTTTCCGATTCTCCATGTGACGAAGAGATGCGAGGACCTCGTCGGGAGTTGTTCGGGAGGGTGCACTTCCCGGTGCTGAGTATTCAGCAAAACGTGGAAATAAGAGCGCCATCTCTCCTTCACCGCACGATCATCGTACAGGAGCTCGCCATTAGGGCCGTTGACGCTGCAGCAGCGAGTAATATCTTGCGCTGCTTTGGCCCTAGAGCGCGCCAGTTTATATATGAGCTTGTGCCCCTCAGGAGTGTCCAACTTAGCATATAATGGTTGCAAGTGGTCACGCCTGGCTCTGGCTACAGCTTTCTTGGCAGCTCTTTTCGCTGTCTTGTAAGATGCGCGATCTTCAGGAGATTTGGTCACTTGCCACGTCTTGAAGAGCGCTTTCTTTTCCCGTAATGAACCCTGGACTGTGGCATCCCACCACCAGGTCTCCTTGTCGATTTTGCGGCCTCCTTTCGCCACGCCGAGAACTTGCTTTGCCGTCTTTGTGATTGCTGTCTGAATGGTTTTCCAGCACTCTTGGACGGACTTGCCTGCTGTGTCGAGACTAATATCCCCAGCGGCAGAGTCAAACTCTGAGTATCTGGTTTGATCCAGCAGCCACCACTTAATTTGACGGCGGCAACGTTCGGCGTGTCTGCGACGGGGTTTAACGCAGAGGTCCATGACAAGAAGTCGGTGTTGGGCAGTGAGACACTCACCGGGTATGACCTTACAGTTGGCCACGCGACCGATATGACTTCTCCTGGTCAGTAGATAGTCGATTTGAGTGGCGTTCCGACCGCTCCTGTAGGTAATCAGGTGCTCGGTTTTCTTTTTGAAGAACGTGTTCACCACGGCCAGGTCAGCTGCAGTGCAGGTTCTGAGAATGGTTTCCCCCTCTGCGTTTCTTCTGCCGTAACCATAGCCGCCGTGGACACGTTCATACTCCCCCTGCACCTCGCCCACATGACCGTTCAGGTCGCCACCCAAAACGACATCGTGGTACAACGGTATGCCGCGTAGTACATCTCCGAGACGATCCCAAAACAGCGTTTTATCCGCGTCACTGCAGCCGACCTGTGGGGCGTAGGCACTTATTAAGTGGGTCACGACCCCCTCAATAAGCAACCTTACTACCATAAGTCGGTCGCATATGCGTCTAACTTCCAAGACGCTATCGTGGAAACGCTCGGCGAGCACCACTGCCACACCGTTCTCTCCACCAGAGGAGCCTGTATAGATCAGCTTGTAGCCGTGCCCAATATTCCGGCTCCTGTTGGCCTTCCACCGTGTCTCCTGCAGGAATGCCACTGCCACTTTACGCCTGGCAAGTATGGCCGCAAGTTCTGCGGAGCGTCCCGTAAGCGTGCCAATGTTCCAGTTTGCAAAGCGAATCTTCGTAGTTGGTGCTAACGTCTTTAGCCGGGCTCGCACGGGGCCCGGTAGCCCTCGCATACTTGTCGCAGGGTTAAGGCGATCCCCATGCGCGTCGTTATGCGGCGACGCCCTAGCCCTAAACGTATTTATCTTTCCTTTACCGTCCATTTTTGAGTGGCTTAGTGCCAATTACCAGGGCGACTGCCGTCTGACCCCCGAACCCCTAGGACGAATCCCAGAGGAGTGGCATCGCCAGAGCCCTTTCCGTTGTCCAGCAGGTGCGCCACGTGCAGGCGGGGTTGGCTTGGGCTCCAAGATCTTAGCGGAGCCCCTTACACCCAAAAATTATTCAATAAGAAGTATAAGATACAATTAAAATAAACCAACCAGCCGGAGGGACTAAGCCCAAAAGAGCTTAGAGTTTTCACGGACGGTTCTAAAACAAATGAAGGTGTAGGATCTGGAACTTTCTCTGAAGACCTCAATATACACATATGTAAATCGCTGAGTACGCGTCCGTCTTTCAGGCGGAATATATGGGTATCATTCAAGCGGTCATAGTAATAGATGCTAGGAAGGTAAAAGACTACTCCATCAGAATACTGACCGACAGTATGGCGGTAATACAAGCTCTGAGTTGCAATGTGGTGAACTCGAGACTAATATATGAATGCCATCAACAATTAAATGCGGTATGAACGAATAAACACAACAATGTGACTCTGCAATGGATAAAGGGACACAGTCGATCCAGAGGCAACGATGCAGCAGACGAACTCGACAGAAGAGGATTGGCTCTGGCCATTATAGGGCCAGAACCAATAACACCATTCCCAATCAATTCCAATCCCAAATAGTACCAATACCAATTTGGTAACATTCGTCCACTGGTATGTAGAGACTTCACTAATCAATACACTCAGCTTTGGAGAAATCTAGTAGACTGTAGACAAGCTATGGAGGCCCTGCCTGAAATAAACAGTCGTTTAACCAAGGTTCTAATGAGACTGAACAAGCCACAGATCAATACAGTAACCTGTAACAGTAACAAGTACTATCACAGGGTATGACTCCATTAACAAATATTTATTTACTATAGGTGTGCAGGGCATGTATGGGAGAGGAAGAAACGGCGGCCCACGTGTTGCTGACATGTCCGGAGGATGCTACATACAGAGCTAAACATCCCGGCACACCGGGATCACTTCCCGATGTTGTAAGCAACATCAAAGTACTGTTCAACTTCTTCGGGGAGATTTCATGGTTTGATAATTATATTATTTATGCCCACACGCAAAATACGCGCTTAGACTTGTAGTTGCGGAAAACAGCCCGTCGTAAACTAAACTAAACCAGATTGAAATTGTTTTATATTAAAATATTTATAACACACCACCACCAAAAGACTTCCGCATCCCACAGTTTTGAGCTCTAAGACAACTTAACAGGAGAGTCAACTATGACATTTTAGTGTTTAAATGATAGTTTGAAATGGATTTTGATACATAGAAGTAATGTGAATTTGTGTAATAAGTGTCTGCACATGTGAAATATTAGTGGAAACTATAATAAATAAGTGTTTGGATGGTGATGTGAATCTAGTTATTGTGTATGCTTAGGCTTCTTGAGATAATATCGTCGTGTACCTAAAAACTTCAAACACGTAACTCAATAATAAAATACAGTATTTCGATCGTAGTTCGCTAAGCGAAGCAAACGACTACGTCATTTTTTATATAGATGAAGAGGTGGCAAACGAGCATGTGGGTAATTTTATGGTAAGTGTCTACCGTCGCTCATGAACAACTGTAACACTAGGGGAATTGCAGGTGCGTTACTGGTTTTTTAGAAAGGAGTTGTGAAGACACTGTCGACAAATGGAACACACCGAAGCCTAAATCGCGCTATCAAAATTTCGAAGTTACCGCGCTACATATAAAACAACTTCGAAATATCAAATGGAGAGTTGGCCGTTTTACGGGCCGAACGCCTAGCCCGGTAAAAAATCTCCCCGTTTCATTCCACCACGGCGAAATATAATGCCCCAGTTACGAGGCATAGGATGGGGAGGGTGTGGGAGGACGTTAGCTGCAATGAGTGGTGAAGGCAGTGTACTGACATGGCGCGCTCTATCTCGAGGTCGAGCAGGCGCAGCGCTTCCCGCTTGTCGTGCAGCGCGGCGCGGGTGCGGCGCGCGCGCTCGGCGGCGTGCAGGCGCTGCGCGCGCTCGGCCCGCAGCGCCGCGCCCAGCGCCTCGCGCCGCTCCGCCCGCTGCGCCTCCGCAGCCCTGCCCGCCGCCATCGCCTCCTCCTCGGCGGACAGGCACGCCAAGTACTCTGCAATGTACCACGTGACAATTCGACCGCCGCATCCTTTAAACACGTTTCCTACTCTGACAATGTTACATCAAGAACGCAGTAGCGGCTGACCATGATACGGCGCGCCGTATTCCGGCTAACCGTAACGTTTCGATTCTATGGACATGATGGACGTCGAAGAAATCGCTGCAGTTACTGTGTTTAACAATCAGCGCATTTGCTATACCATATAACAAATGCACTGATTATTCCCATTGACTCATTTCTAAAATTAACTTTTCTGTATCAAAATCCGGCTAAACGCGTCAATGCACGACCTGCGGTCAGGTCAGTGCGTCGACATCATGCGGTTTCATGTAAAAATCGAAGTGCGGCCTACCATAACATAACGACATACCCGCATCACGGCCAACAACTAATGCATTTGTAACCTTAAAGTGCCAATCGCCAAGAGAATTGCTCTGTGTTTTATCTTCTATCCTCCAAGCACGCCGAGTATTCTAACAACATAACAATACCCATCAACATTATGCTCCACTGTCTCGTTGCTCTAGCGGTCGTAAACGCGATTACTACATTTTATATTCCACCCGTGCTAATTAAAAGTGCTACCAACATACACGGTAACTAAATCTAAAACGCTATGCGAATAACGTTATATCATTATGTTAAAATAACGATATTTTATCAAATAAAACGTTATAACAGTTTATTTGGCAATTCATAAAGAGGAAAAGTTTGATTAGTTTATAAAAATCGATTGAAATTATGTAAATTAATTATTAACTGAATATCACATACAATAACAAGGTAAAACACGTTGCAAATAATATATATTTTTAGTAATTTAATCAAAACAATTCAATACTTAAAAGTATATTAAACAAAAATTTTTATATTTTTAATGCGCATGAATTTTCTACCGTCGTTACCGATGGGTAATGGGTATAAACAGCAACAGTATGCAAGCGAGAGTTAAATAGAGGCGACACCATTTACAATCCCATTCTTTATCTGAGCGAGGAGTAATTTGTTTTAACTTTAATACAATCCGTCTTTTAAACGCCTGTCATTCTTTAGAGAATATGTTTATATTAAAAGTTTGCATCTGCTGCTGCTGAATCTGAATGATAGGGTGAAGAATAGTATGATAAGAGAAAAATGTGGTTTGCAAGATGACGTTGTGACCAGGATTAAGAAAGGAATGCTTCGATGGTTTGGTGATATAAAAAGAATGAACGAGGAAAGAGTGACAAAGCAAATTTATGTTGCAGAAGTGAACGGCAGGGTCGGGAAGGGACGCCCTAGACGAAGCTTTATGCATTAAGGTTTAACTTGATCTACAGGATTTTATCTTCTAATATCGGACTTTTATTCCCACGGAACGTGATATAACAGAAATAAAAAAAAAAAACAGAAAATAAAGGTTACTGGTAAATAAATAGAGAAATATGGCGAGAATAAGAAAAATATAACAATAAAGACTACTGGTGGCTTCGACGTGTCGGCTTGTGACGTCACATCGCGATGCGGAGCAAAGCGGTCGCCCTTACCGTAAAACACCACTTTACTCATCAATATTTCAGTAAAGTAATTTTTGAAGGTAGAAAAAAAATAAGAACACCGTTGAATTCGTAATTTTTATACAATTTTTTGATACCCTTAACAAAATTGGGTGGCCAGAGTCTGGCCACGAATATATTTATTTTATTTTATAAAATATATTCGATTAAAAAAAAATTATGTTGAAGATTGTTGGTGCGAAAGACTGAATACTTCCATCTAACGAGTTACGGGACAATTTTGTGTCCCGGAGCTTTGTTTGGGGACAATGGGACAGGTGACCGAATAAAGGGAAAGTCCCGTTCAAAACGGGACGTATGGTCACTTTACCTATAATCCTTATACTTCTTGTTGATTTTTGTATTATCTTTATTAAAGTTATCTCCTTATGTATAAATAAATATAATTACGTATGTAGAAATAAAATTGAATAAAAATAAAAACAAACATGTTTTTTTTTCATCATCATCAATCATTGGGGTGAGGATAATGTCAGCCAGCATAAGTAATAAGCAGACTAAGTTACAAGGTGCTCAGTTCAAAAATTAGTAGGTAGGAATGTTACTTTTCAATACGTGACACGTAAAAATTAACAATAATCAAAAACACATCTTCGAAACATCATATTTATTTATTTATTTTTTATTGCACCAAATATTTGTACAAAAGGCGAGCTATCTATCTATTTACCTATACAGGGTATTTTTGGAATGCTCCCGAAAACTAAGACCAACGACAGTACCAACTAGACCTTTGATGATGAGTGGAATATAAAATCGATCCTGATGAAAGAATAATCATCTTTTCACAACTTTTTATTAGCTTTATTCATTCTCTATCATGTTAGTACAGCTAAATGAAACGATAATTTCATAAAAAAATCATGAATAAATACTGAAACATAAAACCAGCAGTGAAATTACTGAATTGATATCAGCTGGCTAGAGGTCAATGTACGCGCGAACGCGAATTCGCAACAAAAAGCAAGCAATCAAGAAAAAACAACACTTGTCTAAATACCTAACTTATCTACTTAACCTACTATTTTGCCACTGTGCTTGTCTCCACGTAGCCACTTTAATCCGAATTTACAGGTTAAATAACCCAAATAACTGGTGCGATTCCCCGCTAATGAAAAAATACTTGAATGAAATGTAACCAAGGTTAGAATGCTTTTTATTCATCGTGTAGGTATGTTTATTATTCTCATTTATTCAGTTATGTACCTATTCAGATTAGTTCAGTACTAAGTTATTTAAAAAAATAGTTATGAAACAGCCTACCGCTCTAAATCCTCCGTGGTCTTAAGATGCGGCTCAAATTGTGCTACATTCATTTCAAGGCAGATTTGGGCTCGGTGTTGCGTCTCATGCAGGCGGGGCATCATCGTGTGGTCTTCGACACAGTCCGTACGTAGTTTGTCGAAAACATCCACGATCCTTTGGCGCATTTCGTCAGCACTATCACATTCACGATTAAAAACCCTTTCTTTCACATACCCCCACAGAAAGAAGTCCAACGGGGTCAGATCTGGTGAGCGAGGTGGCCAAGCGTGTGGTCCTAGTCTGCCAATCCAGCGATCATCAAATAGCTCATTGAGGCATTCACGGGCGAACCTCACGACATGTGGAGGAGCACCATCATGCTGGAACCATGTGCGGCGATATTCAGCCAACGATAGGTCGTCTAAAATGTCCACCAGCTGTTCATTTATGAAGTTCAGGTATCGCTGTCCATTAAGTCGCTGTGGCAGAAACACTGGTCCTAGTATGCGATTCTTAAATAAACCTGCCCATACGTTAACCGACCATCGAGTTTGGTGCCTGATTTGTCGAACAGCGTGCGAGTTAACCTCGAAATACTAGTGTGTACTTCTTCGGTTCCACAGGCCGTTTCTGGTAAATGTCGACTCGTCCGTCCAGATGAAGTGCTCAATGAAACCAGGCACACGTTGTTGTTGGTCTAATAACCAACGGCAGAAAACTCGCCGGCGGTCGTGATCGCCGGTAACTAACGCTTGCACTTTGTACACTTTGTATGGGCGCATTCGGTTACGCTTTAACACTTTGTGAACTGTACAGTATGACACACTTGTTCCATCCCGACGCCTTAACAATTTAGCGATACTTCGTGTACCTAGGTTCGGATTCCGGCGAACGACATCTAAAATGCGCTCCTCTGAGTGAACAGCCACTTGACTTCCACCTCCTGCCGCTACCAGAGCAATGGGCCGATTTTCCAACACTCACTGAAAAGCTGCTGTTATTAGACGAGAGTCAGCTGGATGTCGAGCGGTCGGGAATTTCTCTCGATAAATTCGCAATGCATGCGAAGCATTCCCGCGTGCTTCTCCAGACACATTAACATGTTGCCGTATTCACGAGCACTATAAACGTACGCGTTAGGACCGTAACAACAAGAATAATATCATTAAGTAATAAATAACAAGAATAATTGATTAAACAAAACAATTGTACTGTCTCTCGTGACAGTCAACACGGAACTGTAACAAAAACTAAAATTATTAATTTGTGGCGGCGCTGTCGTCGCGCCACAAGCAAACACATCGAAGCCTAAATCGCACTAACAAAGTTCCGAAGTTAAAGCAGCATATATAGAATAGCTCCGAACTACCAATCGGAGCGTTGGCCGCTCCCCGGGCAGCACACCTTGCCCGGCGGGAGATCTCCCCTTTTCCTTCCACCGGCTACATTGGTGAGCACCCGACGTGATATGAACACGCAACCAATAAACTTCGGGAACTACCTACAACTTCAAACCTTCGTCATCATCCTCAAGTATCCCATTCATTCGCTCCCGAGCAGATATTGTCTGCAGTCTTCACATTCTGCAAGCCATCTAGCTTTACAAAGGGTCATCACAGCACTGGAATAATAATGCTTCCTGTTCCTTCAAGCTACTCTCTGCGCTACAGTGTTCGGCACGACTTTGAGCCTTATTGCTCGCCTCTGCTTTACGGCACTCTCGCAGATTACTTACCTTCTTCTCGACTCTCCGCAGACTACAAGGCAATCCCTGGCACTTGCAATCGGACTGCACTATCGACCTCCGCTCTGAGCAGGGGGTGATGTGGCGGCGCTGTCGTCGCGCCACAAGCAAAACACATCGAAGCCTAAATCGCACTAACAAAGTTCCGAACTTAAAGCAGCATATATAGAATAGCTCCGAACTACCAATCGGAGCGTTGGCCGCTCCCCGGGCAGCACACCTTGCCCGGCGGGAGATCTCCCCTTTTCCTTCCACCGGCTACAAATTTATTCCGCTAAAACAAATGCGCACATAAGGCAATGTAAGCACTGGAACTTTCCACACACCGTTAAAGCTTTATGTATTTTAAGACATCGGCAACTTTTATTTATTTATCCCTACGACTAGTCTTCATATGGAATTTAAGTTATAGTTGTCATTTTTAATACAATTACACAATCAATTGTACCCTGACGCAAAAAGCAGTTCTTTACTACAAACATTATTGAAATTAATAAACGTAGCTCATTGGGTACTCAGTGCTCACACAATTATAAACACTGTTTCATCGTTATCTTTGATTTTGTATAAGAAAATAGAAATGAAATGGTACTGAATAATTTAATAGTTAAAATCAATTGCAATTATTATCGACAGTTGATTAATCTATCAGAATTAATGTAAAAAATAATACTTTTACTTTATTTTAATTGACTTTCCGTATTTAATCCGGCCAATACTTTGAATTTAAAAAGAGGTACGTAAATTATTAAAAATGACTTGCAAGTTTTATAGTGATTGCCGCCTCTAATTCTATTGTCGCCGGCAAACTAAATTTTCTTTTAATAATATTATAGTAATTAATTGTTTTATTGTAGAATCATAATAGGTGTTTTACTAGCTACTTAGAACTTTGGAAAAATTTGGAATTAAAAATGGATAATGTTTCATCATTCATCATCATTACAGCCCTTCACAAGTCCACTGCTGAACATAGGCCTCCCCCAAAAAATGCCACAAAGCACGGTCCTGAGCCACCTGCATCCATCGACTTCCTGCATATCTTACCAGGTCGTCACTCCATCTAGTGGGGGGACGCCGTATACTTCGCCTGCCGGTACGAGGCTGCCACTCGAGAACCTTTCTTCCCCATCGGTTGTCGGTTCTTCGAGCTATATGGCCGGCACATTGCTACTTCAGCTTACTAATCCATTGGGCTATGTCGGTCACTCTGGTTCTACTGCGGATATCCTCATTTCTGAGTTTATCACGCAGAGAAACTCCGAGTATAGCCCTCTCCATAGCTGGCTGAGCGACCTTGAGCTTCCTCATCCGGCCAGCAGTGAAGGACCACGTCTCAGTTCCGTATGTCATCACTGGCAACACGCACTGGGTGTACAGTCTCGTTTTCAAGTTTTGAGGTATACCTGACGAGAAGATGTGCCGTAATTTCACGAACGCTGCCCAACCGAGTTGATTGACCTCTCGGTCGAAGTTGGACTTACCTAGTCGGACTATTTGTCCCAGGTAAACATACTCGTCAACAACTTCGAGCTTAGTGTTCCCAACAACTACCGGTATAGGTGTGACATGGACATTAAACATGATCTTTGTTTTGTCCATGGTCATCTTAAGACCTATACGTTGGGAAACACTATTGAGGTCATTGAGCATAGTGCTTAGGTCCTCCAGCGATTCTGCCATAAGAACAATATCGTCGGCAAATCGAAGGTGAGTGATGTACTCGCCATTGATGTTGATACCGTATCCTTTCCAGTCCAGAAGCTTGAAAACATCTTCCAATGCAGCGGTAAAGAGTTTCGGGGATATGACGTCGCCCTGTCTTACACCTCTCTGCAATTGGATGGGTTTCGTACTCTGGTTCTGTACTCGGATAGCCATCGTAGCCCTACTGTAGAAGCACTTCAACACTTCGATATACCGACAGTCAACTTGGCATCGCTGAAGGGACTGCAGCACCACCCAAATTTCGACGGAATCAAAGGCTTTCTCATAGTCCACATACGCCAGACATAGTGGCAAATTGTACTCCTCGGACTTCTGTACAATTTGCCGAAGGGTATGTATGTGGTCTATGGTGCTAAAGCCTTTTCGGAAACCGGCTTGTTCGGGAGGCTGAAAGTCGTCAAGTCTGCGCGCGAGACAATTCGTAATGACTCTCGAAAACAGCACGTAGACGCGGCTCAGAAGGGAAATCTGTCTGTAGTTCTTCAAGAGAGCGTTGTTGCCTTTCTTGAAGAACAAGACCACCGCACTTCTGCTCCACGCCTCCGGTGTAATGCCACCATGGAGGATGGAATTAAAGAGCTTCTGAAGGACTTCAAGTACCGGTTTTCCACCCGCTTTCAGAAGCTCCGCTGTAATTCCATCCTCACCTGGGGCCTTGCCTTTTTAAGATGCTGGAGAGCCATTCTAATCCGTTCAGACTGACGTCCGGGATATCATCGGAATAATGTCGGATAAGACTCGCTCTTGGATCGTTACTCACACTTGCGTGCGGCTCCAACGATGACGTGTACAGCTGCCCATAGAACCTCTCAATCTCACTCAAAATCTCAGGTGCCCCGGAAACGATGCTGCCACATTCGGTCTTCAGCTTTGACAGTTGGCTCTTTCTAATATACAGATCTCTGCCGATTCGAGATTCGGTGATCGCTGCCGGTTTTCACCCTCGCGATCACTGAGACATCACTGAACAGTTGTCGTCTGGTCGTCATAATGAAGTCAATCTCATTTTTTGTCGAACCGTCGGGGCTCGACCAGGTCCACTTCCTGTGGGGCCGCTTCTGGAAGAAAGAGTTCATCATAAAGAGTCCCTCTTTCTCCATGAAGTCGGCCAGCTGCTGGCCCCTTGGGTTCCGTTGCCCTATTCCAAATTTCCCTACCTTCAGCTCACCGTTCTCTCTTGTGCCTAGTTTTGCATTGAAGTCTCCCATCAACACCGTATATTGGGTTTTGGAGGAATGCATAGCTCTAGAGATATCCTCATACATTTCCTCCACCTCCTGATCGGGGTGTGCTGAGGTTGGTGCGTAAACCTGTATGACCTTCAGAGAATACCGTTTGGTGATTCTGAGTATAAGGTACGCAACCCTCGTCGACACACTCAATCTTTACAACGTTGTTAACGAGAGACTTGTGGACGATAAATCCGACACCTCCTTGGGACAGATGGTCACCCTTCCGGTAATAGAGCAAGTTGCCGGATTCGAGGATTACCGTGTCTTCCCCCTCTCTTCGGACTTCGGATAATCCTATAATATGCCAGCGTAACTTGTCTATCTCTTCTTCCAGCTCCACAATCTTCTCGTCAGTCCTCAGGGTGCGTGCGTTGTATGTTGCCAGGTCGAGTCGTCGTAGGTGGCAACCGAACCTCCACCGGAGATTCTTAGCACCCCCTGCCCCGCCGTTACCATGGTCGCCACCGTAGCCAGGAATAGCGGGGCCGCCGGGGACTGGGGGCCGTCTCTTCGTAACTTTCATCATGGGGAGTATATTGCCATAGTTGCCACGCTTGGCGAGCGGGTTGGCAACCGCAGTTGTTTTATTGTATTTTTGCCGTTACCAGGAAGATGCTGCTGCCCATCTCCTGCCTGTATCCCTTTGTCGCCTTTTACGACACCCACGGGAAGATATGGGGTAGTGGATATTCTTAACCGCCACTACACGGATAATGTTTACTTGAGCATTATTTGTTATTTCTATTGTAAAATATAAAGTAGTTTGTAACAAGAAAACTTAAGCTAAGGGTGACACGCCGTCCATTATGTCGTCTTGGGTCACATGGAAGCCAGATGTTGATGGTGTGTTGGTGTTACTGGATGCTACTTCATCATCACTTTCATCTTCGCTTGAGCTTCCGTCATCAGGTCGATCACATGGTAATTTTTTCGGTATTCTTCCTCAACACTTGTAACTTTACTGCACAATTTTCCCCATTCACCTTCTTCTATCATATTTACCTTTACGTTCACTATTTCAGTCATAAAACTATAGATATAAATAATTTTTCTTTCCTTCCTTTTTAAAACCATCGTCGCGAGTCGCAAAGTAAGCTGTGTATGAGACTGTATTTTGGGAGCGAACAAAGCGCGGGAACCAATAGCGTGCGGCCTGAATAATACTGGCAGATTGTTTCCCCGTCGCGCCCCCTTCGTACCACTCACTCATAAATCGCGCAGAGCTCAGGTTCAAGGCCAGCGTTCTTTTTTGAGCGTTCGCGCGTACATTGACCTTTAATCAGCTGATATCAATTCAGTAATTCCACTGCTGGTGTTATGTTTCAGTATTTTCATGATTTTTTTAATGAAATTATCGTTTCATTTAGCTGTACTAACAAGATAGAGAATGAATAAAGCTAATAAAACGTTGTGAAACGATGATTTTTCTTTCATCGGGATCGATGTTATATTCCACCCATCATCAAAGGTTGGTACTGTCGTCTGTCTTAGTTTTCGGGAGCGTTCCAAGAATACCCTGCATATAGTAAGTATCCTTTAAACTCACAATTTTCAATGCTTCATTTTTAATATATAATTAATTATAAAATTTCAAAATTAAATTAAATTTCATAATTAGATAATATATGAGAATACATAATTCTAATATAATGCAACTAATATACCGAATAAAAAAATTAAAATACATTTATCGTTGTACGCCGTGTGTATTTCCATAAAATAGTTTATTGATGTTGAAAAATAATACTACGTTCGTACAGTAGGTGGCGTCTTGCATATTTCTTACGCGATATATTGTAGCGAGTAGTCGGCGGACCGAATGCCAAGGTCGTTCGCATGGAGTAGCCCCTTAATAAGAGATTGCGATATAATTTTGATTTAAGGCTGATTTAAAATAAACAACTTTGACTATTTTTAATCGATACAATGATTGCTCCTCCTTATTTATTGTAGGTATTATTTTATCGGTTTGTAGCCACGTGCTAGGGGCATGTAGCCAAACCCAAGCCACGCGCTTAAAAGGTTAATATTTTTATTTCATTACGAATTTGACAATTTGCATACGGTCGGGAGCATCTTTTGATTACCTTTAAGCACTCGTCAGTCAGAGCGCGCTCTTCTATAGTCAGCTTTTTACACACAAAACATTTTAAAACATAAAACTACAAATATGGGTACACTCTTTATCCCATCAATCTCATACTCCAATGAAATGGCAATCCGACACGACCGGAGAGACATATTAAGACGTAATATCAACAACTCTTTCTGAGACACTGGGGCACAAATAAAGTGAGTCTGAAACTCTGAAATTCACAGACCACAATCATATCTGTTAAATTATTCCACTTACTTTTCATAACTTGTTTTAACTCTACAATTTTTTCTTCATCGTTGCCAAGAAGCAACTTTAGGTTCTGCAAGTATTCCTCATTGAGGTCGTCGAAGTGATGGCCGGGGTCTTGAAACCTGTACATTAATCAATTTGTTTTAAATTCAATTTATCATAGTAAGGAGATTTACTAATAACATCATTTTATAACTGCTATAAAAGGTACTAAACAGGGTTAAGATCTTTCCTTCATCTTACGGTTTGTATTTCAAAGGTTTTTTTACACCATATTATACCGTATATATATTATATGCAGGGTTAATTTGCAATATATGGCCAAATAGCAGAGAAGGTTCAGAATAAGTAATAATGGCGAATGGTGAAGAAAAATTAATTTAAAAGAGTATCAAACATTCTGTCTTTTTATCTTTTAAATTCGGAATGCGTGGTAATGCATTATTTTAACTGATTGCCACTCATAAATAACTAACGCCTACTATTTTACTACGCTCGTACACATTCGTAAGAGTCGCTCGGTCGGTAAAAACGTGAATTGAATATCACACAGAGGAGCGTGAATACGCGTTGTAGTTGCTAATCACGTTCAATTTTGGATAATTTCAATTAAAGTTAAAAGCCTTCTTTACTCGTATTTTCAAAAACTGCAATAACGGTAAATCATCATTATTAATATATTTGAACTTCAATATAAAATTTGCCTACTCTTTGAAAAATAACCCTGTATATGTATATATAATAATATCATGCGACAAAACGATGGAATCTTAATTTTTAGGCCCTAGCAGAACATATGCGCGCTTCGCGCTTAAAGCATGCAAAACAAATTTTACACCATATTATTATCACTTTTTACTATAAAACTAATTGAGTTTAAAGGATAGAATATAATATGTTCGCAAAATTCTTGTCCAAACTAACATTTAAGAAAAAATACGTTAATACACAGAATAAAAAATTAACTTCTTAAAGAGTATTGAGTACTTCAATTTCGTTACTGCATCTAATAATAACATTCTTGATTCAAACAGAATTGCATCAATTATGGGAAATTCAAGTATCTACCTTATCCAGACCTTGTAGAGATAATTACGCCGGAGACAAGACAGTGCATCCTTCTCCATGTAGAGCCCCTCATCCAAGACTGGAGTTTTCTAAAACAAGTTATTATGAATATCACAATCATTATCATTCATCATCATTACAGCCCATCACAAGTCCACTGCTGAACATAGGCCTCCCCCAAGGAATGCCACAAAGCACGGTCTTGAGCAACCTGCATCCATCGACGTCACTCCATCTAGTGGGGGGAAGCCCTACACTTCGTCCGCCGGTACGAGGCCGCCACTCGAGAACCATTTTTCCCCATCGCTTGTCGGTCCTTCGATCTATATGGCCAGCCCCTAGCCACTTCAGCTTACTTATCTGTTGGGCTATTTCGGTCACTCTGGTTCTACTGCGGATATCCTCATTTTTAAGTTTATCACGCAGAGAAACTCAGAGCATAGACCTCTCCATCGCTCGCTGAGCGATTTTGAGTTTCCTCATCCGGCCAGCAGTGAAGGACAACGTCTGTTCCATAAGTCATCACTGGCAACACGCACTGGTTGTACAGTCTAGTTTTCAAGTTTTGAGGTATACCTGACGAGAATATGTGCCGTAATTTCCCGAAAGCTGCCCAGCCGAGTTGAATCCGTCGATCGACCTCTCGGTCGGTCAAAGTTGAACTTACCTAGTCGGACTATTTGTCCCAGGTAAACATACTCGTCAACAACAGCTTCGAGCTTAGTGCTCCCAACAACTACCGGCATTGGTGTGACATGTACATTAAACATGATCTTTGTTTTGTCCATGTTCATCTTAAGACCTATCCGTTGGGAGACACTATTGAGGTCATTGAGCATAGTACTTAGGTTCTCCAGTGATTCTACCATAAGGACTATATCGTCGGCAAATCGAAGGTGAGTGATGTACTCGCCATTGATGTTAATACCGTATCCTTTCCAGTTCAGTAGCTTGAAAACGTCTTCCAATGCAGCGGTGAAGAGTTTCGGGGATATAACGTCACCCTGTCTTAAACCTCTCTGCAGTTGAATAGGTTTTGTACTCTGGTTCTGTACTCGGATAGCCATCGCAGCCCTACTGAACAAACACTTCAACACTTCCATATACCGACAGTCAACTTGGCACCGCTGAAGGGACTGCAACACCGCCCAAATTTGGACGGAATCAAAGGCTTTCTCATAGTCCACATACGCCAGACATAGTTGCAAATTATGCTGCGAGTGTGTGCGTGCTTGTTCTCGGAGGCATGGCTCCAAATCTGTGAGTGAGTAGCCCAAGCAATGGGCCAGCGCTGGAGGCCAAGCAGTAAGGCTGCATTTGGTAAGAAGTCGCGACTTTGTGTTCTTCTCGCCCGAACATTCACAGAGTAAGCAGATACGCGCCGTGGCTAGTGCGCAAACGGCTATGATTGAAGGTTTGTACTGAAGATACGGGTCCGCTTCCAAAAGGCACAGTTCAGCGATATATGCGGCCAAATGGAAGGTCTTCTTCGAAAGTCAATTAGAAATGCAATAATGGGAGAGGAAGGCGAGCGATGTCGGCGTGAAGAGATCAAATGATAACACTTTCAGTATAAGGTGTTCCATGCGCAATATTTCACGCTTTGTGTAGGTGTCGTCGGTGATGTACACAAACTCTGACACTTCTGGTGGGTAAACCTTTTCATATTTCGCAGCTATATATGTAGCAGCTGTTCCAACCAGTTGTAGTTTAGTGCGTACCACACTCATGTAGGACAAGAAGCGATCAACGTAATACACAGCTAGGTGTAGTGGCTCACTCTGTTGTCTGTACTCGTCACATACCTCGACGAGCCAGTCAGTCAGTATTGAGAGCATCATATGCGTTATATCTGGCTGCTTCCTCATATAGCGCGGGTTAGCTCTGTTTTTAACTTCAATCTCTCTCATATATTCATAAATATCCTTACGGTATTCTACAACATGAAAGAACATTTCACGGTCAGTTTGTGCAGTGGTTACATCTTCCTCTTGAAGGTTCTCATCAAGAATTTGACTCTCATTTTTTGATATTGACATGGATAATATGCTGTTATCCACAATTGACATAGGTGATTCAATAACCTCTTTTTCTTGTACCACATCTTTCTTCTCTTGTAGTTGAAACCTGGCTGAAGTAGTTTCTTTACACTGTTTCTCAACCTGAGCACAAAGAGCCTAAATATTCTCAGCAGCATTTACAAAGAAGTTATCTTTTCTGATCTCCTTAGCAATAAATGGTTTGAATGCCGGCTCGCTATTTTTGACCTCCAATTATGAGGGCTTGTCTTCATACACTTCATACACACTAAAGCACGAGATTGAGCTACAGGGGGTACATGTTCTTCTCATTTTTTATCTGACGTACCGTCCTGTTTTCATCCTGAACTCTGCACGGTCCGTTCGTCAATTCGGTATGTTTGTTGAAGGGAAATCGGTCTGTAGTTCTTCAAGAGAGCATTGTCGCCTTTCTTAAAGAACAAGACCACCGCACTTCTGCTCCACGCCTCCGGTGTAGTGCCACCACAGAGGACGGAATTAAAGAGCTTCTGAAGGACTGCAAGTACCGGTTTTCCACCCGCTTTCAGAAGCTCCGCTGTAATTCCATCCTTGCCTGGGGCTTTGCTGTTTTTAAGGTGCTGGAGAGCCATTCTCTTCTCGCTCAGACTAACGTCCGGAATATCATCGGAATAGTGTCGGATAAGACTTGCTCTTGGATCGTTACTCACACTTGCGTGTGGCTCCAACGATGATGTGTACAGCTGCCCATAGAACCTCTCAATCTCACTCAAACAAAATCTCAAGTGTCCCGGAAACGACGCTGCCACACTCGGTATTCAGCTTCATTAGTTGGTTCTTTCTGGCAGACAGATCACTAGCAAAGACTTTGGAGCCCTGGTTCCGCCTGATCGCTTCTTCAATACGAGCGGTATTAAAGTGGCGTAAGTCCCGACGCATGCATTTGGAGATCTGTCTGTTCAGTTGTCTATATGCTATCAAATCTACTGAAGATTGTAGCTTCATTTACCGTCTAAGAGCCATGACATGACTTTTTGTGTTCTTCTGCGGCGGGTCTATCAAAACTTAGCTCCGACCGCATGGACAGTTTCCACGAGCTTGTCATTCATATCGTCCACTGATGATACTCATGGGGACGGGTTTGCTTCTCGCCGGAAGATCACAGCGCTGTTGCTGACTCTTTCCCTGATGTGGTGCTATAGGGACTGGAAATATTTATTCCATTATCTGTGGTATTCATAGGAGGCAGATCTCAGCCTTGCTTGGGTCGGTCCTGTAACTGTAAAGACTGCATTATGCAATAAGCAGGAGTGTTATCAGGCCTGAGCTGACGCTTTGGCGGCTCGGGATGTAAACACCAGCATGTTTAAAACGAAGTATAACTTCGCCTCCAGGTCCTTCAAAAGAGTTATTACCAAGGCAAAGTATGAGCACATTGACAGAAATGGCGAGAAATTAGTTCGCCTTTCTTCGCGAACCCATGCATTATGGTTTGTCGCCAAGGCTGTACAAGGGAATTTCTGTAAGCCATCACTACCATCTCTGCACAGGGAGGACGACTCACTGGCCCACCCCGCAAAAGAGAAAGCCGACTCTTTAGGCTCCCTTCTTGCGTCCAACTCGACTCTCGATGGCGGGTGAAACACTGCCGAAAATCCCGCAGTGTGGGTGCTCTGTGCCTGATGTGCGATTCACAGTGCTCAGTACGCAAAGCACTCCTCTCCCTGGACATCCACAAGTCGAATGGGCTTGACGGAATCCCGCCAATTGTGCTGAAGACGTGCGCTTCAGAGTTGGCACCGGTTCTAACGTGTCTTTTCCGGTGTTGTCTCGAATACATGGAAGACAGCTTTCGTGCACCCGATCCCTAAAAAGGGTAACCACTTTGATCCGTCCAACTACAGGCCTATCGCCATCACCTCCTTGTTCTTGAAATTAATGGAGTCCATTATTAACTGCCAGCTCATGCGGTACCTTGAGGAGCACCAGCTTATTAGTGACCGCCAGTATGATTTTCGTCGGGGTCACTCAGCTGGTGATCTTCTTGTTTACCTATCACACAGATGGGCGCAGGCGATCGAGTCCAAGGGGCAGCCTTTGGCGGCTAGTTTGAACATAGCGAAGGCATTCGATCGGGTTTGGCGCAAAGCGCTTCTTTCGAAGCTTCCTTCCTATGGGTTTCCCGAGAAATTGTGCAATTGGATCACCAGTTTTCTGGCTGATCGGAGCATCAAGGTCGTAGTAGACGATGCATCCTCCGATTACAAGCCTATTAACCCTGGTATTCCACAAGGCTATATCACCTATATCACCAACGCTGTTTCTTCTGCATATTAATTATATGTTGCAAACCGGTAACATTCATTACTATGCGGACAGCACCGTTTTATACACTGGTCGTGCAAATATTTCTCCGGGAAACGTCGCCAAGTACCGGAACAAACTTGTGTCTGAAGTCGAGACTTTGTTGAAAAGAGTCTCGGATTAGTGGCGACTAAATCTAGTCCAGTTCAATCCCCAGAAGACACAAGTTTGCGCGTTAAAAAAATAACCGCTTAGCCGCTAAAAATCACCCCTTTGTCGATTCTCCTCATTTCTAGGGCACTCCTCTTGTTGCCTCAGCCAGTACCGGAATCCTCGGCGTCGACATATCGAGTGATGTGCAGTTTCGTAGTCACTTGGAAGAGAAGGCCAAATTGGCCTCTAAAAAGCTAGGCGTGCTCAGGAGAGTGGGGCAGTATTTCATGCCGGCACATCGCCTGCAACTTTACAAGGCGCATGTTCGGCCGCACATGGAAGACTGTTCCCATCTCTGGGCCGGGGCTCCCCAGTGCCAGCTCCTTCCATTTGATCGCATTCAACGCAGAGCAGTTCGAATCGTCGGCGACCGAGCACTTTCTGATCGGCTTGACTCACTAGAGCTGCGAAGAGATGTTGCATCTTCTATTGCGTATTCTACCGTATCTACCATGAGAACTGCTGAGAGGAATTGTTCGGACTAATTCCAGCCGCTCAATTTCACCATCGCACATTGCGACAGAACTCGAAATATCATCCGTACCATCTAGATGATTGGAATAGAATAGAATAATTTTTTAATTTAATATAGATCACATGTGTGAATTCTTATTGAAAGTCATTTTTTACTTTACCACTTCGCACGACTTCCTTGTGGAATCGAATACCACCAGTAATTTTTCCAGACCGATACGACTTAGGGACCTTCAAGAAAAGAGCCTACTCCTTTTCAAAAGGCCGGCAACACACCTGCAATTCCCCTGGTGTAGCAGTTGTTCATGGGCGGCGGTAGTCACTTACCATCAGGTGAGTCGTATGCTCGTCCGCCCCCTCTCATATAAAAAAAAAACATAGACGGAGCGATGCGTACATTTCAAGTGACGCCGAAACCGTGGTCAACTTCTTGACACACTCACACATACATTTTTTGTCTTTCTTTCTTTGTCAGCCCGTTAAGTTCTAATAAGTTCACTGGACACACAAACTAAAACCATGTTATTGGTTGGAAATTATTTTAGACGCATAAGTGGCTATTGCAGTATTATCATCGGATAGCAATTAACAAATTTCCTCTCTTAAATATCTTTAAGCCTGCTCTCTAATAATAGAGAGCCTCGCAATATGGTCGTTTGTCATCCCCACGGTGATCGGCGATTGGTTGCGTGGTTGGAGGGTGGGCGATGCGCGGCGGTTTGTTTTTAATTTTACAAACGGCTGCGTAAGTCCGGCGGTGATTGGTCGCATGTTTTATCGCATGACGCAGTCGCTCGCTCTTTAAGTAGAGAGCGGTTGCGTCATCGGTCTGTATAAAAGGCACTTGTTTTGGCTCGCCGCTCACTTAGCGGTTAGTCACCGTAGAGTCTATATCACCTGAGGATGCCTTGTGTAGAGGCGAAACACGTGTCGTATTATCGTCAGTGGTGTGTCTTGCCTAGTGTAGTGGTGTTGGGAGTAGCGGTGCTGGGATTAGTGATGACGGGGATAGTGCACGCAATTGAGGGAGGTGCTGTCATACTAGGTAAGACACATCATTTTATTTTATAACGCGGATATTTGCGAAGTAAATTTTTCTAAAAGCTGTTATTAACTAATATCAGGTTTTTGGTTGTTACAACAATTTGCTTTTATATTATTTTTTATGCTTACAATATGATTGGCGAGGTCCAAGAGATAAGCGATAAGGGCCAGAGCTTGTGGGAATGCGTGCAGAGTGTTGACTGTGCGGAGCCATGACTTGGAGACTGTTCCCGGATACAATAGACGCTTGGTCAGATGCGGCAACTGCAACAGAAAATAAATAAAGTTTACTGAAAAACAAATCTCACTTGGTCTATAAATCATTTTTATAACATAATTTTTAAAAAATTACCATGTCTGTCTATTATTAAGTTAAAATTATTTTTACCCATTCCGTTTTAATAATTTTTAAAATTATTTCTAAGCGGTGATATTTGGTGATGACATGTTTTAGTACATTGACATTAATATATAGAATACGCACATTATTTTCATTAGCGTCAGTGGTTAGAGCATTGCCTGTTGCGCTAAGATTCTGGTTTGATTTCGCCATAAAAACTAAAATTAAGAAATTCAATGTTTTTTGAATCATTCAAGATATACTTTTTCGTAACTAGATTCGCAGTGCGATTATATAGCCGCGTATCGATTACACGCACCTAGAGCGCGCGCGCCATGAATGACCGCGCCGACCCGTGCGTTCCGCGGAACGGTTGCAAATGTTTAAAGTGTATCAACTAAGCGCACCTAGAGTGCACGCCATAAATGACCGCGCCGACCAGTGAGTTTTACAGAACGGTTCCAAATGTTCAAAGCGTATAAACTAAGCGCGCCTGGCGCGTGCGGCAACAGTTCCAGTGTTTGAATGTTCAACATGGATATCGTGCACGAAGAGCTGCCGCGTTCATAGTTCCAAGCATCTTCTCTGAGCGCTTTATTATGATAAAAACTATTTTTGCTATTCCACAGCAGTTATTTTGAACCATAAATTTTATCAATTAACTCTGGTTCCCAATAGCTCGAAACGCAACGAACGTAAGAATGATGAAAACAACCGTCCGAACAGGCGTATGCGCGAAAACTTAACTACTTTGATACGCGGTAAAAAACCGACACCAGATGGAACGGCCCGCTCCACGTTTGAGAGTTCCAACGAATAATTTGGCACGCGTTCCAAGTCGGTATCCATTAAGCGCGGCTGGAACGCGCGCCAATGATCGACCTCTTGGAGCGCATAATCGATAACTGGTGGGAATGGTTTGTCGTTGAGGAATCACTCTGTAAGCGCATAGTAAGTAGCGTAGCATGGGCGACAGTAGGAATTTATAAAAGTAGGCGAAGGTTATACGAGCTTTATGATGAAAGATTATATAACAGTAGTGTTATATTTAGAGATTATGTAAAAACATATTCTAAAATATTTAAAAAAGTGTGCTCCACTGCTAACGCTTTACATTTAAGCAAAAAAATTAAAACTGCATCCGACAAAATTAACATGACCTGGAGAATAATAAATAGTGAAACGGGCAAGGTCAAACCGCGCAACTCGGATTTTCAATTGAATATTAACAATAATTTAACGCGATCTGATCAAGAAGTTGCTATGGCTTTTGAGAACATTTTACTGATGTTCCTTTTTTGATAACAAAATCATTAAATTCTTCTCCTACTGTCGCCGAATCATTGCTCAAACAAAATGTAAAGGCTTGTTCAAATACTTTTAAATTCCATAGAGTACTGCCAAAAGATATAACAGAATAATATATTCACCGATATAACAAAAGCTTACTTGAAACCGGTTCCAAACACAATCCCCGCCCAAGCAGAGTTACACAATCGCATCGGTACATTTGGTTTGGTACCTTGGTGACGTAGTTGTCGTTGTTGAGCTTGGCGTCCCCGGCGATGTCGGAGAGCAGCGCGGCCGCGATGTCGACGAAGCGCGTGATGGTGAGCGGCCGGATGAGCGGCGTGGCGGCCAGCGGCGTGGCGGCGCCCGCCCCCGCGCCCGCGCCCGCCCCCGCCCCCGCCAGCGCCTCGCTCACGCGCGCGCTCTCCGCACGCTGCCACGCCGCGCTCGAGATGGGCCTGCAACCCACGTCGTGCGACTCGTCTACGTGCACTGCTCAACATACCCCACCCCGCCTACCTAGCTTCAATGAGGGCATCCACGACTTTTTCTACCACCATGGCGGCGCCACTAGAAACTGAGGTATAATATTTGACAGATTTCATAGCGACGCAGCGAAAAGTTATTGTTTCTTTCTATACTATTAGCTATATTTTATATTAATAAGATTAAAAATAAATAAAACAAACCACAGATATTTATACAAGTAGAGAAATTAAAGAAAGTTAAAAATGTGCAAAAAAAATTAAAGAGCAAACCACTGACGCATTGTTTTTTGTATTAATATAATACTCTAGAAACTGATAGACTTTTATTAAAACAACAACTTCTCAATTAAATTACATTATGTAACAAAAAACATTACATCAGTGTCAACTAGCGACATCTGGTGAGCAGAAAATTATTAGCCCTAATTCAAACATGCATTCCCCCAAAACAGAACTATCGGCGTAATACTCAAACACTTCGCAATTTTAACATGTAGCTATGTCTAGTGGTGTCATAGTCACTTTGACTTAAAGTGATGGAGACAGCACGAGACTTAACGAAATTTAAAAAATTTAAAAAATGATTAGCGGTTGAGTATTTGGGGGCATATATCTTACTTCACTCTTTGCTCACTCACAAAAATGCACGCACGCACGCATGTTCACACACAGACGCATACTCACACACACAATATGCAGTCCAAAATGTAAAGTACATTTTATTTAATTCCCTTTTATAAGCGGGTAAGGGACTGAATTTCACTAATACAGGCTGTTTTATAATCTAGCAAAAAGAACAAAATGTCACCCTCACTAATGTTTTACCTAACTTTAGTGCTATTACATATAAGATTAGTTTTTCTGTATGTACTAATAATATTATAATTTAACTTTAAAGTCACAATTTTTTTCTCGAATCACTAATTAACACCGATTCCTCACTAAATCTTGATAATCTCTGCGCCTCGTCCACGCGTGCTTTCTTCGCACGCTGCCACGCCGCGCTCGAGATCCGTTCAACGTGCCCCATACAGGTGTGGCACTGCTCAACATACCCCAGGAGGAGACTGCTAGCTTAAATTCAAGCTGGCATACTACTAAAATAATTCCAATCGACTGCTGCCGTGAACCACTTCCTAACACGTATCTGAAGCTTACCAGGGGTGGTTAAAGAGAATATTAGTAATGTTGCTAGCGTTGCTAATATTAAAAAAAGGGCACAACGGAAACGGAAACATCAAAAACTTGTGCTAAGGGCTGGTAAGCTTTACTGATTCTTAACATCTGTGATCTGTGACCTCGGTAACCATTAAACTGAAAAACGAAAAATTTGGTGTTACGCGATATCAGATTTCTCACCTAACATTAATACACTGTTCATAATGAGTTACAGCAATTTTGAATAAAATATTTTTGAAAAATAAAAAACGGTAAATCGGTAAAAATTAATACTCTTTTTTTCTTCTTTTTTTATTAAATGTTATCCCCACACTAGGATGTTCTCCTGTATCGTGGAGGCAATTTACAAACACAAATTGCACAAGGACAAACATCCAGACTCTGAACAATTATTTGTATATTATATGTAGGCCCCATGCAAATACTTTTTCTGTGCGGGATTCGAACCCGCGGCCCCCAGCGCAGCAGGTAAAAAAAAACCAGCCAGAAACATATCATTGCTAGATGGCAGTATAATTGCCTCATATAATATGCCAGATGTACAATACAAATCAAAAATGAAACATTTAAAAATATAATCGGCAATACAAAAATTAATACTGTTGCGCGCCACTATTAATGTCTTGTACATGGCAACACTAGTTACTACTAGCGCCCTCTAGTATCGAGTAGCAGAACTAGGAGAGTCAAGATGCTTCTAGAAACCGACGGGACCGATATGTACTCGAAAATTCTAGACAGTGGCGTAGCTACCCAGGGGCTAGGCGAGGCAGTGCCCCGGGGCCCCCAAGCTAAAGGGGCCCCTCGACCTCCAAGAACGACGTTCGAAAAAGTATGTACTATTATTATACTATACTATATTTTCAAGTTTTAACTTTTTGGCCCTGACCGCGAACGGTTAGAACTGAAATCACAAAAATTACTCCCACTTCCAGAACATAAATATAACATTGTTAAAGATAATTGTCCTACTTTGTTTTATAGTCTTTTTTATATAAAAGAGGGGGACGAACGAGCATGCGGTTTACTTAATGGCAAGTGTCGACCACCGCTTATTAACAAATAAACCAGGGGAACCCAACCCAAAATAAACAAAACCAGGTGAATGGCAGGCAGGTTGCTGGCTTTTTAAAAAGGAGTAAGCTCGTTTCTTGAAGGTCCCTAAGTCGTATCGGTCCGGAAAAATCACCGGTGGTAAACGATTCTACAAAGCAGTCGTGCGAGGAAGAAAACTTCCCGTAAATCGGACAGTAGTGGACTGCCAAACATCTCGATGATGTGGATTTATGAAATGCGTTGATGAAATTTTGTGGCTGGAATTAATCAGAACAATTCCTCTGAACACTCCCCGTGATAAATGCGATAGAAAATGCAAAGAGATGCAACATCTCTTCGTCTCGTCTTTCGTCTTCGTCGATCGTCGACGATTTCGAGCATCTCTGCGCTGGATGCGGTCAAGTTGAAGGAACTGGTACTAGGGAGCCCTGGTCCAGAGATTAGAACAGTATTCCATGTTAGGCCGAACCTGCCTCTTGCAAGCAGTGTGCCGCATAAAAACCTGTCCCGCTCTGCTGAACGCCAAACTTTTTAGAGGCCAATTCAGCCTTCCCTTCCTAGTGACTACGAAACTGCACGTTATTCGATATGTCAACGCGGAAGATTCCAATACTAGCTGAGGTAAAAAGGAGAGTGCCCTGAAATTAAGGAGTTACGACAAAGAAGTTCTTTTTAGTGGTAAACGCGCAACCTTGTATCTTCTGGGCATTGAACTTAATTAGATTTAGTAGTTTAGTGGTTTGAAACGAAAAGAAAAAGAAGCAGAAGCGTAGGAAGCACGTAGCCTTGTGGAACACCAGCCTAAATAGGCTTGTAAATGGAGCATGCACCTACTACTTTGTTGCTCCAATCTGCAAGAAAACTGATGATCCAGTCGCACAAATTTTCGGGAAAACCATAAGAGAGCTTCGAAAGAAGCACTTTGTGCCAAACCCGATCGAAGGCCTTTTTTATGGCCAAACTAACGGCCAGCGTCTCCATTTCTGCCTCCTCCGATTTATAAGTCAGGTAAGCCAGAAGATCACCAGCTGAGCAACCCCTACGGAAACGTAGTAGTCGTTAAAGTCACCAAGGATCACGATCTCTGCAGATGGGGCTTGTTGTGGCATGGAGTCTGCAGCGATTTGGACGTGGTCGATGAGTTGGTTTGTGTCAGAATTACCTATAGAGGCCACCATAGACGCGAGGATGGTCGTTGTTGACCTACAAGACTGCCGAGGCGTCGAGAACAGATGTCCTATCTGACGTATACGCAAACTCCAGGTCAAAGCACAAAGGTGTTCTAATTCGTACCCCGGATAGGATTGAGGTATCGACCTGAGTGTCGGTTAGAAAGAGCAAGGTCAGCTTCGCCGTCTTCAGACGGTACCTAGTGGACTTTGTTAACATTCCAATGAAATCCCCTGATGTTGCAGAAATTCACCGATAGCGTGGCAGGGGTCACCTTTGTCTTATTGTTCTACTGGCCACGAGCTGTATCAATTTTGAGCGGAATTTTTCATTATGCCCTGCAGTGAGCGACAAGTAGCTGACGATGAAGTAGTTTTCCACCTTTAAAGTATTTAGTTTAAATAGGGCCCCAATTTCATTACTGCCCCGGGGCCGTCGGTTACATAGCTACGATACTGATTCTAGATGTTTCTATAGTAGAAGGTTCTGGAAACTACCCGAGGCCATGTATAAGGCCGGTGGTATAGACCGCGACCGAGACAGTATTGAATTGGCGATACAAGCGAATACTTCGAAGCTATACAACTGCGAACTAAAGTAATCAGTAGTACAATTGTGTTTTATTATTAGTGGTTTAAGTTGTAATTAGTGTTCTGTAATTAAAGTGTCAATTTTGGTAATTCAATCGGCAGTTTTTTATTGTCTCGAACCCCAAGCTCGTAACAATATTTTAATGTATTACCATTAGAGAATATGGTAAAAGCCAGAAACATATTATGGCTAGATGGCGGTTTAATTACCTCATATAATATGCCAGATGTACAATACAAATCAAAAATGAAACATTTGAAAATACAATCGGCAATACGATTAGTAAGCGTGGCGATTACGATAATTCCTCCCTACTAGGCTCCATTCATGAACAACAATTATATAATAATGGATGCTCTTACATCGCAATCACGTAAGGTTTTTGATAAGACATTTGATATAATAAATTAATAATAGTGAAACTATACCTTTGATCTTTGATAGTAACGAATGCTAAGGCTCGATCCAGCGATGTTTGCCAGCTGCGATTCGATCGCTCTTCTGACGGCGTTCGCTGCACATAAATTTACTTTTATTTAATACAACTTTTTTAATGAAATATTATATATAAAATAAAATAAATAGTCTTACCTCAGGAGTGGTGGTCGGTCGGGAATAATAAGTGGAACGTAAAGGAGTCGTCATCGATTGTCCATACCTCGATTCGCCCTGTTGCGACCTGGATCTCTAAAATGACAACCATAATTGAATTATCATCATTATTAAGAATTCAAGGTGGTGTCTGTCCTGATATGTGAAAAGAGCCAATATCACACCTGTTCATATGGAGGGTCCAAGAACGACGTAGATAATTATCATCCAATCTTATTCCTGTCACGTCTATAAAGCTGGAATGGTAATTTGGGCAAAATCACTAAAATTTTTGCTAAATATTTAGTGCTCATTTAGTACTGCAAAATTAAATTTCACGTCATAATAGCATGATCAAAAATTAGAAAACGTAATAAAGGAAAAAGTTTTAAGTTTAAATCTTAAAATAGCAACTTCCGGTATTTGTAAATAAGAAAAGAAATATTGTTTTAATCTGTATTTATATACGGAAAGCACTAATTAAGCACTCAATTATTATCTTATATTACTAGGTAATAAACCACCTGGATGTCAACTTCGGATCACATACTTTGCTTAACCTGTTAAAGTGGCAGTTTACGGTATATGAAAATAAAATTTTGTTTAGCGCTTATTTCTCGCATGTGCTTGCAGCACTAACTGAGCACTTAATTATTATTGTTACTGCCTTCAGTTGCCCCGACAAAAGTCGACTGGGCAAGGGCCCATCAGTAGCTCACTCGACGAGCAATCAGAAGGTTCGGGCCCAAATGGCCTATGGATAATTATTATTTAATGGCTGATAAGCAAACACAAACTTACCGAGATCCGGAGGTAGTGTCGACCACAAGGCGCAGTCAGGTGGTAACTAAGGTGTATGTAAGTAGTGTGCGAAGGTGTGTAATGTAACCTGACGTCACCGATGTAATCTGAGAGCAGACCCACAGGCGCTGCTTTTCTCCACAATGTGCGAACCCTCCAGTGGGCGTTCCCCAATAGAGATTTTCTGCTTTTATTTCACTATACTAGTTTATCAACTTTATTGTACATTTAATTAACTTCAAATTTAACTAAATCAACGTTAATCGAACTTAAAACAAGTGACACACTTCACAACTTAAGAACTGTCGATCAAAGTTCAATGTCCCATGTTCACTTAGCACAAACTTATACTCGAAAACGACCGCGATCTCCTATCAGGTCACAAAGTTTTAGCGTTCCACCCGACAAAGCAAAAATGTCTTATTACGATATTAAAATGCCACACAAACAACTCGTCGACGCAAATTAATGGCAATCGAAGTTAAATTAAACACTCAAAACTCAAGGATAAGCCTCGTTGTCACGTAAAACGCACGAAACAGACAACGCAAAGGAGGCGGGCTTAACACAACCTAACGATTCTCACGTAACATATAACCGACACGACTGCCGCGAACCAACTCTTCGCCGACACGTCGAGCGACCGAGCGGTGAGCAGAGATTCGCGCGCGGGGAGGGGTGCCAGGCAGTGACTGGTACCATCGTATGAACGCGCCGAGCGCGCGTCTTGAATGCAAGTTTTAAAAATGTTAATATTTGGCCTAAACAAACCCCCGTCCCGGATATAAGGACTTATGTCCGCGAGTAAATTGGCAAACGGGATAGGGTCGCGACGGCACGTTGCAAGACCGAATCTCCAACCAAAACCTCGGCCACCCTAGGCACCCCATCAGATCCATACGACAACTTAAGAATGCGCCCACGGCGCCAATACAAAGGCAAAGCGTTGGGTTCTTTAACTAACACGAGGTCTCCAACCAGAGGAGGATCCGTCTTGTACGCGCAAGGGGCATTCCGGCGGCATCTCAATGACCCGTGGTTGGAAATCATCGAACGGGCCGACCTGGAGAGCTTCGGGGAACCTCGGTCTTGAGGCCCGGGACAGATTCGAGGTCGCAGGAACCCCGTAGCACCGGTACCAACCAAAGGGGTAAGGGTGGTACTCCAGTCGTGGCCGCTCAACTAACGGGGGTGAGAAGGGTCTAGCTGACCGCTGAGTGGCCGTGAAGTTCCTCTCAACACGCTGATGGGGGGCGACGACCCCCCGGCCCCTGGGGGAACGACCCCCCGAGTTGTCGGGGGAAGGACCTCCTTCAAAACCAGGAGCACGGTGGCCGGCAGGCGAGCGCCGAGCGTCGCCCGACAGGGGGTGTGGCTGAGCGCCCCCGCCCGTGGGAGTTGAGGGCCCGGCAGAGCCTCGAGCAGACAGACAGACAGACGGACAGACAGCCAAAAATTTTAAAAATTGTTTTTTTGTTATAAGTATCGTATATACTTTCATATGCATTTAGTAAAAAACTGGTATTTTGACATTACAAACAGACACTTCAAATTTATTTATTTGTATAGATATCATTAGATAATAAGCCCTTTTGATGTCAATATTTTCACCTTGCGAAGTCGCATGAACTTCTATTAGATTTCGCAAGGTTTTAAGAACCTCCTTGTTGGTGATACGGACCTCAAACCTCTATGGTACCTCTATGGTACCGCAGTGAGGTAACTGAGATGGTACGCTTTTGCTACTGACCAGACGCGAATTGCAAGCAAAAAGAGAAGCAAATAAGTCCGCTTTCTCCTTAGGCGCATGCGCCAGTGAGCCATCTGGTTTTACCAGCGGAGGCAGTGTAGACCGACAGAAGTTTGTCTCGACCGCTTTGGCGAGAGACCAAAAAGCTCTACTTCCAGATGGTTTGACAGAGAGCTTTGTGCCGATGCGTGTAATGCGGTTGAAACTGGCTTGGCGTAATGCCTTTTTCTACGACTTGGCGGCTTGGTTAAAGGCTCTCTTCTTAAGGCTAACATCCGGAGCTTTACGGTCTCGAGTATCGACCCAGGATAAGTACGCCATATGCTTGTACTTTTCAGCACGAGCGCACTCTGCGTTAAACCAAGGGCGACCTTTACCACCAATGGGCACGTCAGCAAAGGGGATGAAATACTCCATCGCCTGACATATCACATTGGTTATAGCACCCGCGCAGCTCGATGGGTCTTCAGAGGAGAAGCAAACCTGCCGCCAAGGTTAAGATGCAAAGAAATGCACCATCTCATCCCAATCTGCTGACTTGTATCGCCACATTCGTCGCACTCCGTAGAAATCGTAGTTAGGTGGGAAATATAGCGACACAGATTTCACCAGACAGTGGTCAGAAGTTCCCTAGGGTGAAGTAACCTGAACATCGTACCTGTCTGGATCAGTCGTCAGCAGAAGGTCGAGGCAATTGGCTGTGTGCCCATCCACATCAGGTACCCTAGTCGCTCGTTGTACCAGCTGGAAGAGCCCCAGCGACAAGGCAAAATTTTAATTTAATATAACTTGAATATAAGCTCTGATAGCATCTATAGTTAACAGTTTTTAAGAATTTGCGTTGAATATGCCTATGTGTGTGAATATGTTTATTGTATTTCTCGTAGAATGGGTTCCAAATGATAGAGGCATACTCCAATATCGGTCTAATGAGAGAATTAAACAAGTACAATGTATGAAATTGGTCGAAAGAATTCACTACAAGAGCGAATAATAAAACAAAACATATAAAATGATTGTTGGTAATGTTAATAACAAATCAAATTTTGAGTCTAGTATAACTTTTTTTTTATAGGATAGGGTGACAAACGAACACACAGTCCACCTGATGGTAAGTGGTTGCTGTGGCCCATAGACATCTACATTTATCCTCGTTTGTGAATCAAAATGCAGATGCGTTGTCACTCGTGAGGACTAAGATGGAATGCCTCTTTTTCAGTAAAAAGGGTCTCCGGTTCTCTACACTCACCATACGAAACACAGCAGCTTTAAGCTGCTATTTTACGCTGGTATTCTGTGAGACTCCTAGATCTTTATTAGGTCCACTTTGTATAACTGTGTTGTTTATAGTATAGGTATATTTTATGAAATTACGCTTCTTTGTTATTGATTTACACGTATTAATACTAAGTTATAATTAATTTTTAGTACAGTAACTTAAAGTTGTAATCAGGACTAAGTATTGGCACGTATACTTTTAGGTCGTCAAGGTAAAGTAAAAGCGGTTATTGATGTCTTTGATAAATAAAATAAACAGTAAAGGACCGAGAATAGAGCCTTGTGGTACACCGGATGTGACTGTAATTAAGTTAGATTAATGGTCGTTAACGACAACTTTTCGATTTTTATTTGTTATGAAAGAATGAAATCTGAGCAAGTCACTACGAATCCCATTAAAAGTTATTTTTTTGAGTAATATATAGTGATCCATTTTATCGAAATCCTTACGGAAGTCAGTATACACAGAATCAACCTGTATTCCCTCATCCGTATTTTATAATTAGAGATTGCATACTGTGGTTAGTTTTTTATCAAATCTGTGTTATTCAGGTATGATTATATTGCGAAGGGCATGATAAATAACGTTATGTACTAGTATTTCAAATACCTTTGACAATACGGACAGGAATACGTCTATAAATCTGGAATAGTCATTTGCGCAAAATCACTTAAAATTTTGCTAAATATTTAGTGCTCATTTAGTGCCAATTTAGTGAAATTAAACAAAAATAGCTTGATCAAAAATTAGAAAACTGCTAGCTTTCAATTAAGCTAGCAGTGTTCTACCATCTAAACCGATAACCGCTTAATACAGCACCTAATAGAAGTATCAATAATTTAGTGCTCATATACGAAAAAAAGTTTGGGTTTTTTTCTTTTTGATATAAAGTGGTACTTTTACATCTTTAGCAGAGTATGTAATGAAAATATTTATATCAAAAGGGGTTATTATCTAATTATATCTATACAAATAAATAAAATTGAAGTGTCTGTTTGTAATGTCAAAATACCAGCTTTTTACTAAATGCATATGAAAGTATATACGGTACTTATAACAATAAAACAATTCTCGTCTGTCCGTCTGTCTGTCTGTTTGTTCCGGCTAATCTCCGAAACGGCTGGACCGATTTCGAAGGGTTTTTCACTGAACTATAGCTGATGTTATAAGGAGTAACTTAGGCTACTTATATTTTAGAAAAACAATTAGGGTTCTGCGCAACATAATTAAAACCCTAAATTACACGCGGGTGAAGTCGCAGGGAACAGCTAGTAAGATTAATAAATTAGTGCTGCAAGCACATGCGGAAAAAAAAGCACAATTTTTTTTCATATTCTGTAAACTGCTACTTTGACATTTTTAGCAAAGTATGTGATGAAACATTGACATCCAAGTGGGCTATCACCTAATGATATAAGACTATTGTTTAGGCCAAATATTAACATTTTTAAAACTTGCATTGTACCAGTCACTGCCTGGCACCCCTCCCTGCGCGCGTCTCTCCGCTCGACGTGTGGTTCGCGGCAGACGTGTCGGTTATATGTTACGTGAGAATCATTAGGTCGCGTTAAGCCCGCCTCCTTTGCGTTGTCTGTTTCGTGTGTTTTACGTGACAACGAGGCTTATCCTTGAGTTTTGAGTGTTTAATATAACTTCGATTGCCATTAATTTGCGTCGACGAGTTTTTTGTGTGGCATTTTAATATCGTAATAAGACATTTTTGCTTTGTCGGGTGGAACGCTAAAACTTTGTGATCCGAGAGGAGATCGCGGTCGTTTTCGAGTATAAGTTTATGCTAAGTGAACATGGGATATTGAACTTTGATCGACTGTTCTTAAGTTGTGCAGTGTTTCACTTGTTTTAAGTTCGATTAACGTTGATTTAGTTAAATTTGAAGTTTATTAAATGTACAATAAAGTTGATAAACTAGTATAGTGAAATAAAAGCAGAAAGTCTCTATTGGGGAACGCCCACTGGAGGGTTCGCACATTGTGGAGAAAAGCAGCGCCTGTGGGTCTGCTCTCAGATTACATCGGTGACGTCAGGTTACATTACACACCTTCGCACACTACTTACATACACCTTAGTTACCACCTGACTGCGCCTTGTGGTCGACACTACCTCCGGAACTCGGTAAGTTTGTGTTTGCTGTTAGACGGGAGATGAAGCTACATTCTTCAACAGATTTGACAGCATACAGGCAACTGAACAGACAGATCTCCAAATGCATGCGGCGGGACTTACGCAACTTCAATACAGCTTGTATTGAAGAAGCGATCGAGCGGAACCAAGGCTCCAAAGTTTTGCCAGAGATTTGTCTGCCAGAAAGAGCCAACTGTCAAAGCTGAGGACCGAGTGTGGCAGCATCGTTTCCGAGGCACCTGAGATTTTGAGTGAGATTGAGAGGTTCTATGGGCAGCTGTACACGTCATCGTTGGAGCCACACGCAAGTGTGAGTAACGATCCAAAAGCGACTCTTATCCGACACTATTCCGAAGATATTCCGGACGACAGTCTGAGCGAGATTAGAATGGCTCTCCAGCATCTTAAAAACGGCAAGGCCCCAGGCGAGGATGGAATTACAGCGGAGCTTCTGAAAGCGGGTGGAAAACCGGTACTTGAAGTCCTTCAGAAGCTCTTTAATTCCGTCCTCCATGGTGGTATTACACCGGAGGCGTGGAGCAGAAGTGCGGTGGTCTTGTTCTTCAAGAAAGGTGACAACGCTCTCTTGAAGAACTACAGACCGATTTCCCTTCTGAGCCGCGTCTACATGCTGTTTTCGAGAGTCATTACGAATCGTCTCGCACGCAGACTTGACGACTTCCAGCCTCCCGAACAAGCCGGTTTCCGAAAGGGCTTTAGCACCATAGACCACATACATACCCTTCGGCAAGTTGTACAGAAGTCGAGGAGTACAATTTGCCACTATGCCTGGCGTATGTGGGCTATGAGAAAGCCTTTGATTCCGTCGAAATTTGGGCGGTGCTGCAGTCCTTTCAGCGGTGCCAAGTTGACTGTCGGTATATCGAAGTGTTGAAGTGTTTGTACAGTAGGGCTGCGATGGCTATCCGAGTACAGAACCAGAGTACAAAACCTATCCAACTGCAGAGAGGTGTAAGACAGGGTGACGTTATATCCCCGAAACTCTTCACTGCTGCATTGGAAGACGTTTTCAAGTTTCTGGACTGGAAAGGATACGATACTAACATCAATGGCGAGTACATCACTCACCTTCGATTTGCCGACGGTATAGTCCTTATGGCAAAATCGCTGGAGGACCTAAGCAGTATGCTCAATGACCTCAATAGTGTTTCCCAACGGATAGGTCTTAAGATGAACATGGACAAAACAAAGATTATGTTTAATGTCCATGTCACACCTATGCCGGTAGTTGTTGGGAGCACTAAACTCAAAGTTGTTGACGAGTATGTTTACCTGAGACAAATAGTCCGACTAGGTAAGTCCAACTTCGACCGAGAGGTCAATCGACGGATTCAACTCTTCTGGGCAGCGTTCGGGAAACTACGACACATCTTCTCGTCAGACATTCCTCAAAACCTTAAAACGAAATTATACAACCAGTGCATGTTGCCAGTGATGACTTACGGATCTGAGATGTGGTCCTTCACTGCTGGCCGTATGAGAAAGCTCAAGGTCGCTCAGCGAGCTATGGAGAGGGCTATGCTCGGATTTTCTCTGCGTGATAAACTTAGAAATGAGGATATCCGCAGTAGAACCAGAGTGACCGACATAGCCCAACGCTTTAGTAAGCTGAAGTGGCAGTGGGCCGGCCATATAGCTCGAAGAACCGACAACCGATGGGGAAGAAAGGTTCTTGAGTGGCAGCCTCGTACCGGTAGGCGAAGTGTAGGGCGACCCCCCACGAGATGGAGTGACGACCTGGTAAGACATGCAAGAAGTCGATGGATGCAGGTGGCTGAGGACCGTGCTTTGTGGCATTCCTTGAAGGAGGCCTATGTTCAGCAGTGGACTTATGAAAGGCTGTAATGATGATGATGATGATGATATGTGCTCATTTATCACCATTACTTCTATAAAAGTATTCTTTGATGCAGAGGAACAAAGAAAATAATCTAATATCATAATCCCTACTCAGCAGTGACAGTGAGTTTGCGACGGCTATATATTATATACAACTTATGAGTCATGGTAACTCAGGGGCTAAATGCTAACTGTAAATTTCAGTGTGCACAAACAGTACAGGTTCAATGTCTGCCCATATCCATGAAATTGTTAGTTGTGATTTTAATTGCTGATGTTTCACTTACTAAAGAATATAAATATTTCGAAAAACATGTTAAGTTCACTAACATCCAATGGGGTAACATGACAGACCTGTGCCCAGCAGTGGGACGTATTTAGATTGCAACTTTATACACTACTTTCCATAAAACAATTCTGTTTATAAATCAAAATCGATGTTATAGAAATGAAAATGCTGCAGTCTAACTTTAAAATTAGGACTTTGGAGCTTTGATTGCACTTAATCACTTCCTCAATTAGCAGAAGTATTAGTGATAATAATGAATGATAAGATTTAATTAGACTTGACGTTGATTAATAATTTACTAAATTCTCCATTGCACTCACCCCACCCATAGGCACTTTAGTGGCAGAAGCTTCTCTGCTCAAGCGGCCACCACCAAAAGTAGCTCTGGGGGGCTCAGCGCTGCTAGAACGGTGACTTGCGCTTGGTCTTCGGGCTTCAGTAGACAACCGATCAGTGGATCCTGGTCGACATGGCTTTGGAAGCATTGAAGGTTTACCTTCCAATCTGGAAGTGTCATATTTTTCATTACTAAAAAACATTGAGGAAAATAATCAAGCTTAAGCTATAGATGTGGATACAAAAGCTCGCTTTTCACTATGGGATATAATATAATTTACTACATCTCGAGATATAAATTAATATCACTCACCGTACTTTTAAATAGAACCGTTTAAACTGAGCTGTAATATATATGACATCTCATACTATAAATATATTTTCAATTGACCGAATGATATTTTCATATTATATTTCGCCCCTGTACCCCGCACACCATTCTGCTTCGCTGCTACGTCCTCTAGTTGGTGTCTGTCATGTCATTAACTGGCTAAACTTGTGTGTAGTGCATATACTCATTTGTATTCGTAATTTATCTTCATACCATTCTTAAAAGTCTAAATTCACCATATTCCCCTTTAAACTTTTGATATCCAGTATCAAGGCTCCATGTTTTTACTTAGAAGTAACACATGTAAATCGAATTTATCACCTTCCTCTGATGAACTGTCGAGGCTATCTAGCAAAACAATATCCATTTTATTTGAAAGACAATTTTGTTCATAAACGATGCATGCAGTATGATCCAATGAGAAACGCTTGGAATGTTTAATAGATTTTTTTATTATATCACATAGTGCAAAGTGAGCTAAATTCAGAAAATGTAAGAATAAAGCCTAGCATGTTGCAGGGACTGAGCTGAAATTACATGTTAAGAAACTTCCATTATGAAAATTAAAACCAATTACTGTGCATAACCATGATACATAATTCATTATATTTCTTGAAATAAATATAACAAATAGTTTTTGAAAGATCTATTGGTGGTACGCTGTGCACAATCGACCAAACTAGGCAAGTGAGACAACTGCAGCTCAAGCTGATTTTCCACCAGTAAAATATTGTCAAAATTATTATCCCATATTCCCCTATTTCCTCCTGCAAAACATGGCCAATTTTTTTCAAGAAAAATATAAGAAGGAGGATTAAGGGTGTCTGTATGTTTTTCTTTTATTTTCAAAAATTCACTTTTATTTTTCTGTATGCCGCATAAAGGTGGTATAACTGGTCAATTTTATAGTTAAAAAAGTTTAATTAAATATTAATTATTTTAAGTATATTTTCACAGTATGTTAATTGCAGTTTGAAGTGTTGATTTAACACATGATCTGGAAGGAAAACACATTTAGAAAACCTGCCTGAAAAACATTCCAACATCTCAATATGATTTTATGCATTACATGCATGACATTTTTTTTAGAAAATCTTGACAACAGATTTAGTCTACTTTATTACTATATTATCTACTACTATAATTTACAAATTTTTACAAACTGTTGTCAAACTTACTGTTTAAAAACTGTACACTAGCAGTGTGTCGTTATGAGTTTCCTAAATAACGTAACCTCATCGTTATGGTACAACGGATAACGTTATCATAACTATCTATATTCATAACTGTCTATTTTCCATGTAACGGCAACTTAACAATACCGTCATAGAATAGATTATCAAAATTATTTTCGTTTCGTGATATAAACAGTTAAGGTTTAAATATTAATTTAGTTGCTGAAATGAACTTTCCTTTGTACTCTTGAACTTTTGACGTCTTTCTAGGAATTAAGGCATTCATTTTTCCTTGTTTGTGTTGAGACTGCGGTACAGCTGATGGAATCATGGAGGTTGGATTTGACTGGCTCAAAAAGTTATCTTTTAAGTTAGTGCTGATGCAAGGACACCCCAAGTGTTCACAGGTCTCGAATATCTAGCAATTGTTTGCTGTTCCAACAAAACTTGTGTGTACGTTTCTATATATCGGTGCCGTAAATATGACTTCAGATTACTTAAAGTCGTCTGAAAACTAAATTCGTTTTTACAAATATTACAAGGCGCTTTTCTATTTACATTACCAATTTTTCGAAAAACTCCCACAAAACACTTGTGTTTTGTTGTTTCTTTATTATATTACAACCTAAGACGAAGCTATATATATATTTATTTATTTATTTATTTATTCTTTATTGCATTCCTTAAAACAAAAGAATACAAAGGAACAAAAGAATATCTATATTTACAATTGCTAAATCAAATAAACATTTAGGTACAAAGTTTTTTTATCCGTATTTAGATTTCTTTTATGAATACTAATATCACAATTCGTGCTTTATGTTTCAAAATAAACTTGGAATCAAAAAATAAAACAAAGTTTTTAAATAAATACACAATTAATTTCAAAAGTTGAAGGACAGGAGGTCAATAATAATATTTCGTCTTAACAAGGTCAAGGCTTTTAATACAGTTTAATCCTTACACTTATTTCTCGAATTTCCCTTCGCTCATCTACATAATATTTAAACATGGGCCCCGCTCCAGTTTCGTTCTTATCGTACACAGCATAACATTTGTTTTTGTACGGCAGAGAGCGCGTGATTTTATAATGATATGACGAATCACGAATCCAAGCCAACGCAATGTTGCAGCGTTGTGGTTCAAAGGTACTCCGTGCGTTGCGGATCGTTATAAAAAATAGACAGTTATGAGCTTTATGTATAACTATCTATACGTTATAAAGTAAATAGACGTTTCCATAACTGTCTATACGTTATAATGCTCATAGCTACTGTAAACAAAATCAGTATTCTCAAAGCCAATTTGCGCAATTAATCTTTATTACCAGTTCAGTACCAGAACAACCTTATTACTTTTAAGTATGAAATAATACTAATTTATGCTGGGTTTCTGAGAAAACTTACACAAATACAATACATAAACATATATCTATAAATTTATAACAAAGAGTAGAAAACAATTTAACAAATTATTGTTGTGATGAAATAAACACAAAATTTACTCAAAACTTATTCAAATTCAATTTGCTTTTACTATTTACCTAGATTTCCTAGCCGCGTTCGCCTGCCCCATAACATATCTTGATGGCATCATTTTTCTAATCTAATTATTACTTTTTACTTTCAAAGTTTCAAATCTTACGACAAATACGTTGAAATTGAAATTGTTATCAGAATTCAAATAATGAAATTCAAATGTTTGTTTATGACAGTTACTAATTACGGCACGCAAAGGTCTGAGACCATACAGTCTTGTCTGATTAGTGTATTTTATTTACTATACTCTACTAAATGTAATAAATACCTTTTGACGTATCACATTAATCATTCCGCAATAACATTTCATTACAACATGTAGATTTAGAAGATATAAGTATTAGACATAAAGAAGTATTTATCACTAACTTAAATTCAAATCTTTCAAAAAAAAAGCAAAATATAAAAAAATTACCACTGTCTACTTTTTGCCTGACGTTGTTTCAATGATACGTCGCTATGAAACTTACCGTAGAGTTTGAATGAAACATATTCAAATAATCGGTAAAAATATTCATAAAATCTAATCTTTAAATTTTTCCATTTATTATTTTGATTTATTTACATTTTTTATTTTTAAAATTGCCTAAATTATATGAATCATGATTAAAATAAGTTTTTTTTTTATAATTTCCTACTTTGCCAGCGGAAAGAACAATGGCAGAAAAATAGTTGATAAAAATTATCGCATCTAGAAATAAATTATATATAAAATGAGTTTTATTATTTTTTATGATTTTTCAAAAATAATGTATTTTAATTGAAGCCACAGAAAAAAACGAACATTTTTGGAAATATCAAATGAATTAAATCATTTTACTCTATTTAAGTGGACACCACTTGAATAGAGTAAAATGATTTAAATTTAGTATATTCATACTAGTTTCGTATAAACTTTTAAGACTACCAAAACAACACACAAAATATTTTTATATGAAGTTATTATTAGTAATAACTATACTATCAGTAATAATAAAAACAAAAGTGATATGGTTGAGAATAAGTCAATAAACAAGCACTTCTTACAATAATACTGTTACGCGCCACTATTAATGTCTTGTACATGGCAACACTAGTTACACTAGCGCCCCCTAGTGTCGAGTAAATGAAAGTATTGCGCGCCACTATTAATGTCTTGTACATGGCAACACTAGTCACACTAGCGCCCTCTAGTGTCGAGTAGCAGAACTAGGAGAGTCGAGATCCTTCCAGAAATTTCGGGACCGATATGTACTCGAACATTCTAGATGTCGCTACAGTAGAAGGTTCTGGAAACTATCTGAGGCCCTATATAAGACCGGTATAGACCACGACCGGGGCAGTATTGAATTGGCGATACAAGAGAATACTTCGAAGCGAAATAACGGCGAACTGTGTTTTATTATTAGTGTGATTTTTGATTGTAATTAGTGTTGTGTAATTAAAGTGTCAATTTTGGTAATTCAGTCGGCAGTTTTTAATTGTCTCGAACCCGAAGCTCGTAACAATTGGTGTCAGAAGTGGGATCAAATATGCCGATTTTACCTAAAGACGACACGGAGGGTATCCGTACCCGAAGTCAACGCCAACAGGAGACGGACCAGAGACGATTTGGTAATGGAACGCCGCAAACGTCGGAGGGCCAGTTGCTAACCACGGAGGCTGGCCCGTCAGCAGGTCCTGCATCTGCAGCACCTGACTTGGGTGCTCTGATGATGATGCTGCAGGATCAGGCTCGCCGACAGGAGGAACAGGCCCGCCGACAGGAGGAACAGACCCGTCGACTGGAAGAGCAGCTGCAGCGCGGTATGGAAGAACAGATGCTCCTCAGGAAGGACCTTCACGCTACCTTCGGGAAAGAGATAAAGGAGGTGAAGGATAGGGTTGCTCAACATGACAACCGCCTGTCGGAAGCTGAAACCCGAATCGACCAAGTGAACAATCGGGTTGACAACGTGATGGCTGATGTGAAGAAAACGCTGGACGACCTCAAACTTGGAGATGGAATCACAGCTCCCGTGGTAGCTACAACACCTTCGCTACGTGGATTCAAAGTGCCGCCGTTCGACGGGAGTTCTTCCTGGTCGGCCTACAAAATCCAGTTCGAGGCTGTCATGAAAGCGAACGGCTGGAATAAAAGTCAGGCCATGACTGCTCTCACCCTAGGCCTACGCGACCAGGCCTTAACTGTTTTGGAAGCGCTCGGTAAGGAAGTGACTTACGAGCAGCTCCTTGAGGCATTGGAGGCGAGATATGGCGATGCTCACCTGGAACACGTCTTTCGTGCGCAGCTCAAAGATCGCGTGCAACGCAGTAACGAAAACCTGCAGCAGTGGGCACTTGAGGTGGAGAAGCTGGTTCGAAAAGCGTACCAGTCTGTACCTGTGCTCATTGTAGGGAACCTGGTGCAGACTTTCATCGACGGCATCCGCGACCTTGAAGTCAGAACTGCTGTGAGGCTCGGGCACCACCAGACGCTTAAGGACGCCCTGACCCATGCACTGGAGGTGGAAGCCGTGCGGCAGGATCATCGTTCCCACCGCGTCAGGGAGGTTGCAGCAGCTACAGTTCAGGACCGCAATAAGGGCTATAACCCTAGGTGCTACGGCTGTGGGGAAAGGGGCCATCTTCGATCCAGCTGCCCTAAACGAACTGTAGAAAGGGAAGGTGATCGATCTCGAGAGGGTAGTGCGGATAATAGCACCGCCCAGCAGCAGCAGGGAAACGAGTAAAAGCCAGGACTGCGGGGCGGGTGCTGGCTGATGTTAAAAGAGCCCCAAGGATTTCGATCTCACAAACCCATGATGGGAACAGCCTAATCATCAAGGGCGAAGTCAACGGAACGCCGTGTAAACTGACCATAGACACTGGAGCCTCTCGCACGGTTGTCAGTTCCCAACTTATAAGTCGGTTCCTTGGGGACTCCGCATACAACCGAGAACGCACTAATTTGGTGACAGCCACCGGTCAGCGCATACCCGTCCGTGGAGAGAAGGAGATGGAGTTGAAGCTAGGCAACATGATCTACCTGCATAATGTCATCGTGGCTGATATAATGGACGACTGCATCCTGGGCCTAGACTTTATGAGGAAGAATTGTTGTGAGATCGACGTTAAGCAAGGTGTTTTGAAATGTGGACAAGAAGAACTTTTCGTGGAAGGGGCGTTACCAGGGAATGTGTACAGCCTTAAGAAGATTGTTCTTCCGCCGAGATCGGAAACGATTGTGCCGGTTAGTCTTCCTCGGAGTCCTGGGCAAGCCCATCGTTGTGTACTCGTGGAAAGGGTAGACAATGACCTTCCATGGAAAGTGGCTCGAACCTTGGTCAGAACCACCGACATCTCAGGAGTACGTGTGTTGAACCTTTGTGATCAGGAACAGATTATAGAAAAAGGCACATTGGTTGGTACTAGTGAGGAAGTGGATTGGTTGCGTCGATGCGAATATCTATCGACCGGGACCCCCAGCAAGGATGGACAAACGATAGTGACCACACATTTGGAAGACTGTCGCAGCGTTCTTTCCCCGAATGAAATGGTCAAGGCGAAGAAGTTGTTACTCAAGTACGCCAATGTTTTCTCGTCAAACGAAGCTGACATAGGAAAGACTGGCTTAGTTCAACACAAAATAAACACAGGACAAGAATTGCCTATTCGTCAGCGGCCAAGAAGATTGCCTGTAGCACGTGAAAAGGAAGTGGAAACCATGATTGAGGGAATGGTGAAGGATGGTGTTATTGAACCTTCATCTAGTCCATGGTGTTCACCTGTGGTGCTGGTAAAGAAGAAGGACGGCAGCATGCGGTTTTGTGTTGACTATCGCCGCCTGAACGACATTACAAAGAAGGACAGCTATCCCTTGCCAAGAATTGATGACACGCTGGATATGCTTACAGGCGTAAAGTGGTTTAGTACGCTAGATCTGAAAAGTGGCTACTGGCAGGTTGAAATTGACCCTAAGGACAAGGAGAAAACTGCATTCTCCACAGGAAAGGGTCTGTGGCAATTCAAAGTCATGCCGTTTGGATTGTGCAATGCTCCAGCAACGTTTGAAAGGTTGATGGAGCTTGTACTTACCGGGCTAATTGGAGATGCTTGTCTGGTCTATTTGGATGACATCATCATCGTAGGCCGTACGTTTGAGGAACACCTTCAAAACCTGGAACGCGTGCTCATGAAGATCCAGAGTGCCAACCTCAAGTTGAGTCCAAAGTAGTGCTCACTATTCAAACGGCAAGTTAGTTTTTTGGGGTATGTAGTGTCGGAAGAAGGTATCCACACGGATCCAGAGAAAATTGCTGCTGTCAAGGAGTGGCCGGTCCCAAAAGACAAGACACAGGTTAGAGCATTTTTGGGTTTGTGCTCTTATTATCGGCGATTTGTGAAGAACTTTGCAGATATAGCCAAACCTCTGCACAAGCTAACCGAGGAGAAGCGACAATTCTGCTGGGATGAAAGTTGCGATATTGCATTCCAGGAGCTCAAGAACCGCCTGTGCAAAACACCTATTTTGGGGTACCCTGATGCGGGCAAGGAATTCATAGTTGACACAGACGCAAGTGATATAGGACTTGGCGGTGTGTTGTCTCAACGGAATGGTGATCAAGAGATTGTGATAGCGTACTTCAGCAAGTCGTTGTCAAAGCCGGAAAGGAACTATTGTGTCACAAGACGGGAATTGCTTGCTGTGGTAAAGTCCTTGCAGCATTTTAGCAAATATCTTCTAGGGCGGAAATTCCACTTACGAACTGACCATGCTGCACTGAAATGGCTATTGCAGTTCAAAAATCCGGAAGGACAAGTTGCGAGATGGATAGAACTACTGCAGGAATACGACTTTGTGATCGAACATCGCAGCGGGAAATCTCATGGCAATGCAGATGCATTGTCAAGAAGACCTTGCCCTGAAGATTGCAATCATTGTACTAGGCAAGAGGGTAAGGAAGTGGTATCTGTGAGAATGCTCAGGACAGACCAGCTCAGCAATGAGTGGAAGGACAGCCTACAACATGCACAGCAGGAAGATTCGGACATTAAGCCGATTCTGGAATGGATGAAGGCCAGTGCTCCTAAGCCCAA